TCTAATTGATATATCGGTGGGGATATCCATCTCTAGCTCCGGGGCCATGCAATTCTTTTGCACTCAGGCATTCGGCATTCTTGTAGAGGACCTGGTAGTCAACTCTTATTGCGCTCTACGAGGGTTTGGCCGCAATCAACAGGCCTCGCTTGCAGAACGCATCATTGGATTTGTCTGGGTGGGGAGTTTCTTGGCTTGGTCACTTCCCTCATATCTATACCCAATATTGTATCGGGCTAACATGGGTCTCAACGATTCCGTGGTTCCAGTGAGCATCATCAGACTGCTGCGGTCATTGATCAACGTTTCTTTTCCGACCCTGGGAATGAAGTGGTAGGGGTTGGTCCACCATTACTTTGGATGATTATAATAGGTGCAGGGGTGTCCGAAACACATAAAAGTTATTTGTGGATATAACTGCGTATCTCATTTTGTTTGGCCAATAGAATACATAGTAATAAAATGGCTTGTTTGTTATCTAATCCGCCCATGCCGCGGGAAAATACTAGTGCTTGAGGCAGTATTTCCTGTTTTGAAAATTACGGAGTATCAAAAAGGTGGCCAGGATGATACCAAATCATCCTTGCTGACTGCCAGAGAGATATGTACGCTTGTTAGATAGGGGTGATATCGAATTAGACAGCTTGCTCCCGGAAGTATCCCAGATCGAGATCAGGTAATTGTTTCTATTGTGTTATTAGCCTCAGTGGTGCCTTATGTCTACCACGGGTTGATTCCGCTCGGTTCTGTCTGTGCAGTATCCAAGTGGTCAACTCCACTCCCTAGGTCTATCGCCACACTGTCTGTCTCTTCTCCTAGCTGTCCGTCCAAAAAGCCAAATCACCCACTATACGACAGTCTACAGGGCACGGAAGCACAACCGTTCAGACTGATGACTTGAACGAGCCGGCCATCGAGTTGCCAGGAAGATGACAGAACCACGCGATCGATCCCAGCTGTAGACCGAATTGACCCCGAGTTCATAGCCTGGTAGGACGTTGTGTTCACGATGACACCGGCAGGGATAGTCCCGAGCGAGTTAGTAAGAATAGGACCCGTGTTTCTGTCTGTGGGAAGATTAATCGTGACGTTGCGTTTGTCTGTCCAAAAGGGGCTTGAGGAGCGGGTTATGTACCAAGTTCCAAGGATGTTGGTAGTTGGCGGTGGCCCTGGTTTGGAATTGTTCGAGTTTGGGTGTCGCTGTTTGTGGGGGATGTGTTTCCGAAGAGCTTGGAGGTTCCTTGTGTTTTATGAATTGAGATTTATTGCGACGATGAGAGGAGCCCATGGCGGGGCGAATGAGGCGGGCTTCTTATATTAGCAATTATGGACCCCTGTCTAGCAAGATGCTGAGCAATGCTATAATGATAGACTACGGCTATATCAGAACAAAGAAGCAGCCGAGGATACGTGCGTGAATCATAGAACGGCTACTATATTGTATATAACTAGGGCTTATAGCCATTGTCAATATAGACTGATGTAAAATGGGGGAGAAAATCTGGACTCGTTCTAGTCTAGCTGGTGTATAAAGTTGGTAGGCGGGCGTTCAGAGGATTAGTAGCGATGTGCCAGGGGAATAGTGGCTAACGATAGTATTCTTTATAATTCTAGTGAATAGTCGGATGCCATCCTCCTGTGGATTCCTTGGAAAATGTCTCTAACCCATTACAGGAAGACTTTCACTAGCCCTAAGTTATTCTCTCGATAAAAGAGTACAATATTATGAAAGGCCTAGCGGGACAACAGTGTGCCGAATGACATCAACATCCCATATTTTTTAGTATTCGCTTTTCTTTTTCTTTTTCCCTCCAGGCTCTATCAATCACTCAACTTCTCTTCAGATTACTTTGTGTCACTCGTGGAGTCGTTCTCACTCGACTATCAGCACCTCCACCGACAATATTACCTCTTTCGAACTTGGCTATTGTCTTTGACCCGGAGAACTATCCGCGTTCTGTGTAGTCGCTTTTCACACACCGATCGATCTAAGAACTTGAATGGTGAACATATAGAGATATATAGCATGCTCTCTAACCTGTATAAAGTACTAGAGGGCCCAAAGACCGAGTCTCTCGAATCGGAAAACCTAGCGATATTATCTATATATATCCTACTACTTAAACTTCAAAGGACAATAGAGCTGGTAATATCCTATTTTGCTATGCCCGGGCGCCTCCTCTATCCATCTATCCAAAGAGTTTATTTAATAGAATCCGATAGATATCTTAGATCTTGATACTCAAAAAACTATTTACATAGTATTACTGCACTTATTCAACCGCGATATAGTAGAAGTAAGATTCAGCACAGGGTATTAGACTTCTATTATAGAAATAGGATTCTGTCCGATCAGCTAGTCATAGAAATATCAAGTCGACGGCTTAACTGCAATAAAGTATAGCTAAAAATTAAGTATAGTATTCAAGTAGCACTAGGATATATAAATATTAATATAATATCCTGTATTGTTATTAAGAAAAGACTAATTAATTTGGAATTAGATATTTCTATATTAATACAACTTTTTATTATTATACTTCGGATTATTCAACCGATGATAACTGGGAGATTAACGTCTTTTATACTTACTCAAGCCATTCTCTCTGTCCTTATATAAAGACCTGGATGTAGTATAGAAGCAGTAAGAATCCTGAGCTAGTTCTCAAGGCAGAGGTCATGACTACAGTTACTACAGTATACTCCCGGGTGTATATAGACTCTCCACGATGATTATATTATTCCACTTAGTTTCAATATTACTTTTATTGGAATCGCTGCTGACTGTTTTTATCTCTTCCGATGGGTAATATCTTTTATCTTTACTATATACCGTGTACGCATTCTAATGGCTATTTATAATAGCCAGAATTTGAGGAGCTCTACATCCGAATATACAGAATGCTCACAAGGATCTCAGGACCTTTAGGACTTGCTTAATCATTACTTGGGATATTATACCTACCATCAGCGGACCGCCAAGAAGTTGCCGACTTGAGACTATCAGGAAGCTTCGCTGTAGTGAGAGAAGTTGAGCTGAAGATCTCAAGAATGTGATATGGTGAAGATCCAGAATGCGGAATTTTAGGGCTGGATATGCTCTACGTATAATCTTTCAACTACAAAACTAGTACATACGACCATAGGGTGTGGAGAACAGGGCTTCCCGTCCGCTCAGCCGTACTTAAGCCACACGCCGGGAGGTTAGTAGTTGGGTGGGTGACCACCAGCGAATCCCTCCTGTTGTATGTTTTTCTTATCTCGTTATTTTTATAATCGATGATTACCCAATTACTTATTATAAATGTATCTTTTAATTTAGTCGCTGTGGTTCGTGTTTGTTGCTCCATACATCAGCCTGTCACACACTGGTCGTAACAACTGGGTCAAGATATAGAACGGCCTGTGAGATTGGGGTAGAGCCTGAAACACGTGCTGCTATTGACGCATTCCCAGTAGCTCTGGGTCCAAGCTAACGCAGAGCTGATTTCACTCTTCCGTGATTGGTAGACCCCGGAGTCATTAAATCAGAAACGGACCTACATCCTTTATGAGAATAAAGGCTCCTATTAGGCTAATACCTGCATTGGCAGGCCAATGGAAGCTGTTGTTGGTGGCCCGGGCCGAGCCCTGTTTGTATCCTGTACCCTCTCCAGGCAATTGATCAAACAGCCATGTAGGCACAAAAGTACATGATTTCCATAGGGTTCTTTCGAGATGCACAAAACAGCTGGGTATATTCTAGTAGGCGGGAGGGAAGGGGGTGACGCCAAGAAGCCGGCGCTTTCTAGGGCATTAGCTTGTCGAGTCGAGTAAGCGCAATTGCTTGGAATAACTAATTTCTGACCTGCTTAGCCCAAAGCACCAATTGGATCAACCGGCGAGTGAAGACGGCCAGGCCAATGATGTAAACTAACAAAGGGCTGGTAGCTGATTAGATGCCACCATCAACCTTGGCATAGGGTTACCCTCGCTCTCGGAATTTTAGGTGGACCCCGAATGCTTATGTACTTTGTTGGCAAAAGACGGAATTCAAGACTTTGGGGGCGAACGCCACATGTTGATCATCGTCTCCAACCCCTTCGCAGTGTACCACAAGCGGACAGCAATCGACCAACTATTCGCCCGGTCCGCGAATGAGGGCAAATCTGAACTGTTGGGTGGGGAAGTCGTCGATTACTCAGTACATTGGCGTGCTTGTAGTACACAGTGTAAGCTTCCAGGCCCTGGCGGTTTGAGCATTGCGTCGAAGGCTGCAAAGGGCAAGGCTTGTTAGAAATGTATCAGACGATAGGATAGACGAATCCATCCGTGCTGAATTCAATTCCTTAGTGTGTAGTTAGCCAGAGCTCATAGAGATGGCTTGGCAGCCGATGCCCAGCCCTATATGATCTTTCACGCCCAGACCACCGCATGGCACGTTTGGAACGTGGTGTCCACACCATACATTCTCAGCGCCAAATGATGGAGGCACTGCAATGGTGTGTGCGGTATACGAGAAGGGCCTGCCAGTGCAACGGCAAGTGGACAGGGATGGACGTGCATCGCCGGCCGGATTTGCTGTAAGAAGCGATACTATCGCCTAATCATGTAACCCCGCCGTGCAGGGATGAATGTCCCCTTCCGCGCGTCCCGATGCGAGCCATGGTATATCAAACGGTTCACGTAAATTATATCGTGCCAATTGAAAATAGAGTCTCATCCTAGGTCGCCAGATCTCCCATAAACTAACCAGGCCGCATGGGCGAAGGGCCGCCAGGCCGAGAAAGTCTCGATGAGCTATGATTAACTCACACTATACACTATACTATATATAAGGTGTCTGATTAGGAAATCTCAAACGGGTAAGATAGTGCGCTTTCGCGCATAATCTGCTCCAGATTGCTGATCCCCCATCTAAATACGAGATCATGAAACGTGATGCCTGATTCCCTTATTAACAGCTCCCCCCCCCGGTTGATGTTTTGCCCCGAGAGCGAGAGTCCTCTGTTGAAACCGCCATGACAGATTCAGCACGATCAGATACCACGGCAACGACAACAAATGATCCCAAGCTGCGTACGGCATGTGATAACTGCCAGCTCTCAAAAGTACGATGTAGTCGAGGCAAGCCTTCGTGCTGGCGGTGCAGCCAGAGCGGTGTCAAGTGCGTATACAGCCCACTGAGGAGGACAGGACGCCCGCCCAAGAACAACGTCAACAATGCTGCGACGCAGCGTGAAAGGGCCGCTTCAACCCGATTATCGACTGGTAACTCATTGCAAAACCGCTCTCCTCGCGATATCATCACCCAGAAAGCCTCGCCCGATCGTCACCGTCCACCGCAGGACGCTACCACCGCCAATGAAGTGGCAACGGCCTGTTCACCAGCACGGCTGCAACAGCCTCTGACGGAAGTGGCCGCATGCTCATCCGCGCTAGGTGATGCAATACCTGCCGTGCATTCCATGACCAACGCTGTATGTCAAGACCTAAGCCAGAATGCTGCGCTGTCCGTGGCAAATCTCGATATGGGCGTCAGTGCCAGTGACTTCTCCACCTTAGATATGGACCTAGACCTGGATATGAGCATGTGGGAGATGCCGAGCATGCCAGACCTGGCAATGGATCACAGCCATGGAGATATCGGACCAACCGCTATGGCTGGCTCACAAACGGACGAGATAGGCCACCTGCCGCTGGAATCCATCATCTCGTCCCCCTCCACCACATTCGACACCCATCAACCGAGCGACTGCGCGCATCGAGCCCGAAACAAGCCACCGACGACTCTCATGAGCGGTCTTTCCGCCCTATCGACCGCTATGCCAATCAGCGGCGTCTGTGAGGAAATTGCAGATAATGGACTGGCTAGCCCGCCCCCGTCGGATCTGACCACGGCCTTGTCCAGCCACCATACATCATCACTGTCGGGAGCGCGCACTGTGTGTGTCGCCTCCAGCACGCGAGAGCACGCTGGTAATAGGCCATGCTCGCTGGATGGAACATGCTACAAGGCCCTCTCCGGGCTGTTGACCAAGCTGGGTGACTTTGACCTGTCTCAGGCAGAGGCCGCGCCGCTAGACGGCCTGCTGTGTATCGACCGTGAGCTCCAGCACAAATTACGCATGGCACTTAACTGCGGGCACTGCACGCGGATGCCCAGCAATCAAAACTTGCTCATAATTATATACATGTCCCTAGACAGCTTACTGTGCCTCTTTGAGAAGCAGCAAAGCCAACCCAAAGACAATTCAGGCAGCGCGAATGGCTACCGCAAACAAAGGTCTTCCACAACGACCGCCGCCATCGCTGCAGCCCCTCAACGACATCTCATGTCGCATTCGCGACAGCCGCCTTCACCATTGCCACATGGGAGGCCCGATGACACAAGCTCTCGTAGCCAGCGCCAGTTTCCCTGGACTGACCAGTCTCTTCTGGTTGGTAGCTTCCTCGTCGATGATGTGGTCAAGGCCAGCTTTCTACAGCGCCTTATTTTGGATTACATTGACAATGTTCTCTCTATACTTGCTGAGCTTGAAACGATAGCTGATACAATAATGAAGGGCGTGAATTGCATGATATCTCGACAGAAGGCAGATGATATTTACAAGAGGGCGTATTTTCTGCGCGCCAGGCTGCTTTTGGCAACAGACAGGTTGTGAAATCGGGTTCGGCCATCGAGATAGTTTATTCTGCTGTGCTTTTAAGACCTGTCCAATTGTTCTTCTCTTGAATGGTGGCATCACAAAATGTTTTGCTTTCCACCATCCATCTATCTTGGCCATGTAACTTCCAGAGTCTATGACCGGGATATCTTATTAGCCAAGCTTTCTATCCGGGATGTTAATAAGGTTCTCACCCTTATCCAAACGATCCAGATTGGCCTCCAGAATATCCAGCATTCTATCCCAGTTATTAGAACTCTGCCAGCTCACATGGTGCGTGATCACCACATTGGGGGCGCTAAACAACGGATGCGATTCAGGCAGCGGCTCAGGATCCGTCACGTCCACAGCAGCGCCCCAAATCTTTCCCTTGTGCAGTGCATCAATCAGGGCTTCTGTGCAAATCAGTCTGCCCCGCGCAACATTGGAGATGAATATTCGCTTATTGCCCTGTGCCAATATAGCAAATTGCTCCGGCCCGAGCAGATATTCGGTCTCCTTGGTCAGCGGCAGGCAGAGCACTAGGAGGTCCAGGTCCTGGCGCAGGAACTCGTTGACGGCATCTCTAGACTCGCCATGAAACCACTTGGAGGGCAGCTGGCCGTGCGGGTCTCCCATACCCAAAACGCTGTAGTGGTCACTCTTGGCTTTCTTATCCGAGGTGTATGGCGTTCGCGTGAAGGCGTATACCTCCATCCCCATTGCCGTGGCGAGACGTGCATACTGACGCCCGACGAAACCATATCCAAGAATGCCCATACGCATGCCTGCAGAGTCTCTTGTCTCGGCTCTGACAACTGACCAGGTGCCCTCCCTTTGCGATTCTATGTGGCGCAGGATGTTGTGATTTCTCATAATCCAAGTTGACATGACCCACTCTGCAATTTGAGGGCTAAGTAGAAAACACTGGTGTGAGAGAAGAGTTTCGGGGGAAAGGATAGGTCACGGGGAAGGTTGCTTACCAGTGTATGCCACTTGCAGTGCTAAATGCAACGTCCGGGGAGTTGTACCTCTGGTGATGGATCCATCGATCCACGCCGGCTGAGGTCAGCTGTATAAAACGCACATTGGACATTAGTTCTTCCGGGTGCGTCAGGTAGAGGCATGTCAATGTGACGCCATTCCAAAGCTCCGGTTCTATCTGGTTTGCCTCCAGACCTAGCTCTAACCACAGAACCCTGGACCGAATTTCGATCCCTGGGTACTTGGATTCCATCTTTCTCTTCCACTCCGCTGGAATTTCAATGGGCATTTGAATTAAAAGCACATCTTTGCAGAGCTTGCTGACTGGAGGTCCAGAGTTCAGTGGAAGAAAAGAAGGTGTCATTATTCGTATCAATGACGCTGTCCCTCGGGTTATCTATTGCTAGCTTCTTTCAATGCCACAAGACGCAGAGTTAAAGTCCAATGTTTTTATGTTGAGACGAGTAGGGTGTCTGATTTATATTAGGCTTTTTCGTCTTTGGATAATGAGCCGAAGGCTGTCATAAAATCTGACCGGTGCATAGAATGCGCCGCGGCGCTCGTTTACAAACACGAGTCCTCCACAAGAATTCGAACGCATCTACTGCGTTTACAATTTTGCTCCACCAAGCGGCTTTAGAGAGAAAGAATTAAGCATACAAGATATTGGTCAATTTTAATTTCCTATATTGCGGCATATGTGCGGCCTACGACAATACTTCCAGCCGCAACTCGTGCATGTGCTCATTGCTTCCACTTGAGAATCGACATGCCATCGTACAGCGGCAAAACGAGCGAGTCAACGCGGGAGTCATTCTTGCAGAACTCGCTGAGCTTGCGCATGGCCTTGCCACACTCGATCCAGTAGGGGACAAGATCCTTGCGAAGATGGGGGCCAGCGTTAGGGTCAATCGCAAGACCGCGAGAAAAGACTAGGCAAGCATAAGGTCAGTCAATGTTATGTGCTTTCAATATTTCTTTCCATTTTCTCTTCCTCTTCAACGATTTGGCTTAACTGACCGTTGTCACAGATAATGATACCATGGGAAGACAGCAGCTTCTTATCCAGGATGGTGCGGACGTAGCCCTCGTAGCCTTCCTTGTCGGCGTCAACAAAGACAATGTCAAAAGTCCCATTGAGAGTCTTGAGCGTGTCCTGCGCAGGCCCTTCGAGCAGAGTAACGCGGCCCTGCATGCTATTGCGCTCGATTGTTCGCTTGGTAGCATTAATCATGCGCTCCTCAATCTCGAGAGTGATGATCTCAGACTTTTGCTTGGTGGTTGCCTCGTACCAAGCGAGGGCGCTGAAGCCAGAGTAGCTGCCAATTTCGAGGACTAAGAAAAACATGTTAATTTACTTTCTTGGCGAGAGGAAAAAGGCCCTGTAGCACATACTTTTCTTTGGCATTAGAATCTGGGCAAGAAATTTGTTTGTCACGCCCTGAAGTAGCGACGACATCTTGTCGGCATCGTCAAAGTTGTCGCGAGTCCACTCCCAGACCTCTTGCATGCCTGGGCTGATGCCGTCAGAAGCCCTGGCAATACTCCGTCGCCATGGCTGCCTGCTCGACCTATGAGATGGGCCAGGTTTAGTTACAATTCCCTGTGACAAGAGCTGGGGGCACCTCCGACGTACAGTAAATGGTAGCACGCTGTTCATCGTTCTGGCGGTTAGATTTGGAGGAAGGGCGGTTGTATGCTGGCTCTTTCGCAGCGAATAAAATTCTAATATTGGCAATGTAGTCGTTGTAATCTCCCAACTGAGCGTAAAAGGTCGAGTCTCATATACTTTCTCATCTTATCACCGACAACTTTCATTTATTGGCTACTGCCTCAATTACGACACGAGAAGGCAGCTCGGAATTCCCAAAAGTAGCCCTTCATCCCACTGTGTTCTCTCCCCGACAGGCGAGGTTGCGGCTCCTTATTTTGTCTACCGAGTGAGATGGGACGATTCATTCATCCCACGGCCTTGGCGGGGAAATTGGAATCTCTCGGTGGCTTTCATATGCAACGTGGGATCCGCTACAGGGATCTACAAAAGTGGCCGCGGCGCATTTAGCAGGGTTCTGCGAAGCCGGATATGCTTCCTGATTATTCGATCACCAGAAAGTGATTGAATTGATGTCATTCGCATAAAGTCTGTGGCTCTTGCTAGTTCTTTACGATACTATAGCTCCCTGTCATGCGATACTTAACATGCTCTTCAACAGTCATGACCTCAGCAGATGACTTTGCTTGCACCTGAAGCCCGTCGAGTGGCTTGAGTTTGGAATCCAGATTGCCATCAAAGAAGAATACGATACTATACCTGTCATCGCTGCTCTGGTTCCAAACACGATGAAGGCTGCTGCGATACTCGCCTCCGGTGAGCAGAGACATGACGTCGCCGAGGTTGACAATGTAAACATCTGGGTTGGGTGGCACACCAACCCACTGGTCCGTCTTGTAGTCTTTCACCTGGAGCCCGGGATGCTCGTCCTGCACCAGTAGGGTGATGGCGCTAAAGTCGGTGTGCTCACCGGCACCAAGCTGCATCTTGGCCGTTCCCTGCGAACCTGGTGTTGGCGGGTAGTGTAGTAGGCGAAGGAGCCACATGGGATCGTTGGCCTGTAAATCGTCAAAGCAAAACGATCCACAGGGCAGTGTGGCGGCGAGGAGGTCAAAACCGATGCGGGATACCCGCAGCATCTCGGAATAGTATTCTTCTGTTACGGAGCGGAAATCTGCGGTCGCGAGAACGTCAGACGGCGGCCAAACATTAGGGCCTTCCAGGAAACGGCCCTGGATGACACGAGGGTGGCCCATGGGTACGTCTTTGGAGATGAAAAACCCCTCCTTGATATCTCGCAAGACCCCGTCCCCATCTTCCTCCGTCTCGTAGGACTGTGAGCCCATGGCATCATAGCCACGAAACCTAGGATTCTCTCTAGCATCCAGACGAAGTTTACCCTCTGCAGGAATAGAAAAGAATTTGGCGGAGGCTTCAAACACTCGCTTTTGCAGCTCTGGGGACACGCCGTGGCCTTTCATTTGGAAGAAACCCGTCGATCGACATGCTCGCCGGACGTCGTCGATAACTTGCTGAGCGGCATCGCTCTTGGGATCCTCAATGAAAGGTGTAATGTCTATGAGGGGCAGGTAAAAGTCTGGCAGTTCTTGGACGGAAGGCATTATCTCCGAGAGTGAATTGTTATCAGAATAACTTGTGATAGGTCTACTGTGGAATTGACATGCGAATTGACGTGCGAATTGAGATAGAGGAATCAAACTGATCAATGTGGTCACCCATGTAGTAAAGCTATTGCTAAGTATTATATTTTTAATCCCTCAACACTATGTCACCACATTTGAGTCCATTTTGGCAAGACTTCGGGTCATTTCGCTCGGGCCATTAGTGAGGGCACGGCTGCATCACGGTGCAGGAGACGCTCTTCATATTTCCCGACTGAGGGTGCGGGCCCTAGAATGTGTTTCTGCGAATATTGTTCATAAATGCGACAGAGAAAATGAGCATAACATAGAAAGAAGTCTATGTTCCTCAATTATTACACCTTCAACAGCCACGATGTATTATTCAGCGCCAGCGCCCGACCAGCTTACACGCCATCTTCCTCGCATTCTTTGTCTCCATGGCGGAGGAACCAACGCACGTATCTTTCGGGCCCAATGTCGTGGAATTGTTGCGCAGTTAAAATCAGAATATTGCCTCGTCTTTGCTCAAGCACCATTCGAGTCTCAAGCGGGCCCCGATATCACGCAGGCCTACGGCGAATGGGGCCCGTTTTGTCGCTGGCTTCGCTGGCTACCGGATCAGCCTCATGCGCACGCGAACTTCATAATTGAACAAATAGATGGGGCGTTGATGGATGCCATGGCTACTGATACTAGAGCGGGCGTAACTGGCGAATGGGTCGGCATATTAGGATTCAATCAGGGCGCGAAAGTAGCCGCTAGCATCCTCTATAGACAACAACTTCGACAACAATGCCTTGATCAAGACGACATGTTCAATTTTCAATTCGGCATCCTCGTGGCCGGCCGAGCACCTCTGGTTTCTTTGGATCCCGACGTGTGGCCGGATCCAACCCTGCCAGATGCGTCGCAAATTACGGACTGGCCCAAGAGGGACAGCGACAAGCGCAGTTTTTATGGCAATAAGCACATTCTGAGTATTCGGACACTGCATGTGCACGGCATCAATGACAAGGACTTAGAGCTTCACCGGAGTCTATTTGGGAATTTTTGCGACTCGCGGAGCAGGCGTTTGGTAGAGTGGGATGGGTCGCATCAAGTACCGCTGAAGCATAAGGGCGTGAAGGTAGTCGTGGAGCAGATTCGTAATCTTGCAGCTAGCTCAACACTGTCTACTTAAAAGTAGTCATAGTAATAAAGGTATAAAGGATAATGTTTCACAACAGCTGTCTCTTGAACTGGCTTTGCCCTGCCTTGGAGATGCCGCGGCCCGGTGCGTTTGTTCCACTTGGAACCAGCCGAGCCCCATGTACTGTAATTTCTCCGTCTAGTCCTTCCCAGCATCAAGGTCCGCGGCGAATCACGGGATTAACAGGAGTGATCGCACTTGTAACTTAAGACTAAAGCTCCAGGATAGGGCCGAGTGCCAAGACAGCGTCACGAAGTATATCTTGACGGAGTCGCCTACAGTCTCTCCCAGACAGCTTCTCTTGTGCATATTGCTCCCAGTTACAGATAAACGACCTTAGTTCTTAATATCATACTATGCGTTCTCTTGCGAAGCAAAATCTTAGTGAGTGGAAAGGGGAGCTTTTTCATCTGCTTGATCTCATTCTTGCCTATCTCAGCTAGCTACTACCAATTCCTCGGCGTTGTGGGCCCCCGCTTACCGGCCCCGGAAGAACCCATATTCCTGGGCCCTAAGGCCAGACGGAAGCCCTCACCAACACAAAATATGGTACAAAATGTATTTTTATTTGGGCCACAAGTGCTATCACTAGATGTGGATGACATCAAAACCCTGCGAGATACACTTCATTCAACACCAAGCAATCGATGGGCTCTCGACTGTCTATCTGAGCTGCCAGACTTGTGGGATGTCGTTACCAAAAATGTCTCTCAACTAAAAACTTTCGATGGCAAGCCATTGCTGAAAAGGTTTGTGGACGAATTCAATGCTGGAAGCACATCGCCGTCCACGTTCCTGCTTCCAGCCAACTTCATGCAGGAATCAGTTGCAGCTGGTCTATGTACCGGGTTGCTAGGGGCGATGACCGCGAGCCATTCCGGTACCCTACAGAGCTTGGCGACGAACAGTGCCAAAACTGTGAGACAAGCCATGGCAATTGGGGGAATGGTCGATGCCGAAATGGCATCAAACGGTACAGGTGGGCGTGCAACGTCTTTCTCGGTATCATGGGATTCGTTCCTCAAGGGGAAGAGTTACATGTCCATGTCCATTGTGGCCGGTGACACGCTCAAGCTGAATGAGATGATGGGACACTTGACGGAGAGGAGAGCCCAGATAGCTCAGGAGCAAAATGGTGCAAAGTAAGGACTTTCTGTCTATTCTTGATTGAAACAGACGCAAGAACATCCACGATGGTCTCTAGTCAGGGCCCCCAACAGCAGGACATAAAGGCCTGTTGTGGTCCTTTGGCCAGCCAATTAGATGTAGGTAAATTGCAATATGAATGATTTTACATGCAGATATCGCGAAACTAGTATATTATGTCGTGGGGTTTTGAGGGATATTATAAAATTAACGCAGTTTTTTTTCATCTGTCATGAATGTGGCAAGCAGCTGAGAGCACTCGATCACATCATCAATTTCCCAAAGTAAACCCACGCCTAGACACCCGCGTACCTTAACTACCAGACCAAGGCCATGGGCAGACAGCTCTACTTGGTATTGGGGTCTAATACTTTGGTAGTTGTTTCGGGGAAACTGAACTGAGAGCAGCTAAGGCCGGAGTACCAGTTGCACTTTAGCCGCCGGAAACAAAACTTCCGCAAGGTAGATAGGAAAAGGCTTTGCGGTCTAAGGAGGAATGGATAGAATCCCAATGGCCGAGGCCAATGTTTTATTTTTATTTTATTTTTTTTTGTTTTTGAGATGACTCCAACTGTCACTGCCATATCCCGAAACTACACCACCAGGCGAGCTAGCCTTTGTTCCCCCACACCCCTCCTCCCCCGGCCAAAAAGACCGTCTTGTAGTTATTTGCTTGATCGCAGGGACTGCATGATAGGTTGAGCTTTGGGATCTTTTTGCTGAATTATCGCGGGCTGAGTTCGAGAGACAACTGTAGTGCATCCGCGCCAGTATGTCTGAATCACACCTAAGAGGGTGAGGTGAGCGCAGCGTAGTTGCACTATTAATTTAAAAAGTCATATATACTTTAATCAACCTGAATTATAAGCCTAGGAGAGCAGTATATTTAACATTTCCATACTGTAGACAGATATACTTCTTCATTAGAGCATTCTCTATGCCCTCCTCTATACGTTTGTATTATAGTAGTTGATATCAAGGGGCGACAATATCACTAGCTTGGCCAAGGCAAACATAACGGGTGTAAAATATAGAGTCTGGATAATCAAACCATTTGGCCTATAGTACTATTCGAATACTGATTACCAAATGCTCATTGAAGACAGAATTTCAGAATGTATCATTCTAGCATTACTGAGAAAACCACAAAACACAGAGAAGAATGGAAAGAAGATAAGGTCTAATTGGGAAAAGAAAAAGGATGCACCATTTGCGAACATATACTTAAAGTGTATAACCTCGTGCAAATCTGAACCCTTCCCAACCAACTGCTCGAGTCTGCTGGCATCGCTTGCGATACTCAATTGCGCTCCCTCCATATCTGGCCACACTCCGAACGGTTTTCCCGGGGACGTTCGTGTTCACTCCAGTCATCCAACTATCGATCTCATTCGACAATGCACCCTTACTACACTCGATTACATGCTCGGTCCACCTGTCTGCGGCTTCTTCAGTTGCCTCAACTAATGTGTAACCCTCATTGTGGCAGAACTGCAATAGCTGATTCACAACCTGAACGGAATGTTCAATACTCCGTGGAATGTTTCCAAATGGTTGGTGTGGACCCAGCACCATAAACATATTCGGGAACGAAGGAGCCATGAGCCCAAGATAAGTATAAGGCCGATGGTCAAGCCAGACAGCACGCTTCCCTGTTTCACTGTCACTACTAGCGATGAGTGGCCGATCATCCTTTCCATGCCACTCAACAGCATTAAAGGCACCAGTGATTGCATCAAAGCCGGTCGCGTATACCAGAATATCCAGCTCATGTTCCTTGCCGTCCGAAGTGAGGATCCCATTTGGAGTGACTCTCTCAATAGGCGTCTTTTGCAAATTGACGAGATGGACATTTGGCTGATTGAATGCTTCAAAGTATCCACTCTCCAGTGGCACCCGTCGCGTACCGAAGCCATGGTTTTTGGGAATTAGGCTATCCGCTACAACGGGATCATGCACTCTTTCTCGAATCTTGTTCGCCATAAACTCGGAGTATAGCCTATTCGCTTCACGATCGGTGTACGTGTCGCAGAACGCCCCTTGCCATTTGGCGAAGCCAGGTTCAGCATAGAGCTTCTCCCATAATGCGACGCGCTCTTCGTGCGACACTTCGGAAGACTTGCGAGGGTCGGGCTTGTGCAGGAAGCCGGTCGGTGTTGAGGCACACCGCTGGAAGGTAGCATCGTATTCAGCTTTGATTTTCTCCATATGCTCTGGCGTAATCTTCATGTTTCGCAGCGGGGCAGACCAACTCGCAGTTCGCTGGAACACGGTGAGCGACCTGATACTGGGCTCTTTAGCTGTTTCCGTGATGGTCTGAATCCCGGTTGCTCCTGTGCCGATCACACCAATTCGCTTGTTGGCGAAGTCGCGCTTCATGTCGAAATCTTTCGGCCAGCGTGATGTATGAAATGACTGACCCTGGAAGTCTTTGAGACCGGGGATCGCAGGTAGAGTCGGGTTGGATAGAACACCCAAACAACTAAGGAAGAAGCGTGCGCGATAGTGGAAACCGGCCTCATCCACGAAAAGCCAAGTACGTTCTGCATCCTGCCAATGCGCAGACTTAATTCGAGTATTGAACTGAATATCTTTGTACAAGTCGTGTTTTTCGCAAACCCGCTCAATATACTCGAGAGTATCCGGCTGCGCGGAGAAGGTGTCTTTCCAGTTCCATTCCTGTAAGAGTTCTTTATCCCATGAAAATTGATAGGATATGGTTTCAGAGTCAAAGCGGGCACCTGGGTAACGATTCCAAAACCAGGTACCTCCTACGCCTTCTCCAGCTTCGAGGACTTTGACGCTCAAGGAGGGAAGATTCTTTCGAACCTCGTGTAAGCTGTAGATGCCCGAGAGGCCGGCACCAATTATCAACACATCGTAGTTTTGCTCTCGTGCTCCGATGGAACCCATTTTTGCTGAGTATGTTTGACTGATGTCCTTGTGGAAGATGGTGAATTGCCAGATGGCCAGTTAATGCGGGGTCTATATGTGATCTTTTATAATGTGGACTCTACCTCTACCCCCGGTCCACGGTGAGCAACGTGATCATGTGGCAGACGATTTCGAGTAGACGCATGCTTCCACAAGATAGTATCTCCTTCACTTTCCGTCTGACCTTGGTTGGGGAAAGTGGAGAAAAGATCCGACACCAGCTCTTAGGACGCATACTCGCCAAAAGAGGAAGGGCAACGCAGTCACGGGATGCGGAGACTTTCCCAACGCAGCTTAACTTTTGATTGGCCACTTGGCAATCAAATGGCGTTGATATGAGAGTATAGGGAAGGTCTTAGAAGTCATACCCTATCAAACAACATTATTGCCAGCAATAAGAATGCTGCCCTCATGATAAGCCACGTCTCGTATCAGTACAAGAATGAGGATTACTATCATGCCCAGACTAGTAGATTGGATTTAAGTCACGGCGTAGCCCAGTTCTACGAACAGTCTTTTGTAGATTCTTTTACACCGATTTCTCCTTTTTTTTTATCTCTTCACTAGAAGTATTGTATGCATCCCTCACAATGGTTGAGACCACTGACCCACCACACTCTACTGAGGACAGTGCTGGGAAGAAAGACGCCCTTGATCTTGGAAAAGTTGAAAGTTGCTCAGCTGGCCAGCAGTTCCAGTATGCTGAACGGGCTGGAACAAAAAGAAACATCAAGTCTCGCCATGCCCAAATGATGGCCATCGGCGGTGCCATTGGCACGGGCTTCTTTGTTGGTGCTGGCCAGGCGCTTGCAATTGGGGGACCAGGCTTCCTCCTACTTGCCTATGGACTTATGTCCCTTCTTGTTTACGGCGTATTCACTGCAGTGATTGAGATGAGCACGTACCTTCCCATCCCGGGGTCCTCGATTGCATACTACTGTAGCCGCTACGTCTCATCATCTCTTGGCTTTGCCTTAGGTTGGCTCTACTTCTACTCGTTCGGGATCATCGTCGCATACGAAATCACCGCTGCCAGCCTTGTGATCAACTACTGGCCAAACAATGTTCATATCGCCGTATGGGTTACCGTCCTTTTGGTCGTCATCGTAGGCCTCAACCTCTGTCCAGTGGGTGTCTACGCAGAGGCCGAATTCTGGTTTGCAGGCATCAAAGTAATCATGATAATCGGGATGATCATCTTATCCCTTGTCATCATGCTCGGCGGAGCACCCACTCATGATCGACTTGGATTCAGATATTGGAATGACCCTGGCGCAACGAATGCTTATATAGTCACTGGAAGCGGCGGCCGCTTCACCTCCTTTCTTTACGTCTGGGTCTGGTCCGGCTTTTCCTTCTTCTTCGGACCAGAGCTGATGGTATTCACGGGTGGAGAAATGCGGAATCCACGCAAGAACCTCCCCAAAGCATCCCGCCGATACTTCGGTCGACTGGTCGTCTTCTACATCCTTGGCACCCTCTCCATGGGTGTAACCTGTCCCTCAAACGCCGAAGGCCTCACATCCAACACCGGCGACGCCAACGCATCGCCATGGGTCATCGCAATCCGCAACGCCGGCATCGCTGTCCTCCCCTCCATCATCAATGCCTGCATCCTCACCAGTGCCTGGTCCGCCGGTAACGCCTACCTATACATGTCGAGCCGAGCGCTCTACTCCCTCGCCGTGGCAGGCAACGCACCCAAGATCTTCACCCGCTGCAACAGCTACGGCTTACCCATATACGCCGTCCTGGGCAGTAGCTGCTTCAGTCTGCTAGCCTACCTCAATGCCGGCTCCCAGGCAGGGGAGGTCTTCAACTGGTTCGTCAGTCTCACCAATACATCAGGATATACCTCCTGGCTCATGTGCTGCATTATCTTTCTTCGGTTCCGGAAGGCCTGCAATGCTCAGGGTATCGTTTTGCCTTATCGTTCGCATATCCAGCCCGTTGCGGCGTGGGTTTGTCTCTTCGTTTTTACAATCCTGTTGTTATGTAATGGGTTTACTGTATTCTTTCCCGGTCGGTTTTCGGCCAGTGGGTTCTTGACGGCTTATCTTGGGATTCCGCTTTTCTTGGTTTTTTATTTTGGACATAAGTTGACAGTGGGCCGGAAGGCTCCTTGGGTATATAACTCAGAAGATGTGGACTTGAGATCTGGTGTTGACGAAGTTAATGCTGAGGCTGAGACGTGGGCTAGAATGGACGCTATTAAGAGGGAGAAGAATGGCACGCCGAATGTGTTCTGGAGGAAGATTTCTTTGCTATGGTCGTGACTTATGTGGAGTCAGTTCCTTGATGTGATATTTACGTTAGGTCTTAGTATACTTCTTTTATTTTGTATAACGAGCTATGAGATTAATGAATGGATGTGCAATTCTGTGCCAGTTCTATTGAATTAGCTAGATGACATATTATAGCGGTAAGTTCTGTCGGTATCGAATCTAATGTATGCTCTTTGGGAGGTTTGGGGCTTGTTGAAAGGAAAAAGGGGTTACATGTCTCTACCACTTTGGAACTGTTGTAGGTGCTCTAGAAAGGCAATTACGAGATAATGGTAACTATCAATGGAGGTGGGTCTATAACATGGTATGATCGCTAGCTAGAATGAAAGTATAAGATGCATCAGAATCGTTGCCTCCATTAGTCTTTTGAAAACCAAATCTATCTATCTATAGATCGTGATCATGCGTTTTTTTTTAAGCTATGCGCCAGATCGCTGGACGAGTATCTCTAGCAAAGAACCGTGTGCTAGAGACGCATTATGTTCATAACAAAGTCGTACCTTCTAGATGAGTACTCTAGAAGTTCTTGGTCTCGCCGTCCTTGAGCTTACCGGCACCAACCAGCCTCTTAGCCTCCTCAGCGTAAACGTTCTTGACAGCAGCAGCATCCTTGCCAGCAGCAGTAAGACGCTCAGCCAGACCGGCAAGCTCCTCAGCATCAATCTTGCTCATGATAAGCTCAACGTCGGTCAGGACGGAGTCGACCTGAGCGGCGGAAGCCTCGCCATCAGCGAAGTAGTTGACCTCCTTGACGGAGCCCTTGACAACACGCTTGTTCTTCTTAGTAGCGTTCTTAGCGGCTTCCTTGGCCTTCTTGGCCTTCTCACGCTCAGCCTTAGCGGCCTCCTCGGCATCCTTCTTACGCTGCTCCTCTTCCAGACGAGCCTTCTCCTTCTCCTCAGCCAGACGCTTAGCCTCGGCTTCCTTCTCGAGACGCTTCTTGTCCTTGTCGGCACGAGCAGCCTTGCGGAACTTCTTAATACGTTCATCCTGAGCAGCACAGTCGTCTACGAGCTTACGGAGACGAGCAGTGTCCTCAACCTTGCGCTTGCGGCGAGCGTTGGCGTTCTTCTTCTCGGTCTGACGCTTCTGGTCACGGCTTTCGCCGTCATCGGGCACATCCTCATCGAGGTATTCAAAGGTACGCCAGCTGTCGAAGTTGTACCAGAAGTTGTAGAAGTTGTCGACCTCCTCGAAGGTGCTGTTGTCGTCGCCCAGCTTAGGAACGGGCTGGATCTTGGAGAAACGACCCTCGGACTCGAAGACACGGTTCCACAGTTTGTAGAAGTTACCCTTGGCAGCCTCCTTCTTGGTGGGAGGCTCAACATCGGCAGCTTCATCGACGGAGTCGAACTGACGACGCCTGACGGGGTCCGAGAGCACTTCGTGGGCCTTCTGGATACACTTGAAGAAGCTGTCGTTCTCATCACGGTCACCCAGGGCGGCCTTCTTGTCGGGGTGGTGACGGAGAACCTTCTTGCGGTGGGCACGCTTGATCTGCTCGGGGGTGGCGCGCCAACGGTACTTGGTAATACCAAGGACGGCATAGTGATCTTGGCTCTGTGAAAGAGATGTTTAGAATCTTTGAAGCTTTCAAATGTCCATCCGTAGCGAGGTCATCGGACATACCTTCCAGTCCTTAGCATCCCGAGATAACATCATGGGGTCTTCGTCCTCGGAGATTTCGCCATCATCCTCCTCTTCAGTCTTCTTGACGTTCTGCTGGGCCTGGATTCTCTCATCCTCAGAGAAAGTGCGGTGGTGACGCTTCTAGAGGATTGTTAGCACCGATTCAATATATCAATATCCAATAGTGAGAACCGCCAGGAGCCCAACTACCGAAATGGAATACAGGAGCACATACTCTACGAGCGTGGGCCAAGAAGTGAGGGCCAACAGCCTCCAAGTTCCTCTGGGTAGCACCAGAGAGAGTGCCAACGGCCTTGAAGTTATTCTCGGCGGACCAGCCCTCAGAAAGGGCGGGCAAAGAGACGTTGACGACTTGAACAGTAGTCATTTTGTCTAAATCGAAGCAATTAACTTGGATGTGCTTCGGGGAATTTAGGAGGGAAAGATACCCAAAGTTGTGTGCTAGCGATAAGAATGGGGGGCCGATGGCAGAAAATTGAGAGCCTGATTTTTCTTTTTTTCTGCCCCGACTTCCCGCTTTCGGAACTGCCAATCAGGCGGCGGGTGTTTCGGAGGTCATCGAAGGCCATGGATTGACTGACCAGGTTAGGAACGAAGAATTATATCCTTTTTGCAACTTCTTATCCCGGATTCTAACCTTATTTTCTCAGCTATCACATTCGTCTATAAGAAAATTTCGTCTTTGTCACTTCGGCTGACTATCCGTGTTGTCACATCGACTCAATTCCTTTATCGCCAAAATCTTGAACCGATACTGCGAACGCCGCAAAGGCCGGGATTTGACACGGAGAACAATATAAGACAATTAAAATCTTTCTCCGACCAGCTTTCGACTCATAATACTCTATAAATAACAAAATGACTGCCCCGGCCCTTTCAGCCCGCGGCGCTTACCGTCAGATTCTCCGCGCTACCCGCATTGCTTTCCATGGTCGGTACTGGACTTGGTGATAACACTTTCTAAACGCTAACCATTGCTCTCACAGAGGACACTCGTGTACTCCTCGCCGCTCGCCAGGAGGCGCGCCGTCAGTTCGATGAACATAAGCGCGTAGGCATCGATACGCCCATGCAGATCAACCATGCCATTGAAGTGGCAAACATCTTGAAGCACAACATTGTGCAAGGAGTGAAAGAGGAGGGAAATGAAGCCGCGAAGTGGGGTATGTTGTACCCGATTATTTGCACAGTACTTTCCATGTGTCGGATATAGACGGAGGCTAACCCTTGCGACTCTCTAGAACTCCGGATTCACGATGATATCGAGCGTGGTGACAATGATTCGATTAAGCATGCGGGCAAGGACATCAAGATTCATAAGGCTTGTTCCGCATAGGTTGTCGCTGCGTGAGAGCTTCCTACAAAGGACGGACATGATAACACCAGCATTTTTGCATTGTATTATAGTATACCCAACTTTTCTCTCCTTTGGCGTCTTCTGGGGTATTTCGATTGAAGATATAAACGTAACAAAAGAGAAATAGACACACATCACAACGCCTGCTTTAAACATACAAGTAATGCCTCCTGATTCCAATGAGCAATATGACGAGAAGTTGTGGACATGTCAACATGCAACTAATCACCAGACAAGCTGGTATACTGAACCTCACCACTACCTGGGGGCGGGGCGACAGCGTAACTCCGGGATTTCTCCTGTTTGCCAAGATCTTCACCAGCAGCAGTGATCGCTTTGTTACCTGAGCCCGAGGCTCTCGCGGTTGTCGCGGCCGAGCGACCTTCGCGGGCGTACTTCATACGCTCATCACGGTCCATGTTATCCAATGGCTTAGGCTTTCCCCAACGAATCCGTAATGGACAGCCTTGAATGACAGCCTTACCCTGACAGTGCTGGGCAGCCGCCTCTGCACCTTCGCGAGTAGCAAAGTTTATAAACGCAGAGTGGGCGCGATGAGAGCAGACCAACGACCGGAGCTGTCCAAACTGCGAGAAGAAGGTGCGCAAAGTATGCTCGGGAAGGTCATCCTCAACACCAGTGGCAAAGAGGGACGTAACATTTGGATCCGCGGGTGGGAGAATATCCTCTTGGGAGGGCGGCAGTTGAGCCGTGCCGGGGAACGGACGGCCTCCACGCCCACCACGCATACTTCCCCGTCCTCTTCCTGGTAAGGGCGTCCCCCTCCTGCTCTCGGTCGTACGGATGGGTCCAGGGCCATTGCCATAACGGCTATGTACCACCGGCGCGTTTGTTGACAGTTTCTCGCTCTCCTCATCCTGCGGAGCCTCGATTTGACGGGGCTTTCTATAATAGGGTTCGCTGTTTGCTAGTCTCCTGAGCAGCTCACGCGCTTTCTCGTCTGTTTTCTCATACGCTTCGACCGCACCGCGCCCTTCTTCGATTTCCTTCTCGTGCTCCTGCGCATAGTATTCACGGTTGATTGTGCTTTCCGGGCCCGGGGCAACCATCTTCAGCGCAGCATCACGGACGACGATTGGCAGCCCAAACGACAAATCGAGCATGCAGCACTGACAACAATTCTTCAGACGCGCGCAGGTTAAGCAGATCGCCGTTCTCTTGGTGCGTGCCGTGCGGTCCGCCTTCCAGCGGAATATGGTGAAAGGGCGAGTGCACTTTTCCATCAATTAGCATAGCATTCAAAGTATTGTAGACGTAATCAACACGCGGAGCCAACTTACGATTTTGCATTCTGCGCCATGGTCCTCCTTCAGCATCTGCACGTACGGATTATCGGGCAGGCAAGTTTCGCACACGGAGGGAAAATCGGTTGTTTCCCATCCTGATCGGTTCAAGTCTTGTTTAATCTGCGGAGGAGGCATATTGATGTGCTATTGTCCTAGCTCAAATGGTGCGGGGGCCCAGAGCAAGGAGGATGTGATGTGTTGGTGGCGTTCAATGACCGGCAAAAGAATGATGATTATCGATAGCAGCGTTTCTTCCAACTGTGGCTGGGGTGTGGCGTATGTGGCTATTGTGCTGACATAATGCTGGAATCCCACGTGATAGATTGGACGGCCCAGAGAAGTTGGAAAATTTCGAGGTAAATGCGTATGTGGGGAGCTCCATCGATAAGAATCTATTATTGAAGATTAAGTGTCCAAGCGAACGTTGCTCAGGGTCCACCAGCAGCTTGTAACATCAAATCAATGTGGATTTTAATCTCCTTCAACATTGAATACGCGGAATACGATGGTTTCTCACATGCGACTGCTCGAAGGGGTTTAACGCCGTGTCGGAATAACATCCTTCCGGCTCAAGGGCCAGAACCCCGGATGGCTCCTTTCGGTCTAGCCTCCCGCAGCGAGGTTGGCTGGCCAGCTGATTGGCAGGGGAAGTGTCAAATCGTCGCAATTCCGTCTCCTTTCTTTCCGTCGATCTTGTTTTGCTCTGTGAATTTATTTCGCTGCTCTATTTTTGACCTCTTCTTTTCTCATTCTTGTCTCTCTTTTTCTGTTGCCTATCCGGCTACTTGGCTTCTTCCTTCCTTTCTTTGCTTCGTGTATAAATCACTCAGAAGTTTCCCGCTCTGTCATTGCCATCCTGCTGAGTTCTTGTCTTCACCACTTCACCCCTTTTTTAAACCTTCAACACGCCTGAAGCCAATTGCCTTTAACCATGGCTCCCGCTACTTTGGAACAAGAGAACCATACTCGTGACGCTGAATTCAATCGCGTCCTCCATGGACAGTCGTCCCAGGCTCAGGGCGGTTTCGCTGCCATGCTTGGAGGAAAGGACGCCGCTGCGCAGAAAGCTGCAGTTGATGAATACTTCAAGCACTGGGACAACAAGGATGCCGCCGAGGAGACTGAGGAGATTCGCGCGGTAAGGATTACTTCAATCGTACAGCTCGTCTACATGTGGTCTAATTATCTCAACAGGCCCGCCGTGCGGAGTATGCCACCTTGACCAGACAGTATGTATTGCAAGCCCAGCTTCATACCACTGGTTTCTCTCCTACTAAACATTCTTCAGTTACTACAACCTTGCGACCGATTTGTATGAATACGGATGGGGTACCTCCTTCCATTTCTGCCGCTTTGCCCAGGGCGAGCCCTTTTACCAGGCCATCGCCCGTCATGAACACTATCTAGCCCACACCATGGGAATTAAGAGTGGTATGAAGGTCCTCGATGTCGGCTGCGGTGTTGGCGGTCCCGCACGTGAGATCTGCAAATTTACGGATGCCAACGTGGTTGGATTCAACAACAATGATTACCAGATTCAACGTGCCACTCGCTATGCGGAGCGCGAGGGATTGAGCGACAAATTGAGCTTCGTTAAGGGTGACTTCATGCAAATGAGCTTCCCCGATAACTCATTCGACGCTGTCTATGCCATCGAGGCTACATGCCATGCTCCTGAGCTCGAGGGTGTGTATAAGGAGATTTTCCGTGTGCTGAAGCCCGGTGGTGTGTTCGGTGTTTATGAATGGCTTATGACCGACGAATATGATAACGATAACGCTGAGCACCGCAAGATCCGTCTGGGTATTGAACAGGGAGATGGTATCTCCAACATGGTCAAGGTGTCTGAGGGTCTTCAGGCCTTCAAGAACGCCGGCTTCGAAGTCCTTCACAATGAAGATCTGGCTGACCGTCCCGACGCTATCCCTTGGTACTACCCTCTTGCCGGATCGTTCAAGCACATGACCTCGCCTTGGGATTTCTTCACCATTGCCCGCATGACGTGGTGGGGTCGTGGCATCGCCCATCGCTTCGTCGGCGCTTTGGAAACTGTTGGACTCGCCCCTAAGGGTACCCAGAAGACCGCCGACAGCTTGGCGTTGGCAGGAGACTGCCTCGTGGCGGGTGGTGAGAAGAAGCTCTTCACCCCCATGTACCTGATGGTTGGACGCAAGCCCGAGTAAATGCTTCTTAGAATTTGCATTATGTGAAACGTCTGTACAAATACCTCTTTCGTACCAGCATCCCACCTACAGACGTGGCGGAGTATTCCCTTTAATCCGGTGTCATGTATTCCATGGTTGACTTACTTTTCTTCGCCTTGTCATTATTATTATTACACACCGCCGTGGGACGCTATGTTTTTTGTTTTCATCTCATGTGTTGTCCGAGTTGGCGGACATTCTACGAGTCACTGCTGGGAATGCGCCATGGTGATGATCTTTTTGATTTCGTATTTCCTTGTTCTCTAGCAAAATGTGTTTCAATAGCCGTCGGTCTGCCGCAGCAAAATTCCTTATCGTGTGTTGAATAGAGATCTTCATGTACGGGCACGCTTCGTCTAAAACTACCAATTCCTACCAAAAATAATGTCCATCACCCGTATCGAGAAACTGAGGATACTTTGCAAGCTATACCTTTTGTACCGACTTTTGCAACGGAGCTCGTGCTTGAAGGGCGCTTGGACCATGTGTTTGTAAAATTTCAGTGTGCTTAACCCAGCGAGTGGTGTACGTATATACACCACTATTAAACCCCAGAGGTTGAAAACCCATGCAGCTATGGGTGTGATAATTGTCAAACGATAGTTAAAGAAGTAATAGACTTATTGACCTCCAAGTCGAGAGATGATTGACCTCAAACTAGCTTTATCATGGTTATCTGTGCAGTGTGGTCCTAGATCCATAGCTGTCGCACTAAAAAATATATATACTTAGCAATGTATCCTGGTAAATGTGCTAGAATTACTCCCTCCCAACGTGTACATTCGACTATATTAACCTCTTCACCTTCCCAAATTTTGTGCTACTCGGACGCTTTATTTTAATATTGTCATACAGACCCGATAGGATCTCACATATTATTATGTAGGTCGATTAGGTACGGCCAGTACCAGCTCAAAGGTATCCGGAGCAAAGTAGCTAAGAGAAAAAGTGTAACCACTATAGCCCTCCAAGGAAGCGCTGTAAATCTATTATAGTTCTCGTATATCTGAATAGGGTTGAGTGTCTTGAAGTAAAGCGAGGTGTGCATTGGACTTGTGTTTGATAGGTTCATATTGAAGTCTTGTCGGTGACCCGATGCAATCACCGATCGCCGGTAATTCTAGTACTATCGGCATTCGGCCTTTGTAGTGGGGACAAGCTTTAAACGTCCTACTTTAAAATATAGACCCTTGGGGTTGTGTTCAATATCAGAATGTGCCTCCAGGATACAGGTGCATTGTCCTGGGGTTAAATTTCCGCTAGAATTAAGACCAACGGTTGCGTCTTCATTACTATCTCTACATTTCTACGTAATACTATATAACCTATAATCATATCATGTAGAATACGTCAAATTACCAGGGTTTCTAGTACTTGGCTAACATATACATATACGACCCAAGTTTCAAGAAGCTTTTCCAAATTCATTAGATAACAATTTCTCGGTCAATCCTCGGAGACCCACCCGAATGTAACCGTCCGTAACCGTTATAACGCCGAAGTCGGTTGTGGAAGTATACCCAAGTTCTTCCCCAAATTTGACTCACCTTGAAGGAATCCTCGATCTTTAGCAATATATATTTTCGGTAGAGCCTGTCGGATTTAAAACCTGGTTTGCGAATACAACGTCGCTTACGTTCTCTACGCATGCCACCGTCCACAATGTCGCAGTCAGAAACAACACATTCGACCATCTCCCACAGGGCACAGAGTGCCCTCGTAGCAGGATCAAAGAACCTGATGTGGGACGTGATGAACGATCTATGGTGTGAAAAGACCAATCCAAATGGATATGTGAATGTGGGTGTTGCGGAGAATGTCCTGATGCATGATCACCTGTTGAGTTTCATCAACCGGCAACTCGACCTGCCTGCCAAATTACTCACGTATAATGATGGACCTACTGGGTCAGGGAGAGTAAAACGTGCTGTGTCCGCTTTTATCAACCGACACTTTCGCCCCTTGCATGCGGTGGACGCCAGTCATCTGTTCATTACCAACGGCGTTTCATCGGCAATCGAGCATGTGTCTTGGGCGATAACGGAACCTGGCGAGGCAATTCTTCTGGGAAGACCGTACTATGGGACGTTTATACCGGATATTTCACTACGACCTGGAGCAACAGTTGTCCCCGTGAATTTTGATGACTGTGATCCGTTCAGTTTGGAGGCAGTCCAAAAGTATGAACAAGCACTATTGAGCTTCCAAGAAACGACAGGACGGAAAGTAAAGGGGTTGGCACTCTGTCATCCTCACAATCCACTAGGACGATGCTACCCCAGACACGTGCTAGTGAAGTTGATGGAACTCTGCCAGAGATACCAGATGCACTTCATTAGTGATGAGATATATGCGTTGTCCGTCTGGAAGAACACCGTCGACGAGAGTCCTACGCCTGTGGACTTTGAATCTGCCCTCTCACTCGACTTGACAGGCATTATTGATCCCCAGCTTGTTCATGTCCTCTGGGGCGTGAGCAAGGACTTTGGTGCCAATGGTCTCCGACTGGGCGTTATCATCTCACAAGCCAATCGTGATATGCTGGCTGCATTAAGGAATGTTGGCCTATATTCTTATGTATCGGGGGTGTCGGAGCACCTGGTAGCTCTCCTGCTCGAAGACGTCGATTTCACGGATGAATATATCCGGTTGAACCGCGAGAAGCTCTCAGAGAATTATGCGTTCGTTGTGCAGCAGCTCAAGAGCAATGGTATTGAATATTCGACTGGAGCCAACGCTGCATTCTTCATTTGGATGAACCTCGGGAAGAAGTATCGCGAACTACACCCTGAAATCAAGGATGATGAAGATGTTAGTGAAACGGTCATGGGACTCTTACTACAGAAGAAAGTCTTCTTAGCTAGCGGCTCGTTGTTCGGCTCGGAGCGTGGTGGATGGTATAGAATAGTCTTCTCGCAGCCTCAAGAATACCTGAGCGAGGCTGTACGCAGAATCATGGCCGCGCTTGAGGTTTAGGATGGGGGGTTCGTTTTCTCGAGAATGACGGCATTGTCGACCATAGCGATCTCACCCTGGAGCCAATAGCGACTATTTAGATAAGAAGCCGAAGTTGCCTATCTGAAAAGTAGAAAACCAAGGCTATATTAAGTTCACCAACGTCCTCTTGCATGTACGGCCGTATCCTGCGAAGAAGACAAATACAGCAGAGGATACGTTAGAGACCTCATGAACAGTGAGGTCTCATATAAACATTATGAAACGGCTATGACCAAAGACGAATGTGCGTCTCTTTGTTTCTGTGTTCCGCATTGGAGTATTGATCCGAAAATCTGCAACACAACTAAAGTTCACCCAGACTACACTTGAAGATGTGGTTGTGTATCAACCCAACTGCCACGCACGCTTAAGGTTCGCTGCTATCTTCTCTATCTTTACTATGGCATAGATTGGCGATTGATACATTCTAAGCATCCTTAATCCAAGAATGCATGACTTTTATTGGCTCTTGTTCCACATCTGCTCTACTACCGTTATCGCGACTCGAGAGACGTGTCTTTCCGCCGGACATCGCGTATGGTAGCCGCGTCAAAGCGTAACAGAGGCAAATGAGTGATATAATTCTCGTTCAAATCTAGACACTTCAGTTACCATGCAGCGTTGCAACTACATGACGGCCCGGACCTTTCTACGCGTACATTCCCACGGATGCGGAAGGTGCCCAGACAGGATACTGGACGCAACTGGTAGGACATCATATTCATTCCCCATATCGAGGATACTTGAAACAGGGACTGCCTTGTTACGCATGGTTCATTTTCTCCCAAGTCTTTTTTTGCTGTGTGTCTTTCTAGCCGACGGTTTGCACTTAGGGACTACCATGCCTGCCACACCCCAAAGTGAAGTCATTGTTTCCTCAGACAACTTGGGGAATATAATTGTTGCCCGCCATGTGCCTGGAAATTTGGAATCGAAGGCTGCTCTCAGCGAATCAAAGATAGAGACGCCTCGGGCTAATGACGGCCAAACCGTACAAACGGCCACCAGCTGGAAGGAAAGATATGCTCTTTGGGCCGGGTACGTTTTGCATCGTGTGGAATTCTGAGCGTCCCACTGACATGCCAAGACTGGCTATTCTTATGCTTGTATAGTATGTTTTGTCACCCGCCTTCACGGGGAAAAATCCGTGGCAGTCACTTGATACGTTCTTTAACCTGTAGAAAGCAAAGTAACTTGGAAGTCTTAGTGATCTAGACATATCCACTCAGTACAACTACTTGACATATGCAACGTCCGATCTTGGTCAACTTTCGCGTCTCGCTATCATAACAACCGCCTCCAGTATTGTCTCGGCCGTTTGCAAGCTTCCGATGGCCAAAGTCTCAGATATACTGGGTAGGGCGCCGGCATTTATTCTAACAATCATTATACTAACAATATCCTATATTCTTTGTGGGGAATCTCGGAACTTGGGAACCTTGACAGCCGGCAAGCTATTGCACAGTGTTGGCATAGCTGGGATTTCACTTCTTACCACAGTGCTGGTATCTGACTTTACCAGCCGCCGATGGAGGGCTTTTGCATATAATGCCATTTACGCGCCTTATTTGGTCATCCCTTGGTTTGCAGCCTTTATTGTTGAAGCAGTTGTACATGGCATTGGTTGGCGTTGGGGGATTTCCATGTTTGCAATCCTTATGCCGGTCTGCGGAGCTTCACTCGTCATACCAATGCTGGTCATACGACTACGGGCGAAACGAGCTGGTCGAGCAGTCAGGGTACAAATGACTCTCCGTCAATTCTTCTCTGAGATTGATCTTGGCGGTACTCTCCTCATCATGACTGGATTCGCAATGTTGTTGCTGCCCTTGAGCGTAGCAGCTGAAACACCAGCTCGCTGGACAACACCATGGGTGAGCGCCGTATTGATACTCGGTTCAATTACCCTATGCTGTGTGTACCCATATGAGAAACGGATCGCGAAGAGCCCAGTTGCACCAGCACGATATTTTCATATGCCAGGAGTAGTCATTGTCTTTGCGCTATCCTGCTTGGATGCTGCTGGGAAGACCTGTGCGGAGACATATCTACTTCCATGGTCACTTGTGGCTCGCCACCTTTCAGTTCGGAATGCATCATTTCTAATGTATACTGCAGATGTCACACAAGGATTGGCTGGTATCGTCACGGGACTAGCGATGTACTTGATGAAGTCTTATAAATTGATCGGTATCGCTGGATCTCTGGTTCGCCTTGCCGGTTATGGCGCGATGCTGCACATAAGGAGTAACACTAGCTCTTCAGCAGCGCTGTTCGCTACACAGGTGGTGCAAGGAATCGGCACCGGCGCTATTGAGACTGTGTTCATCATTGCTGCGCATGTCGCTGTTCCCCACGCTGAAATGGCTCAAATCACATCTATAACCCTCATGGCGGGCCATCTCGGAAAAGGCATTGGGAGTGCAATAGCAGGGGGTATTTACACCGGTACGTTCCGAGGGCGGCTCCACGCTCGACTTAAGGACGGAAGCAACACAGCCAGGATTGAATCACTATACAACTCAGTTACGGGTGATTTACCAGCATGGGGAACGCCTGAGCGTTTGCTCGTCAGTCAGGCAGTAAGTTGAGACGCAAAGTCAGTACTCATATCTTGCCGGTTGCTAATATCCATGTGTAGTATTCTGATGTGATAGGGTTCGTTGTCTTAACAATGGGATCAACATGACCCACTAACTCCGCTTAGATATATTTGCATCGCTGCCCTGGTGCTATCAGTTCCTGTATTTGTCCTGGCCCTGTTTCTGCCCAACACAAATCTTGAGTGCGTATGTCCTCTGTGAAGAATAGAGAGTGCAAAGTTAACCGAGACACTATAGGGACAACCTTCAAAGTCTCAGAACAAATACAACAATCGACCAGGATGAATTCTATACATCTATAGAGGCACAACAGTGTCGGGAAAGGAGCCAAGTGCCGAAGGCATAGAAAACAATGATATCTATGCCTTCCCGGAAAAATGTGCGGCAGAATTCACTTATAAACGCCGGTCACAAGTCTGATATTTCGTCCAGCAATAGCTTACCAATGAGCCTTGGACGATCGAATTCTTATTTTCTATGTGTTATATTTCTAATATGCAAGGGCTCCGCCCAACGGGCATATCACTTCATATTGCACAGCAGTATCAATGATGGTATTTCTCGAACACTAACGTGATTAACTTCCCGGAACAGCTGTAGGAACAAATGGCGCTATTGAAGGATTCGGCTGAACTGGGTAGTCACCGGGTGGCTCTTTCATAGCCTCGAAGACTTCAGTCGCAACCGAGTTCTCGTTCACGTATGCCAGTAATGCCTCAAAGTCGCGACATACATGTTTGTTCATAAAGTCTGGGAAAGGTTGATCCCAGCCTCCAACCCAATTAAACAAAATTACGTCAACAGAACCTTGGCATTTGATAAACTGGGCCAGGATATCAATACAATGAGTAATATGGGCCGTGTGCTGGGCATCTGGGTTGTTCCCGAATTTTGGGTAATAGTAGTGCTCGTAGGAGATCTCCTTGCGCAGCATATCAAGACAGTGAAGGAGATGGAAGACTTCTGTCTGTGCAAGGTATGCATCAGGCCCATAGCCGAACTCATCAGGGACTCGGACTGCTAGGGTCGGGTCTTTGCCTAACTTGCGGACCTCGTCCGCTGACATTAAAATCGGGAAGACCCCCGAGCTTATCCTGGACCACTCGGCGTCGGCTTCATCGCCTTGGGGCATGCGCATAATAGAGGGCGGCTTGGAGTCATACAATGAGCCGTTCGTCGTTAGCACGACGCGCGGAATATCAAATCTTTCTAGTATAGGCGCTGCAATAGTGCCTTAGCCTGTGCTCTCCCGCTTGTAAACACTTTTTTCGTGGGATCAGCTTACCATAATACGAGGTCGCTTTCCATTTGTCTTGATCACTGAGATGGCTGAGGCAGGCGCGGCTGGAGAATGGTGATAAGAGGAATAAGATTGAGCCGCAGAAAATCAGGATGTTTAAACATATCATCCAAAGACTTAACCATGGGAGTCTCTTCCGTTCGGGACCAGGGCAGGACCAACAATTCCCTGACTTCGCTGGCAGAGAGTCAGTTAAGAGACCCCTCTCGGAATCTCTTTCGCTGTCGCCCTTGCAAAAGCTCCTCTCCCCATCGGTGGACGTCCTTGCTATCTCCTTGGTTTTGCAGTGTGACATGATATCTTTCTGCTTGACTGAACGATGCAAAGGATAGTCAAGAGACTAATCTCACCCATATTTCAAGGGCCCAACCGGAGACCCTGAATCAGGTGGCGGTTGCTTGTTTGTTCACCGCAACACAGAGGGACCCAGTCAGCATTCGAATTTGGACTCGCATATGCTAGTGTTCGAATAGAGTAAGAAAGGAGGGGTAGATATCTCTGAGAGAAGTGGGTGCTGGTTGAAGTTGTGTTTGGCATTGCATCGGACTTCTTGTTATGGACAACCAAATGTCCACTGTATGCCAATAATCACGAAGTCTAGTCGTCCCTTACAAATTCAGCATGTGGCATGAATCAAGGAGGGGTAATAGCAGTGTGACCGACCACACCGCTGGAAAGCCCTCAGTGAGATGTTTGTTATATGACGTTGTGGGCTATGATAGGAAAAAGCAAGTAGCAGGGAAGCGGCAGGTAAGGAGTGGTTTTTCAGCTTGCCACCGAACCTTGCCATGCGGTGACGTGACTACACTCCATCATGCTCTGGTTAGAAGTCTTGCAGGACAGGTATTCCTAACGAAACTCCAAGGTATAAAATTAGGCCCCCTCAGGGGCAATATTGTGCTAGATATCGAAACATCTTTCGAACACAAGTTCCTACAAAACGCCACAAGTTCCATGACCCCCCGGTCCGACGTATCTCTACCAGTTGTACCTTGTCCTCTCCGTTTGGAAAATGCAGTTCAACATCTTTACTGTGCTGCTTGCCATCGGTCTTCCACTGGCCATGGCATCTCCTCTTCGTAAGGGCTAGCTCTTGTTATTTCCGATCAATATATACTCACAACTCTGTATGTAGCCGTGGAGGGCGCTGAGGCTATCCCATTCTACCCGAAGCGCAGTGAAGATGCTGAGGCTATTCCCTTCTACCCGAAGCGCAGTGAAGACGCTGAGGCTATTCCATTCTACCCTAAGCGGAGTGAGGAAGCGGAGGCCATTCCCTTCTACCCTAAGCGGAGTGAAGACGCTGAAGCGATTCCCTTCTACCCGAAGCGCAGTGAAGACGCTGAGGCGATCCCATTCTACCCTAAGCGCAGTGAAGACGCTGAGGCTATTCCCTTCTACCCGAAGCGGAGTGAGGAAGCGGAGGCTATTCCCTTCTACCCGAAGCGCAGTGAGGAAGCGGAGGCTATCCCATTCTACCCGAAGCGGAGTGAGCACGCCGAGGCGATCCCCTTCTATCCTTGAAAAGGTCTAGCACGAAGCTCAGGGAGCCCATTTATGAAAGTATGAATGAACTTAGAATGTGCTGATGATATTGCAACAAACTTTACACGATCCTTCTCTGTGTTACTCGCTCCTCTATGCTCTTTGTTTCAGACAGGCTCTTAGCATGCAACTTCCGGTTTCCTGACCTGGATGATCGATTGCCTCGTCATTTCGAAGTTCATTCAAGAGTTACTTTACCTCTAGTTAGCTACGTGTGGAAATTGCCACAGCAAATTCAACATCGCGGGGTTATCCTAGTCTCTTAAGTTCCGTATGAATGGTGCTTATCAGTTTCTGTGTACGTAAACTGTGGTAATTCATATTTCTATATGTTTTCTCTATATATTACACGTAATATTCGTGAACCATGTACGCTCTGCCATAGATGAGAATACGAGTGACCGAAGCTATATTTCCTTACATGCGCCAGACATACCACCAGTCCCATGCTATAGTGCAAATTTAGACCTCTAACCATCCATCTGACGCAATTGCTGGTACCTATGAATGTGACACATAGGCCCTTGCGTAAAACAGGCTTGCACCACTTTGGACGATTTCAAGTTCATGCAAGGAGCTCCGATTAACTTGCCAAGAGGGATGCCGGAGTCGGTCAGAGGATCCTGACATTACTGTCACAAAGTATATGCATGCAATGATAGACGTAGCTAGTACATTCCAGACGGCAAATAATCGGTGAGTGAAGAAAGGATGCTTTAGCCACTCCTCCCTCCCCCCCACCTCATTTTTAACTACAAGCGGAATACACCAATACACCAGTCCTAATTTACTGTATATTGCGAACAACCCATTCTCATATATTAAGCCAGCCAGTCTCGGAAGGGGTAGCAAAATGTTGAGGACACAGATCGAAAGCCATTCGATGGTCAAATACAAGCCAGTGAGCGATAGACCAAGTATCGATATCGGCTCTCCTCTCGCCCGAGACTCTGAATCAGATATACCAAGGGAAAATGGCGTCGACGACGCCTACCTCACCCCTGACCACTCAAGAAGACCTCGTCGTTGCGAGACTTTCTACCGAGCCCCTATCAAACAAACCTTTCTCATACTCCTTGCCGGAATCGGTCTCATGAACTTAGGATACCAAGTGTACTGGTTCCTTCGATCTCTGAGACCAATATCGTGCAACTGTGGTGAAACTGTTGCAGAGGCCATTGCAAACGGTTGTCGGTACGATTCATTCGCTGCAGCCTGGCTACCTCCGGCGTGCCGGAACGATGAGTTGATCGATCGCTTTGAACAGGCAGGTCCGAACCCTGATGGTAGCTGGCCATACTACGGGGATAAGAATAAAACACAAGTTCTGTCCGTTGAGGAAGTCTCGATGCTTCCTGAGACAGGGGGTCATTTTTTCACCACGCACCAATGGCATCTTGTTCACTGTGCCTATTATTGGAAGAAGATGTTTCTAGCTGTGGAACAGGGGACAATTATTGAGCATCGGTATAATAACCTGGCTCATTTGGATCATTGTGAAATGATGTTTTTGAAACGGGACCCATTGGATACCATTGTCACGGAGGCTGGAGTGGCGCTTCATTCAGATGTGATTGTGACCGCGAAGAAGCATAAACATGACCACTGAGATAGGACACGACAGGTCCAAGTCCACGTTAGCATATTATACTTTCAGATCATGACAGCATTCACCTCTATTTAGTGACCATCTAAATCTGCATTTATTGATTGCTTTTCACACCTTTGTGCTTTGTGTAGAAATCATATAATATTCAGCACAATCTGTTACGAGTATGATATGAACTGATATCTCGGGACTTTTATTTTTCAAATTTAATACATGATAGGGAATATACTATAGAGTACGTGAATATTGCAGTGCATATACTTATTTTGCTGCAAGTACAGACATATTGAATTTTCCGACTTCGATAGCATCCCGCTGTTGCCGAGTGGCTGCTATTGCTATGGTCTACCGTAATAGGATTGAATTGAATAGCGGGACATTCATTTACAATGAATTTCAACTGCGAGGAAGTGGCTATATAAAGGCATAATATCACCTCTTCTCCTCAACTCTCCTTCCACTCCTCAGCCTGCCTGCCTTGCCTACTAGTATTATCCACTTACTCAGCTGCCATGGCTACTGCCCAGATTACAGTTAGCCACCCACTTGCTATTCCCATTGTCTATCAGCCAAGTGCATCAGAATCCCCCACTGTATCTCTCCTGGGACTGAACTCCACTGCGGCCAGCGTCAGGCTAGATGTTAGCGCACCATTCTCCGCCATCCGTATCCGTACCCTCTTCGATACCTATACGGTCATGCAGATGATGCTGCCAAGCTCAATGCAATCTATCCCCGTCGCGGAATCTTCAAGACAGCTGCAACTATTAAGACCTCTTCAGACCAGAAATTGACAATCGACCTCTCTCCAAAGTGTGTCGCTCCGATCCCAGCCTCTCTGCAGCAGTCTCTAGCTGGACACGGTCTTGAGGACATTCTTGATTTCTTTAACACGCTCGGCACGGAATATGTCCCATCGATACTCTCCTCTCTCAGTATCATCGCTGGCACCGATCCTATAGCCGCACACAGTACCTACAACATGAACTTCCGTCTTTGCGACTATAACCCCGTCACCGCTGCCTCTGAATCCTTAAATGGATGCGGCGCCCACACAGACTATGGCACCTTCACTATAATCTTTCAAGACGGTACCCCCTGCCCTTGAACTCGAGGACGCAGACGCACCTGGTTCGTGGGTCCCTGTTCCGGGTGATGCCACTGTAATCTTGACCGGCTGGTGTGCGGTCATTCTTAGTGGTGGGCGGATCACTGCAGCTAGACACCGGGTTAGACGTACACTGGGCGTCCGTCGGCTGAGTGCCGTTTTGTTTATTGCGCCTGACCTGAATGTGACGCTCAGGCCTCTGGGTGGGATTAAACCGACACAGTCTTTTTCTGAGACTATCATGCGTGGTAAGATCGACACTGAGGTCTTCAAGGAAGTGATGGGAAAGAGATGGAGATATAGGGAGGGGAACGAGGAAATGGAGGGCCACGAAGTTGGAACTCAGGATGATGAAATTGCGAAGCTCATTTGGGCATGAGGCAGGGTGAAAGGATATTACGAAGGATTGTCTTCTTTCTCCGTGGAGGTGGTAATATTGGGTTAATTTAGGCGTTGCTAGGCTGAGAGTTTATCTCGTCATTGGCCGATTCTTAGGCGAGGCAATGGACCGAGTCACCCGACTCGCTTTCTATTGGTAACTATCCAACTTTGAAGTCTGTATAATACGTCTAGTAAGCATAGAAACTCTGCCATGGGCGTTTAGTATTCTGACTAACAGTCGTACCGTGAATCCCTGTAGCCGATCTTAAATTTATAATCAAAAGGATAGGTAATAGCCGATAGCCTCTAGTGCCTAGGCTCACGATATAATATTGTAAATATGATGTGTATATTGCAAGGCGACTTCATATTTTAGTTATTATCATACTGTATAATTTGAACGTGTAATACAAGGATCTCATCTCCGTATCAATTCCCTTAAATAAGTTGTTGTTTGAATCTGGCTGTTGTTTCTGTCCACACTCGTTGCCAACGAACCTAACAAATTACATGTTTTCGCCATACATAGGAGTTGTACTCCTGAGTAATAATCAAGATGATTACTGAGCCTCCTTATGATCCATATACGGTATCTGGGGTGCTAATATGAGATTAAGTTTAGACACGGATGAGTGTAGATCAACTCTCGGCCGTACACAGTTGAGCGTTTATTCACCGCGCGTCATCCTGGAGTCCTGGAGTGATTCTAGGCAAGATTAGAAATCAGCAATTACGGTACGTGATGTAAAAACGTCGGCTGTGTTGAACTTTCCAAAGTTCCAAGATATTTAATTTATGGGATGTGGCTTGTACGATCGGTACCATCCGGAACATCCGCCACAACGGCCATTTACCCCGAACGTTCGCGCTCAACCTCGACCGAGACACCGATGGCGAGCACTGCACCATCTTGTATATAAGATGTGTTTAATTTATCATGAGGTCTGGATCATTATGAGCGGCAAAGCCGTCCGATCTACAGTCCATCAATGGCTGTTCATCTTGGTGGTTGGTTGCGTGGTTACCAGATTCCCATCCTGAAAACCTATATCGGCCATTAGGCAATGCCTCGATATGTTAGTTGCAACATCGTCTCTGTTCTTCCAAAATGACATGCTAACCATACCATAGCTAGCTATCGTTCGGCACAGCACTCTCGAGTCATTTGGTCACTGCGAGAAAGAAGTTAAGAGGATGTACTGCTTCCCCACCCTTTCACCTCATGGCTACAGCCGCAAGAATAAACTTCTCTGACGTACATGTCACTAGGATCAAAGCGAGGCTGGCTGTACATGAAGCAACAGAGTTTAGCTTCTTCCTGCCGACCGCATCCTTGCCTCCAGTGTATTACGCATTGTATGGCCCCAGCCCCTGAAGCTTGCAAGCACAACCTTGGTAATCAAATACTAAGATAGGTTAGGTTTGTTGTTCCACGCCTGATTACGGAAATTGAAATGGATGGCTTAAGACTTGCCGATGGTCTTCTTATTGATGTTCGCCGCTTACAGGGAGAACTTGAAGTGTATAACATTATAGATCTAGTCTAAAGCATAGAGATATACTAGCATTTCTCTCTCAAACATGAGCCTTGCAGGAGGACATTTGTATATATAGATAAGACGGAGTACCAACCTTCCATAGAAGCTAGGAAATCTGGGATAGGGAAATGTCCGAATACTCTGGATGGATAGACTGTGGATACCGTTCGGTCGATATATGGTTCGCTAATGTCTGTCAAACCACACTTTGCTCATAGAGTCAGAGTTACAGCTCCTGCAAGTACATCTTGCCGTGCAATGCCTGCAACCTTGTTTTGACTTGTCCAGTAAATATCCGACCGTTGTAGAAGGCGGGCAAGAAAGATTAGTATACACATTGTGGAATGAATGGAGATTAGGTTCAGGGAATAACCGTGTACTAGACGACGAGTGGGTTGTGCAATGGACCTGTTTGCGAGAAATTTAAGCTGGGGGCAAAGATTCAGATCTCTCTTCCTTGTTGAAGTCAGAAATGCTGTAATCCAACAAGAGTGGCTGTACGGCCATACATTAGCGGCTCATATGCACATCTGTCACTAATCTCCATAAGTAAACGGGTAGTAAATGATATTCACCTATGTAACTTCTTCTATCAGTTTGGTTGCGCGGTCCGGAACGTGATGTAATTTACCCTGCATGTTTGTTGCTAGCTTAGCCAGATAGTGATTTGGTAAGTAGTGCAGCCTATAAAATGGAAAAGAAGTGGACAAAGATCTGATAGGCATGAAAATCAAGTGCTCATAGGCATTAACCAGTGAGATCTGTCCTGAACTAGTTTGTAACCGAACGGAAAAAAAGAAAGAAAAAAAAACCGATCCTGATCTCCACGCATAAAAGGTATAGTTAGATTGATTCTGATGCCCGGGAAACAAATCCGAAATAAATAGCCAAGGTTGGCGTATCCACATTGAAGAATAGCCAGTGAGTTTAAGTGGAGCCAATTACCCACTAAAAGCCTCCACAACATTTACAAATACACAGTGGGAACAAGCGCCCAAGAGCTAAACGTATGTACTTTTGCGCCCACCAAATTTGTAATTAAGCTTCGGCCGAGATATCGGCACCGAGTATACCCGCTTGTCCATCTGGCAGAACCATCATGAAAGGCTGAGCCGTAGCCTTATATCATATTTCTTTGCATGCATGGTACCATGAATGGCCAAAGCTTTTTTATGAAGCTAGGGTCGTACGGATAGTATATCCGAGAATGTAGGGCTAATTTCGGATTGATATAGGGTAGGATTTTGTCACCGTCATTTCATCTGCCAGCTTTATCACAAAGCGGACCACTTGACGGTCAACCCCTACTTCTTCCGTTTAGCTACCACGTAGTTAGATTCAATCAAATGGTCTTCAAGCCGATCATCTAGTATTCGGCCCCTAGAGGTCGATTACAGATTTGACCAGTTGGTTTATACGAAGATTGTAGGTGCTAGCAGATGTTGTGCCGGGTTCGAGACACAAAGGTCTCTCTTGGAAAATCATAGTATATACATAATTGAGACTAGGCAGTTTCCTGTCACTGTTGAACTTGCGCAGTGGCATTAGTGGTGAAATTCCCTCAGTCCCTTGTTTGCTCCACCGATAAGGAACTGCGTGGATAAGGGCTAACCCTCGCAGAGTAAATTAAAACCCATGGACAGATTGAGTCGGACAGTGCCCCTCGCAATCCAGGGCGTCATATAAGCGGGAAAGCTCTGCTGAGAGTATGACCTGCAGGCGAATCATATCGTCAATATCTTTTGGCATAGGTAAACCATTGCCATCTTGCTTGTCGCATATGGATGCCAATGATTGCCGACTCAACGTCACGAGAGCCTGGCTCAGCTTCATTATCTACATAACTCAGTAACGGGACTGTAAACTTAATGACTGCTGTAGACGTACTCTGTCCAGCGAGTGAGAGACATCAGGGGTCTGCTGCGATGAGGTATTGAGCTTCTAATTGAAACGGTGGCCAGGTTAACCCTACATGCCGAACCTCGGGGGTGGTCTAACAAACCATGTTTCCTTATCGCGATGAATGCGTGCTTTACATAAGCGTAGTGTGTTTTCAGTATCCTTCGCTTTTCCTGTGGAAGAGTTTCTGGAGCATTGGTCACTAGGTGGGGTGCGGGTGGTGCATGGCTTTTATCTTCCACATATTGACGGGTGACGGAGGTACTCGTAAGCTACGTGCTATAACCTGTGCTGTGGCACGATCTAAGGGGGAATACGCAATGTGTCCGAAATAAGAAAATATTGGCAATCATCTTGCCTAATTTCAAATCTACCGCAGAACCGCAAAGAGATATGATATCCTAGGCTAGAGAACGGAATTGTGTCGGGCATCCATAGCTTATGCTTCCTGGGAGGGTTGAGGTTGTGAGAACCACGTTCGAGGGTGTATTTTTCCACCGGCTGAAGAGACCATGATAGTTGATCCTCATCGAGATCAACATCCCAAGAGCCCGTATATAGAAATAGTCGTCCCAATTTACTAAGGCCTGGACAGCTACGGGGCGTAATGAAACAAGGATATGCTTATAAGTTCTCTTGGAGGATTAGCTAGGGTATGGCTAGAGATCGAATGATTCAGGACCAGAGCAGAGGAACAGCTCGGGCCCTCGGGGTAGCTCAGAAAAATATCTTGATTGCGAAACATCGAGAGCTAATACTCGGAAACGGTATTTCTGTTACAATATCACTAATGTAACCCTAAATTTCTATAAGTCGTCTTGGTCGCTATATTGCTCCGGAGTTAGCATGATATAGAGAGTGGTCACGGATTAAGGCTGATCAGAAGTCAGAGTCCTGATTTTATACCACCGAATTAGCGACAGAGCTCCACCAAACTCCCGACCAGAGAAGGTAGACTTTATTTTTGCATCATCCGGATATAAAATCCGGTGCCTTAGCGACCTATGATTGATCAATCAAATTCAAATTGCCGGCTAAGTTTCCTAATATTTATAAGATCCTAGTGCTATAGTAGCCCTCTTATTGATGCTTTAAGAAAGCGCACACACACGAAAGAGGATACAGCAGCCTTGGATCAAGGGGGTATGCATCCAAGCTTGCTCAGCATTCCATATCGAGATCCCCAATCTAGATAGAGATACGATGAAAGTCCGGCCACTGTCCATCGGATAGTTACCTTAGCGCTCTAAATATGGCTAGTGCCATTGGGCATGAATTGGGGATTGGAGGTTTAGTGGGCAGGCCAGGGATCGAGCGACGGAGTCCGGCTGGAGTGCTCGCATGCAATTCCATATTAGCTGCAGATGATCTGGACGGCGTTCTTCGGTTTTATGAAGGTAAGAAAGTCTAGAGGTAGTTAGGCTACTCTGCGGGACGGATCTGACAAATTAACAGGAAATTTGGCCCCATACGCGGGATGGTGGATCATGACATCTATCTATGCACCATCCCAAGCTAATACGTAGCGTTACAATATCACTGGGGGTATCTTGTTTACTCAATTAAGGCTGCAGCCAGTTGATAGATACCCGCTACTGGCGCCCATCATTTAACACAGAGGATTACCATAACAGTGGCAGCATCAAAGGAGAATATACCACTGCAAATTGACTTGGGCCCTGTGACCTTCAAAAAAATAATTTCTTAGGACAAGTGCTACGCATGAATGTGGATGGTGATGGAAAGGCTTTCTACATCAGCTTGCATGATTATAGAACGGATTCCCTATTAGCACCGCCCATGCTCACTCTACATTACATTAATATTATTTGCGCGCATAGTACCAGAGTACTGGTGCTTTCTTATCTACTATCGCCGCCGACTGCGATTCCGTTAGAAATTGTTTTGTAAATGCTCATATTGGATGAAACCCTTCTCGCATTGAGCTATAAACGACTATCTGAAATATGTAGTGGAGTCCAGCATTGGAAATCCTTACTGTTCAATGCAGGATTTGAGCCGTTATTTTACAACCATTGAATATGTGTAATTATGGTACGCCCCGCTGGCAGTTCGTTGTACCTATGAACGATAGACGATATAGTGCGTGTTCCAGATGACCAAAACTACATGCAACGGCTTTCGTTTCTTACATGGATGCCTAGGGAAGAAGGATCATTCGGGAATACCGAATCTGTGAATTTGGGGCATTAGCTGGTAAAATTGGCGTATGTGCTTACAAGAAGATGACCTACCAGACTATAGTCTGCTGGGTTGTCTGCTTGTAAGTGCGGCGGAGGTCCTCGAGGGCTTTGTCGACACAGTGCCGGTCTAGCGCTCTGATACACCTCTGGGGGCATTCATGCATTGCAAGATGAAATACTCTGAACCATTTTTGAGAAAGATGGCAATAAAAGGAAACCCCTTTTACGATAACATAAATTGAACAGGCTAACTTGAGCACGAGATTACAAATTAAGTGCGCGATATGGTTCATAAAATGTCGGATCTAGAGAAGGAACGGATAGCATTCACTCAGACGCAGTCAATAGAACCGATTCCGGCTTGAATATTCATCACTAGCTCAGTGTAGCGCTAGATTAAGTCGGGACGTTACTTCCTCATGGATCGATCTAACGCCAGGCCGCCGGTAGTGGGAGTATATTTGCCAAGTCTGCATTGCGTACTGTAAATGTACTCTTAACATATAGTAGTATACATATACTCGGTACTACCTCCAAAATGTAAAATGTTTAAACATCGTAGGGCTAAATGAGATCTGGGCACAGATGGATGTCGTAAGATACTAGACTGAGGGGTCTGCTAGTCTAGCATTAGTCGGATCTTAGTCGACCAGTCGTACTCCGCAGCGAACCACCATGGTGGACGTCTGAGCCCCAACCTCATCGGTAACTTGTAGCGTTGCATCGCGAAATCTTTCCAAGTTCCTACCCCTCAATGGAGTACAGCATCGCCTTCGCCGTCAAATTATATACTCCCCACTCATCCTCATAGTCAGCGCCACCGTCTCCATTGTAGTCCCTGGTATATACATTTTCATCTATGTGGCCCGTTTTGATCGTCACACGCTAGTGCATTACCATGCGTCTCCAAGCCACCCGCTGCCTAGTCCTCCTGGCCACTGTCACAGTCGCTGGCGCTAACGATGTTGTATCTTTCCTTTATCCCGAAAGATCCTTTCCTAGCGACGCTAAGCTCATTGGCACTGTTCGTATCCCGATCCCATGCAGAGAGTACGCCTCTAACCATCACAACCAGACGGGTGGCGCCCTTACTACCCTTGTATTCAACTGTGCTGAGGTTGCACCCATTACTCTCGCCAGTGTCGCAGCTCCTAGATCTAGTGCAGCACCCGATGATGATGATCAGTGCTGGGTCCCCGACGCGGACTATACCATAACCGCGGGAAGCACCACCTTTGAGTTTGCCTATACGACCCATGGCTTGTATGTATCAATCACTCTAAATAGCTGTAGCATAAAGGCACCGAAGCACCGGATTGAAGGAACTAATGAACTTAGCACCATCTCAGCCGGCTGTTCTTTCGCCAGCACCACCTACGCATCCTGTAAAGCCATTAGTACGTTCGTCTCGGACACCGGAATTCAGAGTTTTGACAGCAGCTCCCGCATCCCCCATATGACTGTCACCATCACTGCCACTGAGTCTGTTCCTGCCAGTGCTACCGCCTCAGTCACAAGCTCCAGTGTTTCTAAGACCACCGCTTCTGATATCGGTAGTACTACACTGGGATCTTCCGTTTTATCCTCTGCAACTTCCACTTCCACCGTGGACACTAGTGACAATGCGGCTATGCCATTGGCCACTGGCACTGCTCAGTGGGTGGCTGGCGGTGCGGCTATGATGCTTGCGCTGGCGATAGCTTAGATATGAAGTTGGACGGCAAGATTATTCCACGAGGGGTAATTTGCTTGCTGTGTGGAGGTTGCTAGCTTGTTATGATCAATGAAACACATAGGGGGGGAGTGTGTGTTAGTAAAGCACGATATGAAGGAAGCTCCCTAACATCTGCAAATAGTATGTCTAGTGATGGGTAAATACCGTCCAAGGCCGGCCCCAAGGGAGTACTTAGTGCATGGAACATAGCACCTTTCCACACTGAGACTTTTCTTTTTATGAAATTCGATAGGATTTAAGTATATCAAGGTTGGAGCTTAGAATTCCAGGGTGAGCCTTCGGGGATAAGGACGAGAACGGCCCTCGGCCTTCAGTTCGTCCCGAAATCATCGAGGGTTTAGGTAATTGAATAAATTAGTGGAGTAGGGGTCTAGGACAGGCTACTACTGTTTAGCTTAGTCTGCAAGATTCTAGCTGTATGCGAAACGACACAGGTATAATCGAGCAAGTTGGACATGCTCTATCGCTGATCCTAGTGGGCCGGAGCTTAAGCATATTTCTTCTGTCAGCGTGCATGGTGAATCGGAGTTTATCTCGCTATACGCAAAATCCGTTGGATATTATAAATCCGACCTTCGATTTGCTATCAGATAAGATCGACACGTGCCGGACACCCGAATATCACGTGGCTTTGTCGGCCTGTGTATGCCGGCAAATCTCCGGTCCAATCATCGTCTCCGACGGCAGGTCTATAGATACCCGATTCAGAAAATATCCCGAGTGTTTGTCTCCAAATCCGAGATTTTTTTTTTTTTTTTTTACATCAGACGATTGACGTGATTGGCAATTACTTGGCTCATAAATTCTAAGGCATCTCGCCATATGCGCCATTATCAACGCCCTTAGTACTTTTCGCTACTCCTCCCCTGAACCGGTTTGGACGACAACAAGTTTCATAAAGATGAGCGAGAAGACAGAGATTGGCGAAGGCAGCGATAAGGCCGAAGTGCCACCAACTGCAGTCTCCTTTTTCGATCCCTCGCTGAAGTCCGTTCGACGTCAAGTGTTTATCCAATGGGGCCGTACAGGTGAGCGGAAAATCTTTGTTCTCTGCATGTCGATTATGCGATACTTACTAAACGGTACCCTCGTATAGTTCTCACGCTTTGCGTCTTCATCCTTTGTATCCTCTCTCTATACTGGGCGGTTCAGTTCCGCGTCGAAGAGAATCTCCATTCGTTAACAGTCTGGGTTGTCGACCTTGATGGGATGGTCGATCCGTATCGTGATACACAACCGATTGTGGGACCTGCAGTGACGGAGGTGGCAGAGAAGCTAATCCAAACCCCTGAAACCGGCCGATTGGGATATACCATCAAATCTCCGGATGACTTTAGCTATGATCCTTGGGCCGTGCGACAGGGTGTGTATGATGAGCATGCATATGCTGCCATCATCGTCAATGCGAATGCCACTACCCTTCTCCACGATGCTGTCAGGAGCGGAAATTCCTCGTACGATCCCACTGGGGCCGTTCAATTCGTTGTCATCACCGCTCGTGATGAAACGACCTATTCCAGTTACATCACACCGGGACTGACAACCTTTGCGAACACGGTTCTGGCCGAATTCGGACCACGCTGGGTACAAACTGTGGTGCAAGAATCGCTGAACATTTCGAATGTGCCCCAAGCGATAAACCCGGCTATTGGATTCAACACTTTGGACCTTAGGCCGTTCGGCCCGGCCGCTGCGACACCGTCTGTGACGATCGGCTTGATCTATCTGATTATCATCGCCTTCTTCAACTCCCCATTCCTGATGCCGGTTCACGCGCAGTTCCTCAAAGGCAATCATCCTCCCCTGAAGATTCCGCAGTGGCTGCTTTGGCGTGTGTGTTCCAACATTACAGCCTATTTCTTCCTGTCCCTGTTTTACTCCTTCGTGTCGCTGGCCTTCCAGATCCCGTTCAGCAACTCCCCGGCACCAGATACCGTTTCTGCTAGCAACCCGAATGCCTATGGACATGGATCCTTTGTGGTGTTCTGGATGTTGAACTGGGTAGGCATGAGTGCGCTCGGGTTTCCTCTTGAGAATATGGCCATGGTCTTAGGATTCCCCTGGAGCTCGCTGTTCCTTATTTTCTGGGTCATCAGTAACGTTGCCACCGGATTCTATGCGTTGGACTTAGCTCCGGGATTCTTCCGATGGGGTTACGCATGGCCGTTGCATCGGAGTAAGTCTGCCTCTTCTCTGGTAATTCAAATTAAGACTAATACAATCCAGTTGTCGAGGCGTTACGTACCATCCTCTTCGGGACACACTCTCGTATCGGCCTGGATTTCGGCGTCCTTTTTGCCTGGATCGGCGTATCTATCGTGTTCTTCCCGTTTGCCTCCTTCATCATGAGATGGAAGATGAAGCGGGGTCTCTAATTTGTGATCTTTCGTGATTATCTTTGTTTCTGCCTTATGTTTGCGCTGTTAGAAGTATAGATTAACCCCTATGGATTAGAGAGAAGTATAGATTAGACCAGTATAGATTAATGACACCATGCCGCTATTGTTGCATTCGGTTCAAATGACAGACTAAATCAAATACAGCTCAATTGAGTCGGTGTTTAACCAAAGAGGATTCAGATATCGATTTATGCACCCGCTAGTAGTTGCTAAATATGTATTAGCGGTAGGACCAGCCCCATTTGAAGCTTAAACTTAGGTCGCGCAGATCATACAGCTAAGCCTTTGCAGCATGGCATAGTGTGAAATTCTTAATACTTAACTGACACCCCTACCATTGAAGATTTCACCAAATAACTTGGCCATTACTGTGGAAAGTGGCCAGAGCCAAAGGCTATGCCTGTCATGCATAAAAGCTTCCTTTTACTACTTTGATAAAATGGTATAAATGTGCATGTAAGAAGGGGCTGAGCTTATATATACTTACTCCCGTACTCGCCGGACTAAAATCCAAATGAGGAAACTTTCGCTAAGCTAGAAGCATTATAAGACAGCGTTGGTAAACCTATGAAGAGGACCCCGGCCCGGGGTTTGATTATTCTCTTGGATAATATATTAAACGGTTGGTGCGAGGAAACAAAATGCTGAAGCGCATTTCCAAAATTCCAGTCTGACAATCGAGGTCTTATGGGGTAGCGGAAGGCTTAATCTGAACACCATATTGGGTTCAGCCCGTGACAGTAATATGTTTTACCTGGAGAAGTACAGAATGTAGGATGGTAAAGCTTTCATATATACAGGGAGGACCTGAGAATTCCCTCCTGGGGTTAGTTCTACCATTTTCAGTATATTCCTTTTTCCTAAAGTACCGCGGTGAGTATTCATTGATTGTGTTTTAGTATTTGATATTTTACTACTTTACGATGGGTTGCGGCTGGCAGCTTTGGTTGGACTACTCTGTGGGATGATCCGGCCTGTAAGCGGGAAAAAAGTCCTATAGTAGGTTCCAGTGCTAGTGTCCTATGATGATACAGTCTGTTTCTGCATACAAGGAGTCAAATTATTGATTAACGCTTAATTTCGTTGCTCATGAACATTTGCACCAAGTCTGACGTTCCCGAGTTTAGGATTCCCAAACATATCTCTCCTATAGCTGTGTTGAATAGCAAGCAACCAATTGTCATCTCATCACCCATTCAGACTTGTATGTTTCGATAGCGACTCGCCCCATATTCCACCATGGCTGGTCTAGTATGTTACGGACCATGTTCCCTGACCCATAACACTGTAACTCCCATCGACCGGTGCCGTCAGTCTTCCACTTAACACCACCCCGTTGTCCAGCTGGGAATCCATCTCAGATTCTCCAATGACCCCTTCCACATTGTGGATGCCATCCAGATCACCGTCGTAGGTAATTGTGGATGTCGGCACGGAGTATGCTGGGACCGCAGATGAAAATTGTCCGGTGAATGTCCTCTGCGTGTTGTCGGGCATCATATAGACCCCGGAAAAGTACCCTCTCCCATCACTAGTGAAGGTCCCATGGGCAGTATTACTCATCTATCCAAGGCTGGTTAGATGCAGTTCCAAATCAAATAGGGTCGGAGATAGATAATAAACGAAGCTTACTGTGTGTTTCAAGGAGATATTCGGATCAAAAAGACTCTTCTAATTTAGTTCAGATGTCACCAACGATGAATGGCAAATCTGGATATCGGACGGATAAAGAAAAGAGCTGCATTTTATTCTCATGGGTACATCACTTTACTGAAGAAGTATCATACTAATCATCTCAGCTTGAGGTGATCCGTATATGACGCATGGCTAACATGTTACTCGCCACCCATCATCAGATGATCTAAGCCTTGATGTCATATATGTCTGTATGGGGCAAGTCGTATGACCTTCTATCCCAAAGTTCATCTATAATTGAGGAGGTATTCTGGAACTCATCTGACAATGTTTGGTTCTCTTGAAGAAGGGCCTATCAACATCATGATGGACCTGGGTCCATTATAGAAATACTATGCTAAAGATTAATTCTTGACCAACTGGGCCAGTGACAATGTCGTATTCAGCGCAGGGACTCTACATGAACAGTTGATATAGAAATTATGTGGATAACTCCAGTATATTGCCGGTGCTTCACCTTTCAGCGCTGGAGCGAAAATCGATTTTACTGGTTGTCTACGTCATGACTCCATGTGTCATGGCCAGCATATGGAGAGTCGATGGAGTTCCCCGCAAGACCCAGCTCTGGGTCGTCGGGTTTAGCGGGGAACCCGTGCCACTCTAATAGCAACCCTCCCCGCTACTCATCCGCTACACACAGGAGGTAACCTCGACGAGGCAGAACGAATCGTAACATGGAGATGGTCATACACTAACCACCACTATTACAATCCAGATTCACCTTGTCACCAAAGTTCAAGTCGCCATGATCCAAGAACCAACATATAGGGATAGCGATAGACCTATTTCTCATATCTGGATTTGGAGGAAGGATCATAGACACCTTAGTTCTTAAGATCATTGGTACTGTTGGCGGGTTGAAGGAACATATGTCCGCTCCGAGAAGATGATGAGGATAGGTGTTATTCAGGCATGAACTGTGAGGTTGGAGCAGAGGGGGTGTTGGGGTGTGGAGGGGATTTTGGAGGCTGCTGGTGAACTTGGCATAGAGTGTGGTATTAGCCTAGTTGGTAGGTAATCATCCCAGTTATTAATTGTCCGCAATTGAACATGAATATCTTTCTATTTGCCTCGAATCTCGGTACCATGTTTCTCCGTACACGATGTTCATTCCATGATACCAACACTGGAAGTCTTTTGTAGACCGACATCTCTTATTTACATTTCGAGTGCTACTCCCAGGAAGCTGAAACCAGGAACAAAATCACTTTCTAGAAGCATACATCTGAAGAAACAACTTCAATGTTTCTGTACAATCTGAAACACCCATGATCAACTCCACCATTCGCAACCCCGGGCCGCACTGAAAGTCCTCCTTGGATAAAACACCATCAAGCTCCCCCAACGTTTTCACCTTCTCAGTAAGCACAGGATATGAATCGTCGGAAGGAGCCCCAAAATACGAAGGTGAATCCAGATATCGCCACATGGCAATATCATTGTACTCGGCATCCATGCCATGAATTAAACGCTCGATCGTGTAGCCATCATTATTGATCAAAAAGATAATGGCACTCAGCTTCTTGCGAATTATAGTGCTCAGCTCCTGGGCTGTCACTTGGAAGCTGCCATCACCGATAAAAAGGATTGTTCGCCCTTGTGAGCCCATATTTCGTTGTGCTAGGGCTACCCCTTGGGCGGCCCCGAGCATGTAGCCGATTGACAGCCAGACACCGGAGTTTATCATGCTCACGTTTTGAGGAAAGACGAAATCGCGTCCACCGTTACTTGCGGTGCCGGTCTCGGTTAGAATTATGTCTCCAGGACGAAAGAAGTGTGACATGCGCTTGAATAATACGTCTTGTGTCAGTACCCCTGTGCTGCTAACTGGTGGGATGCGCTTTAATGCAGATCGTGGGTCTGGTAAATTCGGGTACGGCCAGAAAGAGAGCATAACATCCCGAAGCTGGTCGAGTACCCTTCTCAATACACCTTTCGGTAAGATGTTGCACACCTTGCCATCAATAGTGACGGAAGACTGGTCGAAGACGATGGACACGTGGGGATTAGGAATCGTGGTGAAACAGGAGGTATTAACATTACTGTGGACCGGACCGATATTGATGATCAAATCACACGATTCAACGTATGACACATACGTCCCTTCTCCTACCGATGCATAAATGCCGTGGAAGTTAGGGAGAGTTTCATCTGTGATTCCCTTTCCGAAGGGCGTCGTGGCAGTTGGGAACCCCGTCGTTTTGACGAGCTCATCTGCTTCGCTTACTAGTCCGTAGCGTGACGTGCCGGCATCGATCAAAATGAATGGTTGTCTCGCATTGCTGATTCGCTCAACAATGATATCAGATACGCCCTGCTCAATCTCCGGGTTGTTGGAAGGTGGGCTGAGATCTAGAGGTCGGCGAAGAGCTGCGGTGGGGATAGGCTCGAGAACCATGTCCGCCGGAACTTGCAAGTAGACCGGTCGAGATTGAATGATACATTCCCGTATCAGCCGGTCAATCTGGACGGGAGCTGTGGAAGCATTGAAAAGATTCTCTTGTGCCGCCGTGATCTTGGAGTACATCTCTGCGAACATGGTGAAATCGCTTGGTTTCCCACTGCACACGGAATGGTGAAGTTTAGCCCCTCGCGTCTGCATGACACGTTTCGGTGTCCCAACAATGTGAACCACCGGAGCCATTTCCGCATATGAGCCGGCGACAGCGTTGATAGCCGATAGCTCTCCGACGCCAAACGTTGTGACTAGCGCGCCAATCCCTTTAACTCGCGCATACCCGTCCGCGGCGTAGCCGGCATTGAGCTCGTTGCAATTCCCAACCCACTCCAGCCCAGCTGGAACAATATAGTCCATCATCAAGAGATTGTAGTCGCCGGGCACTCCATGGACGGCCTGCAAGCCAGCCTGACGGAGACGTCGGAAGAGGTACTCCGCCAGATGAATCGTCTCAGACATGGTCATTTTATTGGCAAAGATAGCACTGATAGAGCTTCACGACTAAAGAGCTGCGTGCAAGTTTGACCCTTGCTCTAATTTATAATTCACCAACTACACCTAGCATATCTAGGAGGAGAAGACGACTGAATTCTGAAACTACCCGGAGTCGTATTCCGTGTTCTTTTGATCTACAACACCGCCAAGGCCCCTAACTGTGAAGGATTTCAGCCCTAATGCACGGCGTCTGGGCTAGTTATGAAAGAGGAGCCGGTTTATATTCTAGATTTAAACCACTGGCACAATTAGAGTGACTATATTGAGCTTGCAGGGTTATTGAATAGACTTAATTATAAGCATGTTTACTTTATTTGATGCTATTCGGTGATGGCTGCTTAGCAGTAACGTTTTATCTGTGGTCTTCCCCAGCCACTGCAATGGAGCAATTACAGTGCGGGAATGTCTCTTCACTATCCGTTCCATGGAACGGGAAACAACCATTGGCCGGCAATATCACAAAACCCCCCATTTTCCCTATCTTCATTTCATCCCATTATAAGAGACTAAAGGCCTTATCAAGCGGATCAAAAAACGCCTTACGAAATCTCCACAGATAGCATATTAATATACATCCTGGAACTATGAGAATATTTACTTGGTTTCCCACCATACCACGTAGTAGCGGTCAAGAGCCCGACAGTCGAAACACCTTCGAACACCCATCCCACTTTCTTCGGAACATTTTCGGATTTTTACTATATTACCTGCTCAGATGTCTTGAACTATACTCCATATAAGGTTAACAGGAACCACGCTAAGTGAAACTAAAAATGTGGGGCCGACAACAGAGGTCTCGGAAGCAGGGCAGGGTTCACTTTTTGGCTTCGGTGCATGTCTGTGCTAGCACCTCTTCGTGGGACTGACAGGCCTTGATTCTTATGAGTCTGTGGTACATCTAGAACTCTTTATCAACAGGGTTCCTCCACCCAACTTACGCGGAGTGTAGTGACCGGGTACGTCATCTGGAGCCAAGCTGAGCCAAGTAGTACGTTTCCTCTCTTGGCAAGTTTCGCATCATCTTAGTCTCCCCAGCGACATATGAAAGTGGGAGCCATCAGGACGACCTCCGTCTATGGGGTGCAGGAATATAGGTCCGGCTATCGCGCTAGTATCCGCACTCCACCTGCGCGGCCTTGGTTTTTGGCGTGGCATGGCATGACACGACATGAGAAGGGTAGGTGCTTGCTTTGTTATAGGCTGGTTGCGATTGGTTGGGCTATGGCTGGATCTATAGCTGTAAGTTGCGGCGTATATCGATTAATAGGTTGTTTTATGCTACGTATTCTTGTCTTTTGTTCTGTATATTTGTGTGGTGGCTTGTCGTCAGTATTTTGGTATAGAGCATGTCTTTTTCAATTGACCAATTAACCTTGTATATATTCTTACGAGAAGGAAGCGACAGAAGATAGAAGCTGGAAAGAAAATTGAGGTGGAGACAGCAAGGTAGAAAAATGGAGATACTATATAAGTCTAGTTCCTATAGTCCTTCTTTAAGTCAACTGCTGTAAACCTCAGTCGATGAACTTGCAAGGTTAGTGCTTTCTTGATAAACAGACGCTTCTGGCCAACCGGACAGACTCCGATAGCTCGGACCCCTACATGAGCTTTTTGTTATACTAGTAGGTCAACTATTAGCTTAGGTTGGTTTAATTGGGTCACCTGCATGAACCTGCGAATAGCATACTCAGCCTTGCGTATATTCTCGGTCAGGGCAGTGCCCTATTTTATAACGAGTAATCTTTTTATCAAAAGTATACGCCCACTATAATTAGGGTTGCTAATAATTGGAAGAGCTTCTGCTGCGGTCTTCATTTGACATTGCTTTAAGACGGGGCCAGGGAGCCGATATCCTCCTCAGTAATAGAGCAATGTAAAAAGTAATTCTCTGATGGTAGAGGGCTGCTCAGCTCCATCGAAGCCCTTTTTGTGCCTGGAGAGGCCTCGTCCCGCTATCGATCTATGCTAGTTGGCTTCTTGGTCAGTTTGCAATATAAGTTGATGAATTTGTGTAGCTCTAATATAAATCCATCCGTGTTCTTCTTAGATTTGGGACTGTATGGCGACGGTTAAAGCCATGCTGACGAGACACTCAAACCCCAATATATGGCTGTATAGAAGAATGTAAACTCGCTTTCGTTAGTAGTTTCCGAAACTATGTACATCACATTCGATGATTACTGGCTATCAATCCTGTATTAAGCTTCGATGAGGTCAACAGAGAGCATTATAGTCCCAAAATAAACTGGAGAGTGGAAGCATGCCAGCTAGTCATCCCCATCGAAGAATCTGCCATCGTCCAACACAGCCCCAACTGCCCAACTAATCCCAGCACCAACCACACTCCCATGATCCTCATCTCGATATTCCTTTACCCGCACCTTTTGCAATCGCCCACTTTGTCGCAGACGATTTGCTAACCCATCGGCGTTGTCTTTCATTTTTCTTTCCTGTGACAAAGCTTTCACTCTCCGGTACTTATCCTCGCTCCAGCTTGGGTGGCACCGCCGGCCTTGCTCCAGACTCCCATAAATAATCATTAGAGTAGGCAATGTGTTTGATGACTTAGACTCTCCACCATCCAGATGTTGCTTCAAGAAACGCTCTGCTTCTTCCAGAATAAACTCATTGCTCCACCATATTGAAGGACTAATGGCAATAAAGGTATCAAAAGGCGTTATGTTCTCAAAAAGGGCATGTAAAGTGCAAAGCCCGCCCAATGAATGCCCGATGAGGATTTCTTTATTCACGCAGAGGCTAGAGAAGACGTCTGCAAGCAAAGTGGTCCGTACAGTATAGACAATGAATTCAAGGAATCGCGTTGCACCACCGTGGGGCATAGCTTGTTTCTGACCATCGATTCCGCATGGTGCCACATAGCTATCACATGGCGGGGTGTAGTCATATTGCCTTCGCGGACTGTATGGCCTGTCTTCGACGGGATAACCAATACCTACCACAACAGCATCATCGCTTGTAGGGAGCATTGAACTACGGCGGGACGCTTCGGCCGTTGTGAAGAAGAGTGCATTGCCATCAAGCACATAACTAAAATAAGCGTTAGGAGTAATTGCACTTCGTTGATAATGCTGGTAGATTTGTGGTTAACATACATGATGGAGGCGCTATGGCCGGGAGTCTTAGGATCGTTCCAGGCTAGAGGCCACGCCACCTGAATCCAATATGCATCACCATCAGGGTCCTTCAGCTCCAGCTGTAGTGTATTGGGAGCATGTGCAGACATGTGTAACGATTCAAGAAATCCACGCCTCATATATCACTAGAATGACAGCCTGAAGTCTGTGTGTCCTCACGGTGACCTTCAAATTCCACCGAGCGAACAGCTGTTCTTCATGAAGAGGTGCAAGCGAGCCGGATAGGCGTAGGTACCAGGTATTATCGTGAAGGATGCCACATGCAGAACGTCGCATGTGCAATATCTAGCTCACCGAATGGGATGTTAGTATATGCTTGGCTGATCTCTTTGCTTGCTGTCTTTGGTATATCATTAGGTAAACAGTGCTTGGCTCTCGTATCCCGGCGGTTCTAACCAACAGCAATCGTAGTTCTATACCCACCATAAGGTAAATGGCTTGGCAAGGCGTGGGAAGTCAATCTAATCAGATCATTAGATAGGGGATAACCGATAATAAGCCGTCATGTCCGGGTTTGTGCCGACTTTTCCATTCTACAGACAGTAGCGGAGATTCGGGAAGGATAGGAGTTACGTGATAGTATGGATGGGTAAAGGTAGGTAGGTCGGCGGATCTGGTGCCATTTCGGGTCAGAAATATCTGTGTGCCACTCGCTATGGCAATACAGAGGACCCTTAACGTAAATGGAGGACTGACATTTCATAGAATACATTATAACGGAACCACTCCCGCTTATTCTTCACCTACACCTTTTCTGTCTCTTTCCCGAATTCAACTCTATTTCCCCCGGTCCTAACTACACCCAGTAACTCTATTCAATTTTTATGTTCCCCAAGCCTGGACGTACGCCAATGGAACAAGAAAGAATATCCCAGTCGCAGCCACAGATGCCCCCAGATACAGATTCAAGCAACAAACAGACACACGATAGAACTACTGAGGTCCTACCCGACAGACACGATGTTGAAACTGCTTCGACTGCCGGCAGTGCTCAAGCAGGAGTACAGCGAGCAGCATTACTACGAAAGACGTGGTCTAAAAAGGGCATGATAATTACTTTTATAGGGTACTACTTGATGTTACGGACATGAAAAAGACTGCAAGCTAACGAGGCCTCCCCTAGTCTATTCCTATATACACTCGCGACGCACTTTGGAGATTATTCTAGCCAGGTCTATATTCCATACACCACAAGTTCCTTTAAGAGCCACTCCTCGATGAGTGCAGCAAGAGTGGCCAGTAATATAGCAAGTATTACTGCATACCCTATCATTGCTAAACTGGGAGATGTACGACCCTCCTCTCCTCTCCTTGTTGGTTCATCGAGGGCCATCAAAATAGCCATAGGTTCCAACATTAACATCAAACACCAGGTATTTGGAAGAGGAGAGATGTTCACCTTTTCGATTCTGATCACCACATTGTGTTATGCCATTTATGCTGCATGCACGAATATATCGCAATATGCTGTATGTGAGATAGAGTCTCATCGGACCCCAAAGTATACCTTCCAAACCATTGCGGTACTAACTAGTCATCGCTAGGTTGCTGCAGTCTTCCACTCTGTCGGCTCGACCGGGTTCGGTCTCACGCAGCAAGTCTTTATCGCCGACGTTACAAACCTGATCAACCGTGGTCTATGGTCAACATTGCCCGACTCATTATCCACCATACCAACATTATACCTTGGCACAACGATTGGGCAATCCGTGTTGGACCACTCCACCTGGCGCTGGGGCTGGGGTATGTGGGCTATCGTACTGCCTATCTGTGGTCTTCCCCTACTGGGTTCTGTATTCTTCCACCAACACCGAGCAATGAGAAACGGACTCGGTAAAAAGCACTTTGCTGCTCAGCTGGGGTTACACGAGGCCCAACCATGGTGGAAGCAGGCATATGAACTATTATGGGTTCAGCTCGACCTCCCAGGTGCTCTTCTTCTCCTAGCAGGGTTGGCTCTAACTTTGATACCTATTTCCTTAACAGGAGCGAATCGAAGTGATCGTTGGCAGAGTGCTACATTCATTGCACTACTCGTCGTCGGTGTTGTACTCCTCGTTCTTTTTGCTCTCTGGGATATTTTCGTTGCCAAGAAGCCATTCATCCCATACAGAATGGTTAAGAGCAGGACAGTCGCAGCTGCCTGTTTATTAGGAGCCTTAGACTTTCTTCATTACTCCATGTTCACCGTATTCTACAGCAGCTACCTTCAAGTAGTGGGTGGCTATTCTCCCGGACATGCGACTAGGATTGAGTAAGTACACATCCAGGGGAGCCCCCTCCTAAAATTCTTTTCTACCTTCATAACGGCAGTTCTTCATATTTCCTTGATCTCTAATCCCTATCCGGTAGTAATGCGCTACGCGTATCCTTCCAAGCTTCAGGCATCTTCGCTGGCCTTTTCATGAAATACACCAAGCGGTCGCAAATCTGGGTCCTAGTCGGAGCTCCTCTCTGCGTCCTTGGCATGGGCATCCTCCTCTATCTCATTGATATGGGAGACGGTAAAATGGGCAACGAGGCATCTTTTGTAACAGCAAAAGCATTAATCGGGATCGGTCGAGGATTCTACCAAACCGCATCGCAGGTCTCAGCACAAGCGGTAGTATCGAAGCAAGAAATATCCGTTGTGACGGCTGTATTTTTCGCATCAATGGGGGTAGGCGGAGCGATAGGGACCAGGTTCGTACCCGATTGATTCGGAACCCGATCATCATTCCTCTTGCTAGGGTTATATATGTTACAATCTCATCATCACTGACCACCTTGTATGATAGCATATCAGGTGCAATATGGCGAAACAACCTTCCCACAAAACTACGGAAATATCTCCCCGATGAACTAAAGCCGCAAGCGATGGCTATCTTCCAGTCTATCGTCACGGCTAAGAAATATGCCAAGGGAACGCCAGCCCGGGAGGCTATCGATCGCAGCTATCGAGAGACACAACGGCTTCTGGCGATTGGGGGTTTGTGTGCTGTGTCACCAATGCTTATTGTTATGTTCTTCTTAAAGAATGTGCATCTCGATAAGCGAGATAATGTGGTCGGGGATACAGTGGAAAGGTCAGATAAAGTAGAGGGTGAATCAGCGAAGCAGATGACTTGAGGGCAAACGCTCTTGTTTTTGAATACCCAATAGTAGTCACCATGTAGTCCGGGGTGACTAACAGATAGTTGATATCTTTTGAGTTCGAGAATAGATTAAGTTAAGATATATGAAAACTACTTTTACATTATCTTCCTACAAGGCTAGATATCCGGCTACAATATTCTTGGGTCTCTGCTCTAACAGATTGATGATTAGGTTCTAATAGGCTACGGTTTTCTTCGAGATAACGATCAGAGGCCAGACCTCCAAGCAAGGGACTCGGTCACTAATATGATTTAGCAAGAGAAAGTTCGTTGTGCTTTGCGTTTGAAAGGATGTTCTCATCCTAGATGTCGACAGCCATCCCATGGATAGCCCAGGCGATCGTTCTAATGAAGTGCTGCCAACACCCCTGAAAGTAATCCAGGATGTTGTAAATATCATTAAACCAAACATTCTCCCTTATCGTCTACCCACCCAAGCTCCTGTACTGTCCATCCCATAACAGTTTTCCCTTTCCCTGGTACCTCCATCCAGCATTGGGCCACAGAATCGATAAGCCGTGTTCTCCCGAGTTCCTCGTGCAACGAATTTATCTGTTGGACCTCCTCGTAGGTTAGTCTCGCGAGGCGTCGATTCTCGGTCAGCCGGGTCAGTGAGCTTGAATGTGGAATTACGACGATTCCACGTTGAACGAGCCATGACAAAATGACCGTCCCGATGGAACGGTCATAGCGTGATGAAAGAGAGGTGAGAAGGTCACTCTCATAGATTGCGGAGGTGTTCGTGTAATGACTTGTAGGACCGCCTGCTAGGGGGCTGTTCAATTTGGTCAGTTCATGAGAATTTCATTTGATTAAACACCATGGTGCTGAGTTAATCAATCGAACGCAAACTCACCCCCAGGCGATTGGACGTATGCCTCGTTCCAGACAATACGGGACCAACTTTGTATTTGGATTCAGGGGATGGATCTCGATTTCATTGACCACAGGCTTGATTTCCGCTTCTTTGAGCAACAGGTCCAACGTCTTCTGTGTGAGGTTGCCAACACCGATACCCCTGCAGTCTGGCCCCACGAGCTTCTCCATCTCTTTATAGACCTCTATATACGTGGGATTCTCATCAGACGCCAACGGGCGTGACATATCTTTGGCAAAGCCTTGCGGCCAATGCATGATATAGATATCAATGTAGGTATCGAGCAAGCTCCGCGATCGCTCAAAAGCCGCACGAACATCATGGTGATCATCACTAGACAGCTTTGTCACCACAGTGATCTCCGAACGAGGTACTCCAGATTCCTTGATAGCTTCTCCAACAAGGTCCTCAGTTGCATAGATCTTAGATGTATCAATTAAGCGATAGCCCGCTTTAATGGCTTGCACTATCAGGCTGCGAACATAGTCCCTCTCTTCTTCTGGTAATACCAGACCTTCTGTACCATATTGTCAGCCGTCATGATTGAGATGTACAGCCCCGGGTCCCGGATGATGTCACTGACTTTTCATAGCCCCGAAACCTAGCGCAGGTATTTTCAATCCTTAATGAGTACCCTTGTTAGCCCTGTATTCAGGAACGGATACATCGAACAGTATCACTCTTGAATGTACCATTGTTTAGTTCGAAAAGAGTCGAGCCCTGAGGGCTGTCGCTGTATCCGTCGGCCATACTACAGGTTGAGGGTTTCTTTGCGATTTAACACAATACTAGACAAGCTTGCAAGACAAAGCTTTTTGGCAGGATAACATGGGACGGTCGAAAGATGGAAATGTGAAAGGTTTTCATAGAGGAGGCTAGGTCTCCTAAGGCCTCCCACTTATTATTAAAGCTGCAAGGCTATGGTGGAGACGCACCTCATTGAGGGGCAAGCCGATACCACTGCCCGGCGTTGACGAGCCCTCCAATAGTTGTCGCTGGTAGAAAGACCTAACATGTGGGGGCGGCGAATAAAGAAAGTCGCGAGAACACGTCAATTATGCGGGCGATGCGGGTGGAGAGTAAGCGAACGATACATTAAGTGGGGAAGCAAAGCATTCTAGTTCTGATAACACATAACTAGACTACAGAGTATAGGTACGGGACCAATTGATCTATACCTCCTATACCTCTCTAAACGTGCCCCAACAACAAGATACTCAAACTCCTATTCAATCAACATTGGGAGACACACCATCGTAAGCAAAACCCATCTGCGACTGCGACCCACTTGAGGGGCGCAGCTTACCGCAACTAAATATTTTCAAGAACTACTGGTATATTTTGACTCAAGTTATATATATTTCCCTATGTTATAAAACGCCAAGTCCTGGAGTTTGAAAGCATTTGAAATTGATTGAACTTGGTCCATATAGGGTCAATATTGAGGGTATCAAAAGCCATTTGAGCGTGTCTCGTGTCGTTCCTCAGCACACACACACACACATATATATATCTGTACCAATCGAAATACCGCCTAACAATAGAGGATTGCCCTTGTCAGTAGACCAACTATGACCACGGCCCCTACATCGACTCCAGCAGCATAAGCAGGAGTTGTAACAACCATTCTGCAAGTAGGGGAGGGAGCATACTTCAGTTACATACAGGAACAGACCCTTGCCTAGTGCACTTTCTCAACGACAGACACACAGGGCAGAAATCGGTGGAATCATAAGGAACAGACGATTGGTACTTCAGAAATCATTCTATAAGTTCTATTATTCTATAATTCTGCCCGGTGCATCATATTATCCTTCTAGATATAGAATTCGATGGCATGGAAAAAGGTACCTTTGCAGGTTATCATACATACTATTGAATATGTTCATCCCGCTACCGGTCTCATCAAGCCCTTTCCAAGTAGAAAGAACTAAATTTGAATTGGTGATATTATGAATATCTTCATATAGATTTCGAATACTTTATGTGAAATTTATGATGATCATGTCACTGCTGGCAAAGCCCTTTGTGGTGCATACAAAATGAAAACAGGCAGAAATCGACAGCATGATTTAGGTCACGTAATCTTACGAAATCTTTCACGGTACCGGCGGACCGGAAAAACTTGGGAAAAATGTTCCCCATCGCCTCACCCACTCATCCTTCTCGGCTATACAATACAACCGAGTCACGAACGAGATAGACTCTGTCGTGAAGCACCAATGGTGCCAAGATCCAGTCAATTGACTGTGATCGTCACGACCTCACCCACCCCGTCCATCCCGTCGACGGAACTGATCTCCTCCGTCTTGCAGTCTTTCCACCGCCACTGCACAGACTTAATCAGCGCCCGGGTCATTGTGGTCTTCGACACCTTTGACCGCGTCGGAACTCGTTCCCGCTTGAAAAAGGGGCAAGCCACCCCCGAAGTCGCTGCCAATTACGGTGTCTACAAACAAAATGTCAAGGAGCTGATTCTCCGCGAATATGCATCGTCCGATGCCAGCCCCGACCCCGTGATGCAAGAATGGCAGGACCAGGCCGAATTCGGTCTCGACCACCTCAACAACGTGGTTGATCTGTCCATCACCCAGACCGACACCAAGCAAGTGACTTTCATCGAACCCGCAGCGCGTCTGGGGTTCGGGCTGGCCGTGCGCTCGGCCCTGCGGGTCTGTGAGACCCCGTACGTCTGGGTCCAGCAACATGACTGGGCGCTCGTCGCCGATATTCCATTAGCACCGTTACTGGAGATTATGGAGTGTTCGGACGTAGACCAAGTTGCGGCGGTCAAATACGTATCGTTCCCCTCGGTGCGCATGCTCTCCTATGCTACGCAGCCTTGTGTGCTGGATTTCCCGGCCTTGCGGGCTTTGACTCGTGATCTCACGCTCGACTTTGTCCCGCTATCGCGGCCAGAAATGACCGTGCCGTTGACGCCGCTGTATTTCTGGTTTGATAAGCCACATATTGCGTCGACGGAACATTACCTCTCGCGGGTGTTCCCGAATCGGCTGACAATGCGGCGGGGGGAGTTTATTGAGGATAAGGTTGGTCAGCAGGCGCGACAGCAGATGAAGGAGGGTCAGTGGCATAAATGGGCCTGTTGGCTGTACTATCCGGATGAGGGAAAGCAGCTCTGCCTGGGGCATTTACAGGGTCGGACTTGGAACGGGGCGGAGGGGGAATTATTGACGAAGTATGGATATTCGGAAGTCGATACAAAATCAACTTGAGTCTAGATACCCCAACTCACATTTGGGTTTCCTTTTTGGTTTCCTCGAGAAGTCGTTCAATCGTGCATGAATTTGAAGAGAATGTAGGTACGGCGTACGACGGGAAACCAAGTCCCTGCACAATGGGCGTTGTACTATTACAATGCATGCAACGGTAGCGGCAAGTGACTCGTTATATTGTTTGTCTTTGAGGCCATCTTCGGCCTGATTAATTAGGCAGCGAACACCTCTGCCTGTCTGATCTTTAACTGTTTTGCAACGCAACATGAGAGGTCACACTCGGTTATTCCAGGCATTAATAATATTATGTAAATATTTACGTATGTGGCGGAGCTCCAAACCGGATGAATCACGGGGTAGACTAAAAATCTGAAATCCGGGACAAATTAAGGGACCCAGAAGGGGCCATGCCAATAAGTGACCAGTCCAGGACGGCATGTCGGATACGGTCCGGGTGTGGAAACCTTTTCCCCTTTCACCATTTTCACTCATAGGGCTGCCACAATGCCTACGTATGCAAGGAGGCGCAGACAAGAACCAAGTCGTACCTTGTCTGTACCATGAGTTGTACCGGTCAGCCACCCAACGATATGACACCAAGTCACCTGCTGCTGAAATACCTTGAGTTCTTCGTATGAAAACTGGGATCAATATAAATACAACCCAATCACGATGGAACAAGCGAGACAGGGATTGCCGATCACCAATCGGGCTCCCGACGCCAAGCCAGAAAGAGCGAGTGGAGCATGCGACAGGAACCAACCAGCGTTGAGCTGGTCCAGTGCAGGATTGAGTTCGTTGTCAGCCCATGGTCGGCTTTTCTTTGTATTGGAATAATATAAAGCTCTTTTTGACTTTCCCAGCCCGTCTCTCTCTCTCTCTCTCTCTCCTGTCAAAAAACCACCCAGTTTTCTGTCCTTCGTTTTCGTCTCGAGTCTACACCTTACTACTAGTATATCTAGTATACACTCGCTCAAATCCAGACTTACTGAAACAACAACAACATAACAAAAACCCCATTCTTAAAATGTCTGCCACCACCACCTCCGTCGCTGCCAGCGCCACCGCCTGCAACACCGTGACCTACTGGCAGCTCCCCGTCGACGATGCCGCCTGTGCCCTCCCCAAGACCGGCAACTACTCCGATATCATGGACAAGTGCTGCTCCCCCGCCAAGGTGACCGATTTCGACAACGGTTGCGGCCTCTACTGTCTTGCCCAGGGCCAGAGCATCGGCGATCTCAAGGACTGCCTGCGCAAGAACGGCGCCCAGGACGGCCGCGAGTTCTACTGCAAGGGCAAGGATAACGCCACCGCCACTGCCTCCGCCCCGTCCTCCACCAAGACCGGCGACCAGTCTGGTACTTCCACCGGCAGCGGTGCCTCCTCCACCTCCTCCGACAGCGCCGCCTATGCCATCCAGCCCGCTGTCTCCAAGGGCGGTCTGGGTCTCTTGGCCATGGTCTTCTGCTCCGCTCTCATGGGTGTTGTTGCTTAGATACTTCCTTCCCACGGGTGGTTCTTGGTTTCGGGTGACGAATGGGGGGAATTTGTCTATATGCTTTTGTTTTCTGCGGTGATTCGTCTTGCGATGCATCGGGCAGGACATATTATCTAATACCCTTATGATATGACCTGCTGTATTATATTTTATTTTTCTGATGGTTTGGATGTCGGTCGGTATCGAGCTGGGTTATTCTTAATTTTAATGACTGAAAATTTCGAGCCTTTTACATGAAACCTCCTGAAACTTGATGGCCTCCGTAGATATGGAAAGTTGAACCCGAGGAACCGTCCAATTTCCAGATCAGGCATGATTGACGGTTTACTCGAGTCATGGTCCGCTTTTAAGCTTGCCGAGTGCCGGATCCTCGGTACTGTTATTTTGTCATCTGGAATGTAGGATCTCTGTTTCTACGAAAGAGATCAACGAAAGCTTAAAGCTGAATAACAATGGGAGTAGGGATGTGTACTAATGTTTCTTTTATTGCCAAATTAGAGACTAGTATATGTTGCTAGTTCACCAAGAATGAGGCCCTTCAATAGCTCACTATCTGGTAAGGTCATACAAACCCAAACAATAGCTTTGGCACTCTATAAAGTATGCAAAGACCCCCAAGAATTGTTGTTCCTTGTTTATATCTCTAGCAAAACCCAAGCCTCAGCCCACCTTCCATTTCCCATGACATAATGGGGTTCGACTCGGGTTTTCTCCTATCATGGGACTTTCTACCCGTCGCGCAATACTTGATTGTACGTTTTGTCAAAAAAAAAAAAAAAAAAAAAAAGAAAAAAAACCCTCTTCTTACCTCACCCTCTGACCTAAATTGTTCCCCTTTAACAGATCGCACGGTAGCAACCATGTACATGCTCATTGCAGACGAGGAGACATTTGATACCGGTCTATTACGGCTGGCCGACCTGGATGGTACACGCAATATTATTCGGGAGATGCGTGTGGAAACCGATGAGCAGACAATGACTGATGTTATCATGGATTGGTATAATTTGAATTTACCTGAACAGCTGTGGGAGGAAGGTACTATAAGAGATAGATACCGTGTTACAGGTGATCTAGGGAAGGAGTTATAATCGCCTCACCGAGGCGGATCTGGTGGATCCATGAATACCTCTTCTCATGGCTGTTGCAGAGGTTCTGGTTAGTCAAACTATCGCGTTATTCTACATCTCGGAGTATGGCACAAACCGGACCCGCCGTTTTCATCGGTCAAACACACGTTGCAGCGGCTCAATGATGTGTCCAGGGGCCATCTCTTGTGTGCCCAAACAATTACCCATGCCACCCGCCCCACGTTCCACGTATAATCACCCCGCGCACTCTCGGGAAGAATGCCCTCACGCCTTGCAACGCACCGCTCACACTGCTCACGGAGTCTTCGGTCCGATCACCGAAGAAGTTGTGTTATAACAAGTTCAAATATCCATCCCCGGAACGTGCTGAAGAAGTTTCATATGATCCAACTGTCATCCGTTACTAGTCAGAACTACTAACTCCCCGTCATGTCGTCCAACCCTGCGCCCAACGTGCTGACCCAGCTTCCATTGGACGAGGACTCCCGTCCCCGCTACAGTGATGCTGAGTTGCGCGACTATTTTGAGTGCATCAAGCTCCCACAAAAGTATCTAGACTCGATGGTGTTGAAAGACAGGACCCAGGCCGGAACTAAAGAGCATGGCCTGCCCTTGCTACGGGCTCTGACACGGCACCACACATGCAATGTTCCTTTCGACAATCTCGTCTTGCACTATTCCACACACAAAATCGTCACGCTTGATCTGGCGGAGCTCTACACGAAGATAGTTCGCCGACGGCTCGGCGGGCGCTGTATGGAGAACAACAGCTTTTTCGGGACCGTCCTTCGCTCACTCGGCTATGAAGTGCGCAACTGTGGAGGCCGCGTCGCGCGCGCAATGAGTCCCTACCCGGACGTCCGACGCAACCAGACCATGACCTATGACGGGTGGAACCACATGCTGAATCTTGTGCGACTAGACGACGAGTGGTACGTCGTGGACGTGGGGATGGGCTCCATGGGCCCCAACCTCCCATTTCCGCTGCGTGACGGATTTGAGACGACCAGCATCCCTCCACGTTTGATTCGCCTGCAGTTCCGGTCGATACCCGAGTCGTACGCGACCAAATCCGCCAACAGTACAGGATCCCCGAAGATGTGGTGCTTCGACATCTGCTCCAACCCAGTTGATGACGACCCAAAAGAGTGGCTGCCGGTCTATTGCTTCACGGAGACAGAGTTCCTGCCCCAAGATTACGAAGTCATGTCCTGGTTCACGTCGACAAACCCGAGGTCGTTCTTCACCAGATATGTCACCTGTACGAAAATGCTCATGGACGAGGACAAGGAGATGATTGTGGGCAATGTCACCCTATTCAAGGACACCGTGAGAAAGACTATTGGCACTAACCGCATGGTAATCAAAGAGTGTAAGACGGAAGAGGAGCGTTTGCAGGCGATGGCTGAAATCTTCAACGTACATCTGACAGACGAGGAGAAGAGGGGAATTCCAGACGATCGGAAATTAGCATAAACGCTAAGATGAGAGCAATCAAGTGACAGGATTATGATGCCAGCCATCGTTTTCCCTTGCAATTCATACAATTTGGCCGTTCGTCTCGGCATGTCTCTCTTCTTGTATGCCTGCATGCACCATGTTACAGCTCGGACATTTTATTTACGCCCGGGTGGCAGAGCTGAGAAGGCAACTATCGTGACCCTACCATTGCATTCTTGTTTTGCCTTTGTCTTTGTCTTTTTTCTTTTTCTTTTTTTTTTTTTTTGCCTTGATTGATGGTTACCAAAACCCGTGTATGCTCCGGTTGTAGATTTACAGCACTCCATTCAGCTGGTATCTGTGCACATTGGTAGTGACCGCGTCGGTAAGAAGACTGGTTCATATCTGGTATTGAGCAAAGATCCTTTAGGCCAATAGTTGCCTCCGTTTGCTTCTGTATGTCCGGTGTAACAGTGCAGATAGTGAGTTCTTCTGGCCTTGTATAGATCCCACGTCTTCCACGGCGCTGCCGCTACCTGCCTAATAAATACTGTATAGTTGTTGGGTTCTCAGCAACGAAGATAAGCGTAGTACCTACACGGGGTTGTCCCTGCTCGGTCATAGAAGGCTTAACGTCGTCCCTTGATGCGGGGAGAGTTCCACGCAAACGAGACACCGGGGAAGTCCCGACAGCCAGGCCGGGTGTCAGGGCCAGATGGTCTTGTTGGGCGTCTAGTGCTACGGCGTAGTAGTAGTGCACCGCGTATCTGGAGGTTCCTACAATGCCACAATGGAACTGAGAGAAAAACGATAATTTCGGTACCAGAGCAGAGCGATGGAGAATCTCCTGGCCCGAAGTGTCTTCGCGACATGTTCTCGTGACTTTCTACTTATTCAGCTCTTCGAAATATCAGGAGTTAGTGCCCACTGTTCTGTGCTCTAGCTTTCATAAGTTCACGCGATGCGGGTGATGGCTCGCCCTGGTTATTGTGCTACGGCAGCGTAAATCCACGAAACGGTCAAAGTGAAAACCCTCACTAAATACACAACGCACACAGACACACACATATATATACAGTACTGTTATAATTAGGTATCTTCTAGGCTATCAGTACTATCTTTTATGTAGAATCATTTTAATAGTAGATAGCTCTAACAGTATAGAATATAGATAACCGCGGTAAGCTATATAGGTGAGTCTAGGGCATTCGGACGGATTCTGCATTCTGAATCGTAGATTCAGAATCATGCAGCCTTTTTGGCCTTATGGAATATCGGGCCCTGGCGATATATCTCGAGTCCTGGTGGGGATATCATCCTTTTGTACGGGATATACGACCAAGAATTCGTGTCTTACCCTCCTTGAGGAAGGTATTCAGGAGATGTTTGGCCTTGTCTTTGGGTACTGAAATTGTCCACGAGCTTTACACCGGTACGTGCCAGGACAAGACCTTCGCCAAATATCTCATCCATGATCGTGTTGCCCACCATGCGCAGCCACCAGAGGTTTTTGAAGTCAACGTTGAAGGGATCGCTAACAGAAGGAGTGTCGACCAAACAAGACAGGCTGAGCACCCAGACGACGCATAGACGTAGAATTATGATGAAGAGTGTCGAGAATAGGGGGTAGTAGTACAAGTTGCGGCACAGAAGAACGAGGGGATAGAGAGTCCCAGAAGAATCCTCGAGCAGGAAAGCACTCGACCGGGAACCCTCATGGAGTGTGGTTGGTAATAAATGTCTGGCTGCCTCGGCAGTGGTCTCTGGATGCAAGGGACTGAAGATTAAGGCTCTTTCCTTTCCGAGGCTTATCACGAGAAATCACACTATCTATTCAATTATATAGGGAGAAAGTATAAGTTAACCCATGGCTTTGATGATCAATCGGCGATATGACGCAACTTTTTGCACCTTGAATGGCAGTATATTGTAAGAACAGAAATTAGGACTAAATACACCTGCTGACAGCCCAGACTCTGCTGGGCTATACTAGGGATTGACTAGTTTGTCTCTTCCGTCCTCGAAAAGCCATATTCTATTCTATATACATGGTCATCTGGCATCATGTAAAACCCACCAGCGTTGCAGACATTGGTGGCCTTGCCACTCTACTTAGCCAATCGGTGACAATTGATGGAGAGCTGGACTGTTTGACCGAGAGTCTTGCTGTCCATAGACTCTTAATCCTCGTGGATCTCGATATAATTAATCTCTACCAAGCATGCGATGGGTTGGTATTATTACTCGTAATTACCCTGGAATCGTACCCGCCAATTTAATCTATTTTGGGAGGTTAGTAATTAAACTGAGCAGCGAATCCTTCCTGTTGACCCCACTTGAACGATCTGAACTTCACCCACTAGGGAAGCAGACGTGCGTTGAGAAATAACAGTCTCGAGACAGAATGAGTGCCGTACAGGGCATACAGAATATCTCGGTGAGTTTGCCTTAAGCTTTGCCTTGATGGCCGAACTGAACCGACCCACTCACGTGAAACGATAACGTAGTGCGGTCGCTGCCAATCCAAGAAGGTAATCCGATAGAATGTCGGCCATGCCACCGGGACGGATTAGCCAGAATAACAATCTGCTAGGTTCGCTGTAATCGAGTCGCTCCGCGATGTGGTAATTGTGAAATCGCGGGATCGGAGTGTGTCTACTCGCCTCGAAAGCCCCGATCCAAGAAACAAGGGTATTTATCATTAAATCTATTTGACCCACAAGGCGACTCGACTCCTCCAGAACACTGACAAAGATCTCGCACAAGCGAACCAGTCGATAAACGTCTGCTTTTGGAGATTGTCGACCGTCTCAAACGTCTTGAAGAACAAGTTGGTCTGGAGGATGTTCCAGAAACTGAAGATAATGGAGTCGACTCCATGTCGATTTCCTCCGTCGGTGCCGAGGCCGCTCAGGTAACATCCCTAGACGAAGATCCGGCTCAACTAGTTCCCTCCGTGATTCGAGATATTGTCAATCGGATCAACGATGAAGGCAGTCGATCTATGCTTCTCTCCAACGTCTTTTGTCACCTGCGACACGTGGACTCATGCTATTTCGAAAGCAATCCATGTATTAAAGCAGTCACCTCTGCTGTCTCGGAGATTAAACCTATACAGAGTACGCAGAGCATCGAGCCGCTGGGGGACGCGATCGTCCCAAAAGACCTGGCAAAGAAACTCATCGAAAGTAAGTGTCTGCCCTCACACCTGTTGACGATCTAACCTCCTTTCCAGAACACTATGCCTCGCACCAATTTCCAGGCTTCGAATTCCCTCTTGAGAAATCTTTCTTATGTTCGATCCCCGACTTAATTGAAATCCCTCACGTCCAACTAGACTGTACATCTCAAATTATCTATTACTCTATTCTCCTTCGGGGCATTGTTCTGGAGCTGGACGCCCATCCCAGAAGGGGCAGCATTTTGCGATATCTTTATCTAAAGTGCGTTGCATTAAGTGACGAATGGATGAAGAATATCAAAGATACCCCTGTCGACCTCTTGGCTGCATCTCTCATGGCAAGCGCATCACATATACTCGATCCCCACCCCACATAGCTAACAAACCAATAGACGTCAACAGCCCTCGAAGGGTGTAATACAGATCTAGCGTGGAAGGCCTTCAGTCACACATGCAGGATATCAAAGACCCTGGGCTATTTTACCGTCGATGAAACACCCAATGAAGGGGACAACCAAGTCTCCACACCAGCTGGCACTCCACTACACGAAGCTGAAATAGAGCGGAACCGAAAACGCTTCGGCTTCTGGCACATCCTTCGAACAGACTGTCTTTTCCGAAAGTCATTCGGCAAACCGACTCTCATCCCCGCAGGATCGTGGAAGGTACATTTTCCCGATCCCACGATCAATGGCGTGGACGATGAGTCGTCGCGCTTTATACAGATTCATTTTCTGATATCTATGCGGCTCGGCCTTATTCTTAGGAAGTATCTTGATTGGATTACTGGTGGTCCGGATCCGGATCCGGTTTCGCATGATGCTATCATTGAGAATTATATCGATGAGGTGCAGTCTATATTGTCGGATTGGGATACAGTCGGTTATACCCTACCTCAATAGCAGGATAAAAGCTGGAATGCTGTGCTAATAGGAACTATAGGCGAGCCTTCTTCGAACCGCGACAAATCATATCGATATCTGGCTCTGCATCGACGTGCTGATCGGTAGCTATGAGATGCTTATTGTGCTGTATCTGTCGAAGAAATGTGACTCGGGTCATGCCTTACCATGCCAAGCCGTTGACCTGGCTAGGAAGTCGCTGAAGACCTTCCAATCCCTCCTGGGGTCCACATCGCATGCGTTCTGGGGAATCAGGTATAGCAAGCATCCCATCCCATCCATGTCCTTGTTGTGCACATTATTAACGGCACGTATAGTCCTATCTCCATGTACCAGTTACTCCCTTTTTTCATCCTTTGTTTAGACTTCATAGGGAATCCAGATCATGAAAACCTCGATGAAGATCTCGAGTCTGTGGGCTGGATATGCGACTATGTTGAAATGGTCGCTGAGGGACGGTTCGAGCTGAAGCCGGTCATTCTTATCATAAAGGCCATGGTGACTGCTTGTCAACAGGCAAAAATGGACCGTCTTGCACGTTTAGTTACTCCTGGTGAATAAGCAGACCATCGATGTCTGCATACCTTTCAGAACCTCTATTTGAGTTTGAAATAGGACATTCACAGTCATTGAGAGATACAATCCATGCCCATTGTAAGAAAGCACATTGCTTCGACAAAGTTAGCCTGCACTACTGGAAGCCGGTTGACCGTGTTTGGTCCTAAGTCTATACAATCTTTCCAATATATGTGTGGGGCCTTTGATTAGGGATTTAACCTGTAAGCCTTATACACAAGCGACCATCATGTATGTCTCAACGTAATGCGAATACAGACTCGTAGGAGTAACTGAATGATTGTCACGCAAAATCTTCTCTGCAGCCAGATGCTGCAGATAAGTCAGTGACAATGAAGACATTAGACTAGCAGTGGCTGACTTTAGATATTCAGCTGGCAGAATAGCACCGGCTGTTCGCTGCGTGCGACGCAGTTAATCTGGACTCTTCGCTCCAGATGAAGGCTGTTGGTCTGACTGACCGAGGCGCGTTACTGAGATTGCCTTCTATGCAAATACACAGGTTCTACATCCCTGGCCCGGACGTACATGACTTGATATCCATGGAAGCCCTTCTTAACGCCCCCTTCGTGCAGATCATTACGCTTCTCTACAAATCTCTAGTTGGAATCCCCTTGATTATCGAGGGACTCTAGGTCTTTCTGCAGTGCCTCTCTGCCAGGGAATATGGAAGCAAAATATTATTTTTGGTAATGTCGTGCCGGCGCTGTTAAACGTGCCCACCAAATGCGCCAAAAAATCCCAGAACAAAATATAATCAATGCTTGGCATGGATTACCGTTTACGCTTCGCTTACAGCAGATCTAACTAGCTCCTAGCTATGACATTATACTACGGTTCAACTATCACACGTTAGCAAGTTAACGGCCTTGCAGAATGGGCCATTACCAGTCTCCTATTGCTGTTGCCATTATCAAGTAAAATGTTAAAAGGGCCCGTTTCCCAAATTAAGATTCTTGGCTTTGTGAAGGTCGTATTCTCGACTCGTACAATCCAGAGGGGCTTCTATCGGTCAAAGCACTATATGGACCAATCCATGTACCATGGCCATTGGCCGACATTGGAGGATATCACAAGCCAGCGGAACCAAGGTGCGGTAGTAGTGCATTCAGAGATATACTCCAGTGGCTTTGCTTCCTACAAGCCCGGCACTATGACCAAGGCCTTTTTCAGTGGGCGCCTTTGATGCTAGTCAATCAAGTCAGGTTTCAGACTGTTAGAAGTGCAGGGTTCCAGGCCCAGCACATCTACCAGTCTCGTTGCATGGTCAGGGCGCTAGTCAATCCAATCGCTAGCCCAGCCCTGTCGCTGTTCTTTTTGCTCAGGTGATTGGGGAGTCTCCCACTACCTCTTAGACACCTTTATCCGCCCCGGCCTTGTCGACACTAACCCGCCCAATCCACACCTCAATGCCCGCTGCCAAACTATCGTCTGCCATCCAATCTGTGCCCGCAATATGTGGAGCTAGTTTCAGTCCAAAGCCCAGGTAACCAGCCGCACCGTCCAACACAATACAGGTTGGTGGGCCGTCTTCCGGCTTCACAATAGTGTCTACTTGGCGGACTTGGATATTTGGTCCAATATCAGAACCCAAGCCATGGCGAGGCCTATTAACGCTCTGCCAATTGCTCATTTGTATTGCGTGATACAAATAACGTTTTACGGAATGTCTAGATCCTATAACCCATATCCACAACCCTTGAAAATAGACAACATGGATGTTGTGAGTTTGATAAAATATGGGTGAAGAGCAGCTATACCCGTAATTAGACAAGGTTCTGTAAGCCTCAGAGCCTAATCAGTAGCATCTGACCACACTAGGGCCTATGACACTAACATACATTTAGGACCATGGGTAATATGATTCAAAAGCTTTGCAAGTGAAGGGATACGTATAGCAATATACGTCAATGGAAACATCTAGACCTCCTGCTCAAAATACATTTATTCCTATATCTCCTTGCAAAGATTTCCAGACAGGAAGCATTCGCAAATGGCGGTTCCGTTAATTATAAATAAACGGCACTCACTACTTCTATTACTGCTGATACTGATCATTCTGTTTCTAATTAAACCTCTTCTATTGCTTGTGCTACTCTCTCCACTAGTGCTGCGACTGGTATACTCACATTCAAAGATGCCTCCCAGCAGAACAGAGTCTGATCCCCAACAATTGATTCCAGGCATCAGGTCCAGTGTCCAGAGGGTGAATAACCCCGACACTGATTATGCACTCCTTCGGAGATTCGATACCATCTTTCTGATCGATGATAGTAGTAGCATGAGAGGTCAAAACTGGAATGAGACTCTTGATGCTCTGGTTAATATCTCGCCAATATGCACCAAACACGATCAAGATGGCATTGATATATATTTTCTAAAACACCGCAATCCGAGAGATACTCAAGGAGCCTTTAGAATGGTCAGCACCCCTCAAAGTGTCGAAACCATCTTCGGATCTGTCTATCCACATGGAGATACGCCAATCGGGGCTAGACTGAAGGAAATTCTAGAGCCCTATATGGAAGATCTTGCTGAGTCACTGCGACATAGAGGAACAGATACAGACTCTATTTCAACAGTTAAACCTATCAATATCATCGTTATTACTGATGGAAGGCCAACTGATGGGTTAGAAAACGATCTTGTTGCTACTATTGTAGCCACCGCAAAGCAACTAGATAATTGGCGTGCGGACGAGTGGCAGGTTGGAATCCAGTTCTTTCAGGTCGGCCGTGACAAAAAAGTGACCGAGTACTTGAGATATCTAGATGATGACCTTCGTGAAGCATACGGAGTCAGAGATATAATTGACACGGTGACCTGGGATAAAGATCCTGGTGAACTTTCTGCTGACACTATCCTAAAGGTGGTACTGGGGGCTGTTCACCGAAAGTACGACCGTCAGTCAGTCAGAACAAGGTTCTAAACTTGACAGAATGGCCTGAACTAATTTGATTGAAGGGTTTGGAAAGCCTTGGAGCTGTGGGACCAAGAATGATAATATGGATGGCGTTTCATCTTGGAAACTCTTTACGCAAATGTTGACATATCAAAAGTATAATGGGCGAAAGGCTAACTGTACCATACTATGCATCTCATTGATTTACTGTTTGCTCAGCTAAAATTAAACGTATTTACTTGTGATGTAGCTGGCCATTTCAAGGTTAATTATGATTTACTAGAAAGTGCACTAGCCGACCATACCCACTAGATCTGGCCAAAGTATTTTATCGGGTCCGCACAGCAGATATACAAATAACCTCATATCTACAAAACTAGAACACCCTCACTATTTTGCAATTGTATGTCCAATTAGAGGGAACAAAAGTACATGGTCGAACTTGAACACTACCTGGTATGGTGTGATATTAATTTTAGATAGCTCAGACATGTCTACACCTAGGTGTATTCCTCTCCTAGTGGTATATGATCTTTCCTTTTAAGTTTCTATCTATTATGTGGATCTGGCTGGTTGTCATACGACGTGCCAAGGAAGTGCAAAATGCCGCAAGCAGATAGAGTTTGACCGAGTTAAAGAACACCCCATGAACCAACAGCGGTTGAATACATGGATCCCACCTCATCAGAGATACCCTTATACAAATTCTCTATTCACGATTGACTGGTGATGTGATTATGTTCTTGGCGATTCTGTCAGCTTGTCTATATGTCAATATGCGGCTCTTGGCGGTTCTCTTATGACACATTTACACGGCAGTCACACCACTTGGCCAGTCATTCATTAGGTTGAGATTGAATGTAACCTGATTAGGCCTTCACATCGTGACCCACTGAGGATGAATGTCAGTCCCTGTCACGGATCCCATAGTGAAACATCCTGGTGACCTGCAACTCACGTCATATTCAGAACACCGTCGTGGATAGAATTTGGAATATCCTCTCCGTTAGATGTTAGGGAAGTATACTATATCCCCAGGATAATAGATATTTAGACTACGGCAACATTCTATAAGGGTTGAGATGGTGGAATAGTGTGATATTACAAATAGGCTGCCGTCGCGAGTATTTGGATTACTGTCCTCTCCCTGCTTAAGGTATTGTCGCTGAGGGTTTGTGTGACACTCACGGCTACGTGAGGAAGGGGGCCAGCTCTCCAAATCGGATTGACCAACAAACATATGACTAATGTCGAGCCCCAAGCGAAAGCAGCGGTGATAGACTCCGAATATGACACCATTAGAATTGTGCTGGGAGCGTCAGATTCTAGGCATCTCTTCTTTTGTGAATATCTCTGCTTCCTTGAATCGACTGGCAGAATAACATCCTTCATAGGCACAGCTGGCATGAAGAAGCACCGAGCTGTCTGTGGTTGTAGAGTAGAACTGGGCTCAATACACTGCTGACAGACTCCATGAACACGAGGTAGTGAGAGTTGAGGTGTTTATATTCCACGTTACGGCTATCAAAGCCGACCTTGTCCAGGCAAATACATTGACCCCTGTAGCGGAAAGACAAAGTCTCATAATATTTCCGGAATATTTCCAGATTATGTTGGAAAAGTACAACCAGACTTGGAAGGCCTTATCAAAGTGTGTATGCACAGTGACACAAGTTTGGTGATCACTATTGGAGCTTCTATAGGAACTAGGGGCGCGCATTCATCAGGCCTTGATTCACACAGCTACGAAATGCGCGGCTAAGGAGAGCAAGGAGTCAAAGTTGACAAATTCCAGCCATAAACAAAGATGGGCGACACGGAAGACTATGCTGCAATACACCCAGGCTGTCACACACAATCGACTGTTCTCAGCTGAATATACGCATCTAAAGGATAGTTCACCGCCATAAAGGTAAAATCTCTATTTTCTCGGATAGCGAAGGTTTTTTATTATGCAAGGTGCTTTGATACTCTTTTATATAACGGAAAAAGAAAATGAAGCTGTTGTTTCCCTCGACATTTGAAACATTGTACTGATTTGGTATTAGATTATCCTAATACAGCTACGGCGAAGTGAGACTCCTTGGCTGTAATTGAGCATGCAGAAGCTTACAAAGCCATTCCTCGCGACAGTGCTTCCTAGGCACATGGGACTGTCGAGCCCAAAGTCCAAGCTCATGCATATATTAGCTTTTTAGCATGTAATACTCAAATGGCCCATGCATAAGTAGAATAGCAAGCTGAGTTAACGGGTGACTGTGGAACCTGGATTGACGTTGGAATCACTCATAGTAGCACGCAAACATACACTAATTTCCAGCACAATTATGCTATACCACTCCTCTCTTCTCTAATTTTTTATGAAACTTCAGCACTCCCTCGCAAGCCTAATAGCAAGACAGGCTTGAGAGACACTACCACACTCAACCATAAACTAAAGGTCCAAGGTCCAATATTCTTCAGCAATGCTTGAATGATCTACGATAGAGTCTTCCCTAGGGCATTTTGGCTTGGGCCTAGTCCAGCCATCGTTCGGTACACCGCTGAGGCACACCGTTTCAACCTTGTGCGGTCCCCAAGACACCTTGCCACTAGTAGGCCCTTTAAAGTTGGGACACCATTGATTTCCCTTGCTAGGGAATTTCCTAGAGTTGAGTTAGCGATAAAGCGACATTATACAGGCATCTTCGAACACCTACTCCCACACTTCCGCATAAATTATATATTCGTTGCCAGCTGTAATAGTATATCCTTGGATGTTGCTGAGCCATTGTTAGCTACCGTAATGGACATGGAAGAGAATTGCCCTTCTCTCACGGTTGTCCACTGAGCGCGTAACACCATCCCAGTTTATACGTTTCTGTTCGATCCCGGCCATGTTTGACGTCCCATTTGAGCTATTATGTGTCAGTGTCATAAACAACCACGTGATATAGAATGACCATGCCCAGGCAGGTGTTCTATTCGATACAGACCTTGAATGAATAATCACCTGTCATCGGGTCATTGACCCTCGGGTTACGGAAGACGGGCACGCTACTTTGCTCATTAAGGAGCTCTTCCTGAGCATCCTGGGCGACGGCATAAGAAGAAATGAAACTGTAGGCGACGAGCAAAGATTTGAAGAACAACATTGAATTGAGATAATGTGCCGTTTTGACTTTAAATCTAACAAGGGCAAGTTCACAGTGAGAAATTCCAATGGATGTATCTTGGTAGGCACTTCCCCGGACAAGCAGGCTATTGCTGTTATTTATGGTTACTAACTTAGTCATCTGATGTTACTGGGTAGAGTCTACCAACGACGTCATGTATATCGGAGTTACATTATAGAGTGTAACCCTTACGCAGTACTACCGAACGATGATTATTGTTTACCACGATCCTCCTTTGTATCATATTTTCGTCCTTATATATAAACAACTGCGATTATTATAGATGTTGACTCTTTTAACTTTCTCGGTTATTGTTAGCGAGTACCGAGGATACAATGAGATTTTTGTACCCTAAACTCGTTCCCAACGTGACACCCTTGATATGATTTAGTTTTGCAGTCGCACTATGTGAGACATTTATCTACTTGCCCAGGTCTTGGATGAGGAACTGGACGCAGCGCAGAAGACGGGGATTATCCTACTTCGGCAAAAAGTGAATTCCTGCTTGTAAAACACTATAGCATACTTAACCGTGTCTTGGCTCGCACCGTCCTCACCCTTGCGTCTTGGATAAGTACGAGAGCCTTAGCCCTTCACAGCATACGTGTGTTATCAGCATAGTGGGTCTAGGCTTTACTACTAGGCTCGAATGTTTCAAATATGCCGCTCCTTGTGCCCTGGTATGTCGGGGCACTATCTAGATAAATTATGTTATCGTAGTAAATAGCTCCTACGCATCACGTACTTATCACCAGAGTTTGTTCTTTCGTTATGCAAAGCGAACAGTATACAAAATGTGTATTGCTGTTAATGATCCGCGGATCCTTCAACTCGCTGAAAGCCGATGTCCCAAGCCACTCACCATCCCAGGCTTTCCGTCGGCGTTGGCGTCGGTACCCCCACCGAACCCTGTGGCACTGCTTCTTCTACTCCCTGTACTTCCTCTGCGTCTTGACCACCAGTAGGCGTTGGATTCGGAAAGCTAACAGTCCCATCCACTATCGGCACCAGAGTCACGGCTGGGATATACCAACTCCGATCACAGCTCTCCCACTTGGCATCAATCTGCGTCACCTCACTGGGCATATCAATGAAAGGTAGATAATCATCCCGGACTAATGTACAGGCAGAATCATACACACCACACTGTGACCCACCCCAATATTGCGGCCACGGGATTAGAGGCTGGGTATAGTTCCCTACTGTCTGGGGCAAGAACTCTGCAAAGTTAAATGGATACGCTGTTCCACGTATAGGATACCGCGCATTTCTGTGTCCTCTTCGTGAAGTGATAGATGTAGGATGCACAGAGATCATCTTGTTTTCATGGTATGCTCCACACTGCCCGCCGCGACGACTGTTGCCCCAGGCGTAGATTGATGTGAAGAAGATATAGGCACTGGGTGAGACAAGGGTTTGATCACCTAGCAGTGCTGTATTGGGACCGTTACCAGTCGGGGTCGCGGGAATTGTGGTTCCGTTTTGAGCGCAGAGATCGCCACTGGCGGTTGTAACGGGCCAGTAAAAAAGTGTTGCGGTATCGGGAAGAAAGTGACAGCTTCCGCACTGCTCTGGCCTCTCGCTTGCTGTCATAGGGCAGTGGTTAGGGCCGAGCGGACTGTTTGTGTCGCCCGGGATGGAAACAGAGATGCTTGATTCATAGGCTGATGAGCGGCTTTTGTAGGTTTCCCAGACGGCCTTGCAACCTTCAAGGTGCAGCTCGCAAGTTGGGGATGCTGATGGTAGGTGATAGAGAGTTGTAGTTATGGTCGTTGGGACGTAGAATGTGCTGCATGGTCCTGTACCGGGGTAATAATTCGTCACACTTTCGCGGGGACCCAGGGCGCGTGCGTGCCCGTCGCAGAGCGTGGTGACAGGCCCCGTGTGGGTGTCATAGTATCTTTCTAGATGGCTGCTAGTTGTGCAGGCGCCTGTGCTCGTCGGGATTAGTTCTGTTAGAGTCGATGTGGCCGTAGGGCCTAGGGACTCGAGTTCGTTTGAGCGGCCATCATATTGTATCCATTGCGCTGCGCAGTCGACGTCAGGGTTGTCGGTTGGCCCATACAGGTAGTCGGTTGAGGTTGGCCAGAATAGGCTTGTACCGGAGATGACGAGCCACTGACTACTGGTGTAGCAAGTTGGTTCGCCCGAAGGACGTGGGGAGGTGAGCGATTCTGATGATGAGACTTGGGAGCCGCTGGCTATGGTGGCACGATTGAATACTATCCCCTTGTTAGTTACGCCTAGAGTACTTGAAGATGACAGAGCATACGAGGGTTACCCCATGCTCTCGATAGGCAAGACAGCAACAGGACTGTTGGGACCATTTTGATCACGAAAATGGACATCTTCATTGCACGGCATAAGCACTTGAAATAATTTCGAAATGACAACTCGAGATTTTCACGTAGATATATACCAGGTCCACATCCCACTGTTCAGTTGGCGGGGTTTCTCTATGTCAAATGAATAGAGCAAACCTCGAAATTTCAGCTGAGTCTGACATACGCCACTTGTATCCATTGCTGTTCCTATTGGCCCGGATTCACCTGCAGGTGAAGAGATTGCAGTTAACGTCCAAAAGACAAGGGTTTGGTAGGCTGACACGATCAAGCTGAATGCATGAAACCCTACGGTGGGGAATCGTACGACTGCCGCGACTCCTCGTATTCTTTAGGGTATGACTTGCCGATAGGTCGGGAAGAGCCAAGAGCGAGAAAGCATCCCGCCAAGTGTATTAGAGAAGACGTGCTTATTTCCAATATCGGCTTTTTCAGTACTACTTCTAAATCCATAGTATTATCAGACAGCCTTATAATGAATCCACCTATCCTGTAGCACCCGAGCCTCTCCCCCGCCCGTCCATCCTATGTCGTGAGGACCACTGTCTATATGGTCTAACTTCCAAAATGACTTTTTCTAGGCTGAGATACGCTGCCAATGGCATTCCTGTCAATTCCTCGGGCAGCGGACCGGCCAGTGGTCCTCGGTAATCTCTAGTCACCACGGACACCCGACCACAAGCAGATACATGCTTTTCCTTCTCTACAAACATTTACAACTAGGTCACTATCCTCAGAGCAGGAAGTACTGACATGGTGTCCTAGCTTGATGAGACATCATGGCAAAGTGGATTTAATTCCATTGGTCTCTGTGATCAACCCTGCACAAAAGGAGACCTTAGGGTTATGGGTGCCAGAGTAACGACAGATCCCTCGAACAACAAGACATAAAAAATCGTTCGTCTGTTCTGCAGCCCCAATTCCTAAACATAGTATGCGAAATTTTTTGGACGCTGTCTCGCGTCGCAGCGTGTGTCATCGGTATATCTGCAGAAGACGTAGATCTGTAATGAATGGCAGGATCGGTTGCTGGTCGAGCACAATTGGGGATGCCAAGAGCAAGATCAACTAACTCTACGAAGTCAGCTCCCTATAGCGCCATATATTCCCCCGTTAAAAAAAAAAGGTGAATGCTTCTAATACTGTTCATTTGTTTCGGTGCTAAGAAGTGTGCTCTATCATATCCCGGTCTGCTTTGCGCGGTGCCATATTCCAGTCTACCTGGCCTCCTTGACAAAATGAAAACCTCTTGACGGATACTCCCACAAAATGGTTGAAGAAGGTACTATAGCAAGTGCCATAAATGACCGTAGGCATGAGAGAATGATGAAATCTATTCCTGTTCGCAAATAGCAACAAAGTTGCCATCATGTATGATTTCAAGGGTTATTTCCACCAGATCTAGGCATGAAGATATCTCGGAGCAACCTTTGGTCCGTAGAGGATGTTTAGCGAAGCGGGACGGCGAATGAACACCCTGGGAATTTAAACTTGCCGCACGTTATGCCTTCATAGGCAAGGGTTGCGACCACTGATCTGCGCCAATGTTGGAAGCCGGCCACTAGCAGCCTACACGTGAATGAGGATACACATGGCCCTCGGCTTTTTGTTAATATTAAAGTAGATTCAAGTCAGCATAAACACTTCTACGCATGCAACCCTTCACCGATCTGGGCTTTCCGCAACGAATATACCTGGGCCAAGGATGGAACAATATCAAAACCCGAAAGACTCGATGAAGTCAACCTGGCGCCGATGGGACAAAAGCCAGTGGACACTGTCACACAAACTCTTTGAACATGCGAACCTTTACCACGTTGATCTCGATCGGGAGGTTCCAGTTCATTCAAAGCAGGAGAAGGTACCCTATGTCTCAGACTGGTCTCTCCACCGCTGGATTATCTTTCACGCTTCTATACCACTGATCCTTCACCAACTCTATGTGTACCTTACCGGCCAAAATTTCGGTCCTATCATTGCCTTCGCCTTCTACTACTACACCACCAGGATTTTCACAAGCCGAGAACTTCGAAACCTTCGCGAGATGGGCCATACCTATGGGTTTTTAGATGGTGACAAACATGAGCGGGATGGTGTCCCCGACGTGGGAGTTTCCAAGGTACTGACATCGGTCATGCTGGCAAGCGTTCTTCGCCCAATGATGATGGTGTATCTCACGTACACTGCCACTAATGCCCCAGCGTCCATAAGCTGGCGATGGCTCCCCATCGAAGTTAGCCTATATGGTATTGTTCTTGATTTTTGGTTTTACTGGTACCATCGCGTCATGCACGATGTAAACGGACTCTGGAAGTATCACCGGACGCATCACCTCACCAAGCATCCAAACCCGCTCCTCACAATATACGCAGATTCAGAACAAGAGTTCTTTGACATTGCAGGCATCCCCCTGATGACCTATTTTACAATGAAAATTGTGGGGTTCCCAATGGGGTTCTATGAGTGGCATGTGTGTCAGCTGTATGTTCTATTCGCAGAACTAGCCGGACACAGCGGTCTTCGTCTTCACGCATCACCACCAAATCCATTGACCTGGCTCATGCGCATCTTTGACGCGGAATTGGTTATTGAAGATCATGATCTTCATCATCGAAACGGTTGGAGGAAGAGTCACAATTATGGGAAACAGACACGAGTTTGGGACCGTGTATTTGGTACCTGCCGCGACCGGATTGAGGGAATAGATGCTAACATCGACTACAAGAACACGGTCGCAATGAGCATTTTCTAACTCTATCTTTCCCTTGGGCTACACTGTGTCGCAAACTACTATTAGTCCCTGGGATTGTTCCTGCACTGCTTCAAACCGTGCTGTTGGCCAAAAGGATTAGCGGTCAGCCTTAGAGGCTTGATATATGGCCTTGACGGACGGCTGACGTATGGTCCACCTGTGTACAGAACTAGTCTAGAATCAAGAATAAAATGACTTGCAGACTATAGGAAGCAAAAGCCCTTCGGCAAGCAAGTGTTATGATCAATCAATATGAGGCGTCCCGGAAATGAAATAGGATGTATCTCCTTTGCGAAACCCCATCCCCTTTATGTGGGAAATCCAAACACAAAATAGCCTACACCGTGAGACAAGGATAGGAGTTTCTTAGTGCACACACAGTTGAGATTTACGTAGGGAGACCTAGCCACACTACAAAAACAGACCCGCAGGGTATGATCACCTTGTTGCAAAACGTTAATGTTTATAACTATCATTCGAACTTAATGTTATTGTCCTCAGTAAAAGAGAAGCTTCAGCTATAGCAAATATATACAGCTCTAGCCTTATGGGCGTACATCAAGCGCAGATTGGAAGTGTACATGGGTGCCGCAGGAGTCAGTTTAACCTGGTTACACGAAAAGACTTTTCTAGGTAATATATAGTTTATTATAATAAATAGAGTTTAGAATTATTTAGTATTAATAAAACTTAGTTTAAATTAATAATAAATAGTAAAATAGAATAATCTTTGTACAGTTTTAAACTGATTATAATAGTTATATAATAATATATAACTATTCTATATAGTAAAAAAGTAAAACTAACTAACAATAATTAATAATAGAAAATAAAACTGTTTTAAATAATGATAATAATTAAAATATTCTTAGATTTTTAATAATTAATAACTAACTAAATGTTAATATTAAATAAGTAACCTGTTAGACGGCCTCTCTGACATTAGGGCTTGCTCATGGCTGAGCCATCGAAATCTGAGCTTCACGTATCCGACAAGCTCTTCGCTCGCTCTGGGCGTCCACGGCCCAACCTCGAGACAAATCGCTAAGAGTCTCTGCATCGCGATGATATCCGCAACTGCAGGGGCAGGAAGGATTGAGGCCTGCCTTGCCAGCACACCCATCACAAATGTTGAAAGGTTTGCATTTTCGATGGGTCTACCCCTGACAATGTTATGCAGAGACTTTGCGAGGTCTGGGGCCGGGGGTCGATCCAATTGATCTACTTGCTCCTGCGCAAGACAACAACGTGGAAGGCCCATCCATGCCATGAGGCCTAGTAGAAAGTCTAGAGGGGTGCAGCCTTGGAGTAATAAACTAGTTGACCTTCGGTGATAAGGATTGCCAGGCAAAAGATAAACCTGTGGGTTTTCCTTCACCCTCATGCAATCATGCAGTTGTTTGATATACCCTGATAATTCCCGAGGCAGACGATTTTGAGCGAGTTCTCTGGACCAACAATCAGCTTCAAATCTCAAGATTAGCGTGGTGTACCAGCTCACTCGAGTTTGGTCATCAGATCACTTTTTGTGTCCATATTCAGTGTGCTTTGCTCGGAACTATATCATGTCGCTATTAAACTCCCATCTCAGCTGCTAGGGAGAGCCTCTCCGTCGCGACCGGACAGGCTTGCGCCCTGTTGCTGTCACTCCATCTCGCCCAAGAAACTTTTTCAGATCACCCAGGAGTTCATTGACCTGACTATTCCACTTCTGCTGCTCCCCAAAGTTGGCTTCCATTATGCTGACAATGTGGTCAGTTTCGTTGGGACATGAATGGCTCGCGAGTAGGGAGACGAATAGAGACTTACGAAAGGCGTTCTTGCAACCTGGTAGGGAGTTAGCGGGCTCTGGTCACGAGAGCTTTCGGAATCTGAATGAACCACATACTCATGTCATAATACGTTCCGTCCTTCCCCGCCAATGTGAGAAGCGTGGTCTCCAGGGGCGGTTGGTGCATCGTCCATGGTATCTAAATCATACAAACCGTCGTCCTCAGTTGCGGAGACTTGTTTCTGCCTTCGATCACTCCATGCTTTCCCAGGAAGTGGTTCGGTTTCCTGAGCAAAGTCAGGTCCTTTGGGGGCTTGCTGAGCCTGGCCCAGTTGCTGTAGGAGCTTCTCAAGGCGAGAGAAAAGGGGGGCGGTCTCACTGCTCAAATGATCCGGGGACGCCATGGTCGATACGGGGAGTCCTACACGGTCCGGACTTGCAGTGCTGAAAGAGTGCGGAAGAAGATGAGAATTCCCTCGGATTATCTTGTGGCAGCATACTGGCATATAAAATGATTGGCTTTCTTGGAGAATGCCGTATGAATTTGCCGGACGACCTTTGGAGCAGGCAGGTTGGTTGATAATCAACTTCGTTGATGGTGGTAGTTTTCACGTCGGTATGTTGCTGTCGCTCGTCCGTTCACGCTGTGGGGTTGTTCAAATCGGTGGCGCGAGGATTGGATCTGCGCCCGTTTGTAAGCCGTTAGGTGGAACAAAGGTGGAGTTGGACAGCCACTTGGATAGTAATTTGGCCTGATGTTTTGTCGCATACTAGTACAGTAAGGCGGACTATGTGCGACTCAGCATTCTCAGATTGATAGTGCATGTGCGTGGCTCGTATCCCCTCCTTCCCCATTCACCAGTTTAAAGCCCATCCGTTACTGACCAAACGGTGTGGAACGAATTGTCTTGGAGAATTTGACGCCGACTATTGGGTGTCAGAGGCCGGTACATTTTTGCAACCATATCGGGAACCAAGACATGGATCACCTCTTGGTTATGTCTAGTAAGAGATTCAAAGATATCATGTACGACCTAACTCGGGTGCTGACCATATCTACTGTCAGCATCCCGAATGCGGAGGCTGGACTTCAACCCAGCGGTGCTTAAACCCACCCTATGTTTGTACCACATCAAGTCCCTGTTTGCTGTAATTGTACATCGCTTCAGACTAATCTGAAATAAGTGGCCTTGCTGGCCACTTATTGCGCATGGGTCATTACTAGACTGAAAGCCCATTTCTCATTTACCAGAGATGGATTGTCCCTGGGTGACAGGAGCATACGGGGTTCTGGGCAAAGGAAAGTGGGATTGAATTCAGTTGGACCATTTTCTGCATCGAGATACCCTTTGCACTCTCCACAGCAAGTAGATACTAAATACTAATACTCTGTTCGTTGTCCTGCCATAATTGTTTCCCCAACATCTTTTTTGTACTCGTACACTCCTTCCCGGCCCTGGCGTGTCCTCGGGTTGCACTCCTGGATACAATTCATCAGTATGCAGAACTTTGACATCTGCAGTGTGATATTTCCAGTTAGTTACATGATGAATTATCTCACCCGTCAAAAAATCCTCTATTCCAGAGACAATGAATGGGCAGCCATGCCCTTGGGGGGAAAGCCCGTTTTGATTTAAGGGTTGGAAATCAAAGTGAAGTGTGTTGCAGTATGTAAACCTTATTCGATTTCTAACATACATGGTATGACTGGGTAGGTAATGGGAGAGGTGACGCAATGTAGGCAGGCAATCAGTACGGCTCATCCATTTCCAGAACCCAAAAATCTCATTGTTGATGATTCTCCAGGCCATGTATTTAGAGCTTCGCAGGAGAACTACGTTACTGTACTAGATTCCAGGAATGCAGGCTTTAGGGCAAATGATAATCTTTATCAAGGTATCGGGCTAGTAACTCGAACACATCTGGGCTATCACTCCATCAGCCTCCAAACGTTCATCGATTCGATCGTTCCGTTATGCTCTCAGCTCTGGGTTCGACGAGGATCCTATTCGGGTCATATAATCCGAGCCATCTAATTTGAGCGGTCCAAGCCCAGCGGAAGCAATTGCGAAACTCAAACTCGGTACGTGTGAGATGACGTGTGCACTAGAATCAACTGATTCTCGTGAACAACGGAGGCCACTTCAACATTGGCAGCTCTTGGTCATAATTTGGATGCTTGAATGGCAAAAAAACTAGATATCGTCATGCGAAGACTGAGTTTCGAGGACTTTACTCAAAGAACAAAAGAGCTGAGCAAAAGAGCTGGACAAAGAGAGCGTTGAACGTTATACATTTCATTTGCTTGGCCTTCGGTTGCTCATATATACCCGTTATAACCCATGTATTCCTCATTCATCAGCGTACTCACTATAACATTTTGGCCTAGATATATCACTGCGCCACGTCCATGGTTGCCATCCGATCGAAACTGGTATCTAATATCTCAACAACGTTGCCCCACGGATCCTGAACGTATACACAGATCGCCGCCCCTCCAGCAACTAGGGCTCTAGCACCTTGCCTCTTTCCTCCGTTTTGGACTACCTTTTCAGCTAGCGCATCTGGATTGGGGTCTGTCACGCAGATATGAAAGAAACCGCCACGATTGTATTCGAAGCTGACGGGATTTGCCTTGAAATCAGGATCGATAAATTGGAATACTTCAAACCCAACGCCATTACCAGTTTCCATGTATGCCAGTTTGACTTCATGGAGGGCTTCTCCATAGATGGAGAAGATGGCTGCTGAAGGACTCTCGCATCGCTTAATGTGGAAAATGCGGTCGCCGATGATCTGGAATCCCATTACTTCAGTATACCATGTTGTCACAGCCTCAATATCGTTTACGGAGACTGCGACGTGATTGATTGGACGGGCGAATGTCTGTATTTGGATTTTAGCGACGAGTCTGATGAAATTAGGGTTGAGAGGACGTACAGTCGACATGGTTGTATTCTGATTGAACAAACAACTTCTCGATTATTCGCAACGATGGAACTGATGGTGATATAGTATTCTACTTTTGGAAAAACGTCTGTGTCAGGCATGGAATATTCAAGTTGTTAAATCCTTATGTAGTTCAAAATCGTGGGGAACCCGATACTCCCTCTGTCCCACAACATGCTGATCTGTGACGGAACCGAGTGGAGTCCGGTTATATGCGAGATAGCCTGTCCCGGGAATCTACAATTGTATACACAAGAACGGCCGGCAATAGACAGAGAAGTCACTGACTAATAGCCTGGTACTCTAATGTCACGGTTATGGCTTTCTCAAGTCCCGCGTGTATTATGACGCAGACTCTCGTTTGATTCTGCACCTTTTAAATAGCGTACGTTTGGCGATTTTGAAAGTTTTTTAAAAAAAGATATGCAAAGACTAGGCTTGAAGTCAATAACCCTTTCAAATTGCTACGCGTAGCGTCGCCACTCAACCACCATTCAATATTCTGAACTTGGTGATTTTCTTCAAGAACTACAATTGTCCTTTATATCATGTCCGAGGCACGGAAGTGCACGCAGACGTTCAAACTGAACAATGGTAAGTTTCTAGATCACCCTGTTCCAACAGCACGATGATAGGAAAACATAAGGCCCAGCAAAATTACATACTAACAATAGTAGGCAGACAAATGCCCGCCGTTGGTCTTGGTAGTTGGCAAGGTTAGTAGCCCTTGAATTCTCCTCCACTACCTAGCTGATCATAAAACCATAGGCCGCCTTGGCACAGATGACCAGAAAGCACTCGAAGAGTCTATCATCTTCGCTCTAAAGAACGGTTACCGCCTAATTGACACGGCCAATTATTACGGAATCGAATCAGTCGTAGGCCGAGCTGTCAGAAATAGTGGAGTGCCGCGATCTGAAATCACTATTGTGACGAAGTTCTGGGGAAATTACCACCACGACGTCGCCGCCGCGCTAGAATTATCTCTCAAAGAGCTTTCCCTGGACTACATTGACGTCTTTCTCATGCACTGGCCATGGGCAATGACTCCGAAAGGGGAGCCCCTGCGAATACACGAGTCACCGACTTTCGTGGAAACTTGGAAGCAAATGGAAAAGTTGGTAGGTGATAAATGCAAGGGAATTGGGGTATGTAACTTCACTCAGAAAACCCTGGGCGTATTGCTTGAGCACGCCACTATTGTCCCGGCCGTTAATCAGGTCGAGCTTCATGCTCTTAACCCTTGTCTAAAGTTGGTCCCGTACTGCCAATCAAAGGGAATACATGTCATGGGCTGGGGGTAAGTCATTAATTTTATTCAAAGAAAGACTCAACAGAAGAGGTTTCTCAGCGCACAGAATACTGGCTGACATACTGCCTCGTGTAGAACACTGGGAGGTGATAGCAAAGCCGCCAAAGAACATATTCTCGAGGGCGATATCTTCACGAGCATTGCTCGAAAGCATGATTGCTCGACGGGTACGGTCTCGTTGTCTTGGGCTGTACAGCGAGGCACGACGGTTATCCCCAAGAGTAGTTCCAAGACGCGTGTTATCGAGAACATCAAACTTATTAGTCTAGACGATGAGGACATGGTCAAGATGAATGATGCGCATACCCAGATCGAACTACATCGGATCTGCAACATTCATCATTTATTGTGGATCGAGCTAGATAACAGACGTACTTTACAGGGGTGGACGGAGGTTGACTTCGGTTGGGAGGATGAACGGGGGAACTGGTTGACATAAAGCCCAAGATTCCCAAGGTGATAAAGCTTTACCATACGTGTCTTTGTTGCATGCTTTATGGAATATGTAGATATCATCTGAAAATCATCATCATCATCATCATCATCATCATCATCATCATCATCATCATCGTCATCGTCATCCTCAAAATAACGGAAACCTCCTGATAAACTGAGTAGATTAATTATCAACAAATGGTTGGACACCTAGCCACGATGAGCCCGACCGATCACCAAATTCCGAGTCCATGGCCATACACGATGGATCATTTGGTTCCATCTCGAAGAGACCGCCCAAGACAGCGAGATCTTGCCACATATCATTTCCGAAGGGAAGAAATGCGTTCATTCTTGGATCGGTGTAAGCAGCCCCAGAAGGGTCTTGAACAGCTTCGGAACTACTACTCATAGGTCGATGTTCTTCAACGGGAGTAGGATGTGAAGCAAAGATACCCTTGTCTAAGAGCTGCATAAACCATGGGCTGGGATCCCACGTCTCTCGACTCGCGTGAAATACAAGTTTACAGTTTGTAAGTCCAGACACACCTAACTGCGCAACCATGCGGTTTGCACTTTTCGTCTGCATATAGAAGACAGCGGCGGCCATGAATACTCCATGGAATAGCTCATGAGGAGCAAACAGTATTGCGGATCTTGTAACGACAGAGCAGGCAACTAAAGCAATATGTTGTGCGGCTTCGTTCATTGCCGCCTCAACCATGCTTTTTTCCGGGGATTCATCCGTTGCACGATTCTGTGTTGGTTCTGCCTCAAGGCGATCAAGGTAAGTCAAAATGGCGTGGTGGTTGTACATTGAGCATAAAGTGGACGCGAATATGTTTAGGTTCCCGAGTACGCCCCCAGACCAGTTCAACTCAGGCGGAAGCTGGTTGCGCCAGTCCACTAGCATCTGCCACAAGTAGCCTGGGGGCACATATTGCTCTCCGTGCGGTTGAAAACGAGCGGTGATAATGCGTCGTAAAATGATGGTCAGTTTGATAACATGGATGTGGTATAGTACAGAGCGACGCGTGTTATGATTGGTTGCGTGCGCCGACGAGAATGCGTCGTCTTCAAAGTCTTCTGGTGAAAGGGCATCTACATCGCTATGATCGAGGTTCACCTTGAAAGGACGCCCTATCAGCACAGCGGACGTTGCATCTCTCAGGACCAAGACCCACCAAAGCCGCTTCAGAAGGCTTCTATCTTGCGGTTTGATGCTTGTCCCAGCCATGGACCTGTGACATCCAATGGTTTCTGCGATAGTAACGCCCATGCCGATCCAGGAATAAAAATTCCAGTTGTCATTGGGACCGCCGCCCCAGAAACTCATCAATATAGTGACTTGAAGGAGCACAATTTTGTTTGTTTCAAAGCCAATGTCGAAAAGTGCTTTAGCTTTGGAGTAAAATGATAGACGGGCCTGTTGCCGGCTGCCGAATCCTGCCCGATAAAGAACTTCAGGAGGACAGAAAAGCACAGCAACTGAGCATAGAGCATGGAGTAAGATCCAAGGCATTTTTTTTGATCTGTGTTGCGCAACGAACTCTTGGCGGTTGATAATAGGGTAGATAGGGAATATCCTTTCGAGAAACACATCCACGAGGGCCTGTATTGTGTCATTGCCAGGCGTGCTAAAGGCCCCTTTGGCTTCTAGAAAGGCAATCTCCTCAGGGGGCATGCCTGAAGGATGGAAACGGCCACTTGAATCTGTGGCCTGTTCATTTGCCGGATAAGATGGACCCGGGTGGTGGAGTAGTGGTCTACCTGCGTTTTCTCCTTGGAGATCCTGTAGTATTGTAGAGAGCGGGAAAGATTCCCCGAGGTAGGTGATAGAGCATTTGTCTAGAACATCTTGATCGCCTCTTTGGCCGTCCAGAAGATGATTGACAACAGCATTCCAGCCCATATTTCGATGGGAGGAGAGATTATCATTCATATAACCGGGCGATACGTTCCTCACCGGTGAGGTAGTTCCTGTTGGGTCGTGGCTTGGACGTTCTAGAACCGAGACAACTTCTGGCCCCGCCGAAGGTGGTTGAGCTTGTGGAAGGGGAAAATCTGCACTCCTATTACCCTGCTGCTGAGCGATTCCATGAGAGTCACCGATTGAACCGCGCTCTCGTCGTGTAGAAACCCGCTGGCGCGTGTTGTCTCGTGGTGGCAAATCTGGACTGGTCGGTTCAGCCGTGGCTGCCTGTACAGTCGATGCAGGTCTATGATCGCCTGGTTCATTTGATATTGTTGCGGGAGTCGGTCCGCCGTTATCCCCAGTGGCCTGTTTATGCCCTGTGGGGGTTTGGACAGTTTCAGCAAGCTGAGAGCGTGGCTTACGAGTGTAGACGCCCCGACGCGACTGAATTAACCTGCAATCAGGCTCATTTCTCTGAATACACCTGGTACAAGGCATTCCACGCTCGCTCGCGTCACATTTGACTCGTTTTTCATTACATCGACGACAGGCTTTCGAGGCGCGGATACGGCCAGCCTGTCGCTGGCGTGACTGCTTCGGTGAATCAGATAGTGATTGCGATATCCCGGCCATATTTCTCTCACTTCCATCCCTGTTCATGCCTATTTCAGCGTGAATCAATGGACTGGAGACGATATCGAGCTCGCCAAAGTTGTTCGCAGTTGAATGAGGAGGGTCGATTACGTCAGGCTTCAGTGTGGCTGAAGATTTATATTGTGGCGCAGTCAAGACTTACCCCAGCAATTCCCCGCGCCCCGAGGAATGAACGACCTGTCTGCATCCACCTTTGCGAAAAAGCGTGTCTGGGGGTCTCGGAATCAGAACCTCCGAGTATGGATATTATGGGTCTTCTCGCTTCTTTCACAAGACTCATTGGTCCGAACATCTGCAGGAGGTTATATGGTACGAGAATCGATCAGTGATGAGAACAAGCGCCGGAGATCGGATTGAGGGACTTGAGTAGAACGAACTTTGCCATGGTCAATGATCAATTAGTCAAATACTAAATAGGACAAGATTTGCGCGGGGAGTGTTGAATTTGCCGGTTATTCCCCGCAAACCCCCCCCCCGGGGGGGGGGGATATCATATAACCGGGGATGCTACCTTGAAACGGGGATCGGGTGGAAAGAAGCAGTCTCGCCTAAGACATGCAACCGACGAGCTGCTCCCCCAGCTGCCTCTTGAATATATCGGGAGCTTACTTGGCAATACTAGCCCGACATCTAGAATGTGATAAATATGTTTTCTACCACAAGTCGTCCACTCGCTTGAAATTGTTTTGCCAAGTTTATCTTCTCGTGGAATTGGTGAACTTTGGACATTTCCTAACAATTAAACTGCCCACTCCTCCTAGTCCCTTTTGGAATATACTGCAAAATGTCGACTGCCACCGTGGTTGATGAAGCCAGTGCTCAGTCGATGGTCACCGCTCTCCGTTTCTACAAGCGTGGTGACCTTCGTCTGGAAGAACTCGAGCCCCAGTACGTGTGATGTTCATCTTATTGTCTTATATCTTCAACGCATATACAAACTTTGATTCTGAAATTCTCTAGATTGTGTGGTCCTGACGAAGTTCGCGTCAAGGTCGCTTATAGTGGCATCTGTGGCACCGATGTCACCGAGTATATTGGGGGACCTATTTTCCCGCCCCAGGAAGGACATATGAATCCTCATACTGGAGTCTCGCTACCTATTGTTATGGGTCACGAATTCTCTGGTATCGTCTGCGAAATCGGCTCCAACGTGGAACATTTGAACGTTGGGCAGCCAGTGGTTATCAGTCCTGCGTACGACCATCGTCACCATGGTTCCCAGTTTTGCGGACCTTGTAAGGATGAAAGGTATAATATTTGCGATGCATCAGCGACCATTGGCCTCAATGCACCCGGTGGTGGCTTCTGCGACCAAACTGTTGTCAAGGATATGAACTGTATTGCTCTCCCTTCTAACGTTAGCCTGAAGGCTGCTGCTTTGGTAGAGCCTCTTGCGATTGGACGGCATTGTATAACCTCTTCAGGCTTTAAGAAGGGCCAGTCAGTTCTTATATGTGGCGCAGGCCCAATTGGACTGGCTATTGTTCTACTCCTGCGTGTCATGGGCGCTTCTAAGATCATCGTGACCGAAGTATTGGAATCGCGTATGATGCAAGCCCGAAAGTTTGGGGCAGATGTTGTCCTCAATCCGCTGCAAGCCTCTGCCGATAATTCCATGTCTGCAGAGGAGGCGATCGAGAAAGCAGTTCCAGGTGGCGTCGATATAGCCTTTGATGCAATTGGATTTCAGTCAACACTGGATCTTTCCATCGCTAGCGTGAAACCGGGCGGAGTGATTTTCAATGTCGCCATTCACAAGAAGCCACTATCACTGAACTTGAATGACTTGGCAATGAAAGAGAAGAAACTGACTGGCGGTATTTCTTATTTCCAAGAGGATTTTGATGTCGTTATTGGCATGCTGGCAGAAGGCAAGCTTGAAGCGGAACAAATGATAACCTCTATCATTCCACTGTCCGAGGTTGTGAAAGGAGGCTTTGAAGAATTGGTTCACAATCGTGAGGCCCACATAAAGATTTTGATCAAGCCTTGATAGTCGCAATATGACTGCAGGATTCTGAAGTGAAGTACAATTTCGTGACTAGATATTCAAAAGAGCAGCTCAAAGGTTCGGTCAATGGTTCAGGAATTCAAAGTAGTCTGTATCAATTTCTGTACGATGACATTCGCTCCGCGTGGGATTGTGAAAAGGACATCTCAGCCGGATCTCCTATACGGTACTGTCACTCGAAAAAAACATATGCTTAACTAAAGTGAGAGGAGTACTACTTCTCTCTCGCTCGGCGCCTATCCCAAGATGGCTGAACAATTTGCTAGAAACCGACGACACAGATTTTGAGTACTATACAGGTGTGAGATATCGATTGGTAAATATATTGAACTCGCTAGGTTGCCAATTAGCGCTTTTCTTTTTTTTTTTTTTTGCTTATGGCTTCTAATCAACGCTGCCTAACCGTTCTCAAAAATATAACTTTACGACCGGAAGAATGGCCTATGGAGTATTATTTTATGACGAGTTTCTGACATGCTTCTGGACCAAAGAAACAGCCAGAAGAAGAAACATTCTCGAGTTTTAGCGAAAAAAAAGGTACATTAATGTCAAGATAACAATACCGGGTAACGATATGTAAAAGCCTTGGTCATCTATCCAATTTCTAAGGAAAATGAGGATAGACAGCTTCCATATCGGAGAGCAGAATCTCCCTTCAAGTGGACAGGGCACGATATAGCTTCAATGGTACTTCTAAGGCAAGGACAAAGCTTTTCGTGCTTATATCTCCTTCTCAGTTGATATGCTCAATATGGAGAGACGTATTTGTCGAATTCTTCTCGCCGACGTTGGAAGCTTCGTTCCCAGTTGCTGCTGCGTGCTCTTCACTATCGATAAAAAGAAGGTCTATTTCCTCCAGGGATAACCTGCTAGTTTCAGGGAACCAAAAGTAGATGGCGGGGGCAATGGCAAAGTTCTGTTTTGTGTTAGGTATAGTACTTCATTGGAAATTGCACCAGGGGCGAGAAACTGACACAGGCCATAAAAACCAAGTATGTTTTCCATGTTATGTTAGCGATCATGGTAGGGGTGACCATAACAATAAGAAATACCTACAACATTGTGAGTGTTCTGTCATGCGCCCTGGATACTCATGACTTGCAAGCGTAGAACTTACCGAGGCCCAGTTCACGAAAACGGCCAACGAAATTCCCTTTGCTCTGGCTTTGAGCGGCAGAATTTCTGGAGCGTAGCACCAGGGGATCGCGTTTAGACTAGTACCGAAGAAGATCATATACTGTAAAGGGCTTTAGTTAATGATACTCATGTTCGATCCATGATTTCTTTACCGTGACGAAAAACGCAATACAGGCTTTCCCAGTAACAGCCTGCTTGTTTGTACCTTGGAAGGATAACAGAACTGAGATAGCAGCGAGGCTGAGCCCCATTCCTATGCTTCCTATAACTGCAAGGCGGTTAGTTACGAGAACAGAGCATGGCATCAGTGTATCTTACTCATGGGCCTTTTTCGGCCAATGCGATCAAGAAATAGTGCTGGGACCAAGGATCCTAAAGCAAATGCGAGGTTAATGCATCCACCAGCAATCAGTGCCATCTGCCTGGATAGTCCCACACTCTCTTCCAGAACGACTGCAATATAAAATACAACGACGTTGATACCGACCCACTGGGTGCGAGATCAGTTAATCGAACCAAAGACGTAATGTATATAAGAAAAAACAAAAACGAACCTGATTGAATGATAGTACCAAAAGTGCAAGACCGACTCGGCGACGAGTTTGAACTCGATCGTTCTTGAAAAGCCTGGACCAGTGGAAATCGACCTCGCTTTCATTTGCCAGTGCCCCCAGAATCTCCCTAGTTTCGTGTTGGACACTCTCATCTTCCGGTCCAACACCATATACTTGGCACATCACCTGCACAGCTTCGTCCACTCTTCCACGCTCAATAAGCCATCGAGGGGTTTCTGGTAGACCAAAGAGAACTATGGAAATGATAAATGCGGGTAAGATCTGGGCGGCAATTGGGAGCCGCCAAGCAATTGCACCACCGACAAAGTCCATTCCGAATGCAAAGAAGTATGCTACGGTTATACCGAGCGCAGTGAAGAGGACCTTTCCATGAGAGAAAAGACAATCAAAGTTAGAAATTGCCTCTCGTAGGACGACACGGAGATGCATACCTCTGTAGTTACCATACGACCTCGAACGGCTGCTTTGCACAACTCAGCTTGGCTTGTAGGACGTTAGAACCTGACAGCATTGGAAATGAGGTATACATACTACATAGGCACTGTGGCCGTGTCTATACCGACGCCTTGACCGGTTATAAGTATGACATGACATGAGGCACGATCTTCTCAGAGACTTACCAAGGCCTGCAACAATTCGTCCGACGATCATTTGCGGGACCTATTAGGTTCAGTTAGACTTGCCCAGTTCCACGGTGCTGATGGGGGGATAAAATACCCCGTAAGCAGATGTCTGAATTATGGCACCGATGCTCAATGTAATCATGGCAAGCCAAAGTGTCGGACGGCGACCAAGCCGGCCGCCAATAATGAAGGTGAGAACGCAGCCTGAAAGACATCCGAGATTGTAACTAGAGACTGAAACGGATTTGAGTCAGTTCAGGCAAGATGAAAGTCTGGAGGAAATATACCAATGAATCCAAGAAGACCATCAGAAGGGTGGTTGACAGTATTCAGAAAGTCTGGGTTAGAAATCAGGCCCCCAAAGACACCTTGATCGTATCCAAATCTGTTCAAGTGAGAAAAGGTATCTACAGTCCAGCAGAGCAATGGAGATCTCTACTTACAGGAAAAAAGCGTGCAGGCAGTTTGCAGTGATAGCTAATTGGGTGTGAAAACCCGGTTTAAACCAGGATGACTTATGAGGCATGTCGTTTTATAGTATGACTGTAAGAGGTTAATAGGAAAAGGTGATATTGCGGGATGTGCTTGCAACGCAAACTATAGCTTGCAGTTGACCGGATTTACATATAAAATATGCTGCAAAGGACGCATTGTCTCTACCCCATATCAAACCCAATCCTGGAGGCGCGGGGAAATCCGGGGTAGTAGTTGGCCTGGAAATCCAAATCTATTCTAGAGCAGCAGCTAGTTCTCATTGACATCACTAACGTAGAGTTTGTGATTGATCAAATCTCTGCTAATAAGGAAAACCTAATGCAGTCGCCTATTTCCAAGGTTAGATTGTCTCAATTGTCAACACGACCCGGCTATTGCCTGCCTCATGCATGTGACCGGTGTGAGAACCGTTGCGCGAATGAAGAGTTTCAACCAAGTGTTTTTCAGAAGTTAAAACATATAATTTATGGAATACATGCTATGAGAATAAAAAGATGCTATAGGTAGCAACCCAACACATCGTGGCGTAGTCAAATCTACAAGAATAAACCCCTGGAGCAGAGAGACCATTGAGATGTATTGATCGGGTCGGTGGTCAGAAAGTGTCCGAAGTCATAATCGGGCGAAGTCCTCCTGTGACCTATAGATAAGCTTCGTGTAGGTTCAGTTGCCAGACAAGTGTTTGCTGTGGTGAACTCTGATGACCATTCGCTACTCCAGAATTAACGGTTATATGAGAAATGGCGAACGGGTATAGCCGGAAATATTAGAACTTTGGAAAGTCGAAACTTTCAACATTTTTGGGACTACAACTTCTTGCATGATAAATGAATCAGTGGCAATTACAAACTCAAGCACAAACTCAATCTCTATGCCGGTGTAGGAGTAGTCGCCCGTATAGGGGGATTTATGTATCAAAATTTACGGCAATATCAGTTTCGGTTATTTGACCACGTTCCGTACCTGTCGCCAACAAATGCAAACATATCCCATAAGTCATGTTTTTACATTCGATAACGCACCATCAAGGACAGAATAAACCAGCCCCAGCGCTTTAGCCTATATGTCTGAACACCCAGTTCACAATGCCTGGAGAACCAGAAACCGCTTCGTTTTGAGGCGGGGAACTTAATATCATGGTTGAAGAAGGCAGTCGAATGAGGCTACTGTCTCTACTAACATACTTTTGTATTAGCACGATGGTCATGATATGACTGGTCAGGGCCCTATCTCTATTATTTCAAATCGGGGTACGTTATCCTTATCGAAAGCTGGTGATTATAAGCGCAATGAGCCTGTTTCCGGACCTGAGAGTTCCACACCTTTTTAACAATGCCGAGCATATATTGCTAAGCGCCGGGGCTATGCGGGCTGGACGAAAGAAGGAACAAGTCGGCTCATAGAGAATAGTGGATCGACCAACGAATATCAGTGAAGCAAGTCTGTTGATATACTTGAATCGCAATCCTAGTCTAAGACGACTTATTTCCAACCCGTCGACGCGTACTTTCGGCTCAATACAGGGGCTCAGATACCATCACCAGGATTAGGTCTGTACTGCACTGATTCGAGTGATCTCATGAAAGTGTCACTGACTGCGAGAGCAGGCACTTGGAAGGCAAGCCCAGATGCGGTAGAAAATGCCGTTTTCCATGCTATCAAATGCGGATATCGTCATATCGATACAGCCTTGGCCTACGACAATGAACGGTCCGTCGGATTGGGTATCAAGCGCGCTATTGATTCAGGATTGGTAAAGCGGGAGGATCTCTTCGTGACTACCAAACTGTGGGCCACATACGCGGGTCGAGTAAGCGAAGGCCTTGAGGTCAAGCGATTCAATGTCATGTATTCTATCAACCGAATACCTGGTAATTTAATAGCAGTAGCCATTTTGCAGGAGGCGTGGGGTTTGCGAGACATAGGGATTACTGTTTTATGGGTCGAAATCATGCTTCTTCGAGGCTGGAGATTAAGTCTCGGGTGAGGCTTCCATCATCTCAGCGTCTTTGATGGATAAACATGTAAGCGGATTACAGATATGATTTTTATTCTATAGAAAAGATGGTACCTAAGAATATTGTTGATACCACATGATTTGAATACAGTCTTTCAAATCGATGTCGTTATTCAGATCTAATGCTGTGGATTATTGGGCTTACCATGCATCTTGGAGCGGCCGGCTGAGTATGCATTGGACCGCGATTGGCGATTAGACCAGATGCGCCAGCAGACTATTTCGCAAGTATTACTTTCACGTTTACCTTACTGGGATGCTGACGAAGTAAACATATTCTATCTCGATGAAGACGCCGGGGACATTGTGATTTCTGTGTTGACCAATTCTATGACAAGTAGAAGTCCAAGGGTAACTCTATCCACTAGTGTTGGATATTAAATGGCACAGCAAAAAAAAAAAAAAAAAAAAAAAACGGAGATATTATCTCTTGTAGTTCAGAAAACAATACCACCCGTAAAACGCACATGTTTGCCAACTGACGGAATCAAAATCAATTCAAAATTCGGTCTAGGCCGGCAAACCCCCTATAGTTACAGTTTTCATGACTTGATACTCTGCTAAACCATATCTGCTTCCCTCGCGTCCGACCCCGGATTCTTTCACTCCTCCAAATGGCACTTCTGCAGCGCTGATCTTACCTGTATTCACACCCACCATTCCGACCTCCAAAGCCCTTGCTACCCGCCAAATGGTTTGCAAATTCTGGCTAAAGAAGTAACCAGCGAGACCAAATTCAGTGTTATTGGCGCTTTCGATCACTTCTTCGACCGTATCGAACATTCTGATCGCCGCCAGCGGGCCAAAGGTCTCCTCCCTTGTGACTATCATCTCTCCAGTGATTCCCGTCATCAATGCCGGCTCAATAAAGAATCCTGGGGATTTAGGAACTGTACCGCCCATAACTAAAGTGGCACCCTTGGCTAATGCATCCTCGATATGTGTCCTGACTTTCTGGACAGCGGCGTCATTCACCAGCGGACCATGGGTAACTTTTGGATCAAGGCCAGATCCGACAACAAACGATCGCATACGATCGGCTAGGCGCTGCGTGAATTTGTCATGGATACCGCGCTGAACGTACAGCAGATTTGCGCACACACAAGTTTGACCCGAGCCTCGGAATTTGCAGTTTACAGCGCCCTCGACTGCCACATCGATGTCTGCATCATCAAAGACAATGAAAGGTGCATTTCCACCTAGCTCCATTGAGAATCTCTTCATCGTGCGGATGGCCTGCTCCGAAATAATTTTGCCGACATTGGTCGATCCTGTGAAACTGACTTTGCGTATCGCTGGATGTGTATAAAGCTCCGCGGTTGCAGCTCGATCCGTAGACGGAACAATCTGAATAACACCCGGTGGGATGCCTGCTTGAAGAGCGAGATGCCCAAGTGCTGATGTACACAATGGGGTTTCTCGTGGTGGCTTAACAATGGCTGTGCATCCCGCCGCGATAGCCGGTCCCAGTTTGCGCGTGATCATCGCAATTGGGAAATTCCACGGCGCAATAATGGCACAGACTCCTACCGGTTGGCGAATGACGAAGTTTGCAGTAGCAGGATTTCTTGACGGAATAGTATCCCCATAAGATCGAATCGCCTCCTCTGCAAACCAATCAAGATAAGAAGCACCATATTCCACCTCCGCCGCAGCTTCGGCCAGAGTTTTGCCGTTCTCAAGAGTGAGGAGCTTACTGAGGCTCGATATATTCTGTCGTACTAAGGAGGCCCATTTTCTCAGCATTGTGGCTCGTTCGTACTCTGAAGTCCGGCCAAAAGTCGTGAAGGCATGTTGTGCATTTTCGATTGCCGCTAATATCTCGCCTCGCCCGACATCAGCTACATTAATGATTTCTTTGCCTGTTGCTGGGTTCGTGACCGCAAATTTTCTTTTCCCTTCAATCCACTCGCTCCCAATTAAGGCGAAAGGCTTGATAATGCTTTGATCCTGAAGAACCTCCGCGAGATTGGTTTGTGAAGGCATCATGTTAAAAGATTGTAGTATAGTTTATTCCCAATATAGTCAATGTCGCCGAGTATTTAGTTGACCAAAGAATTTTTGTAGTGAACCGCTTTCTTTTTGTTTGTCTCGGGCAAGTATTAATATTAATGGTCGTTTTCGAGCGCACTGTAGATCCGAAACCCAATCCAAGATATGTTGTACGCCATCATCGGCTATATAAAAGCTCGCATAACCGCCGTGCATGGAAAGTCGGTAATGGATATTTCTCAGCCTCGAGTCCCCCACTCACATGAACGCAGACACGCGCACATCACTGCAGATCCTCTTGGTTGAGATGAAGAGAGCATGCATATTTGTGGGTTTTAGGTGCTGAGAATTGAGAGAAGTGATATCTGGTAGCCGGCATGCGTTGCTCCCGCTGGCCGATCTTATGCCCATAGACCCAACCTTTGTACGTACACTTGAAGTTTCATAATATATAGAAACCACTCATCATGAGTGACCCATTGATAATTTAATTACTTCCAATTGCGAAGTGCTAGGAGCTGATAATATGACCATATAGCCGCTGAGTAATACTGATCGTTCCTGCGGGATTGATTCTCCGTCAAGGACGCCCGAGCTCATTTCTACGACTAGTGTACTTGCGTTCATGCTAGTCTGAGCTAGCAGAAATAAAGGCGTACGCAAAGATACTCTTCAAAGCGAAATACAGGGTTATGCTTATAAATTCTTCTCCCGTGTTTTGTTTCGATGTCATGAGAACTATCCTACCGACTGGAACCTGAGAACTACATACAAGTACTCGTTGACCCATGTGCCTGCATTCGCTCTTGTACCTGTTATGCCTGGGAACTACCCTCGGCTTCTTATATCATGACTCAATACACTTATCGTATCACCGACTTCACCTTACCACTATCAGAGCACATATGTCAATACCTAGCCAGTTTCTCCTCGGAAACGAGCTATAACGGATTTAAATCAACACTTCTTCAGAATGTTGAACTTTTTCAAACACAGCATGACAAAAGTCTTATCACCTACTGGTTCTATGTCGCTAGATTTATGTGCATCAAACGGGGGCGCTGCACGGAGGCGCAATGTGGACTCTGTTCGACAATCTGAGCTCAACAGCCTTGTTCCCCATATCGCGACCAGGATTCTGGCACCATCTCGGTGTGAGTAGATCTATTGTAGTCTGGTTCCATTCACCGCTGTCTGAGGGGGAAGAGATCCGTCTTGTCTGTGAGGTAGTCTCTGCTGGTAGAAGAATGGCAACTGTTAGAGCTACGATGGAGGACCGCAATGGCAGAATCTGCGCAAGCTGTGTCCATGAGAAATATTTTGTCCCAGATTCAAAAATTCGAGTTTGTGTCCGAGTTATCGATCAGGTGAAAATGACCGAATGCTGTAACGCAAATTGGGTTGTGATACCAGTACCTGATTATAGTCGAAACACATGCGCATTAAAAAAAAATGCATTTCAGTTGTGTCTTTCCGATTGTTCAAATTGGATTTTCATTCTGTAACTTATCCGGTTGTCAGTACGACTTTCAAAACTTGAAACTTTTCCAATTGTGCTCATGAGAAAACCGAGGAAGAATATAAATATTACGTCCCCAGTCCCGTATTTCCCCCTTTAACCGCTCAAGCTGGGTAGCTTGAGAGGTTATATATGTACGATTGCTGTGGTATGTGCTTCCAGATTACCTACCAGGCAAGCCATACCTGTGGCTCAATTTCCACATTCCTAGGTTGGCATTCATTATAACGCTGCTTTCAAAATTCAAAATAATGATCTTTAATACCCATTAGGCCATTAAGGTCTGAATGGTATGTGAGAATCGAGCATGAATACACGACATGACAAACAATATCTCGAAATTCCGCGTTGGACCCCAAAAGCCTCAACTCGAAATACACTAGGAGGACGACCAATAGCCTTAAGCGCACATTATAGTTTATAGTTTCCAGACGAGACCTGCATGCCCCCATCAACAGCGATATCTTGCCCTGTGACATAAGCGGAAGCATCGCTCAGCAAATATAACGACGCCATTTGGAGGTCTTCAGGTGTTCCGACACGTCCTAAGGGTGGGGCTTCGTGAAATACTTTAAGCAACTCTGGTCGATTAGCAGCAATGGAAAGGTTCATATCGGTCGCAATGTATCTACATTACTTTTAGCGAAGCTTACTCGATATACTTGATGGTGTGCTTACCCTGGAGAAATAGTGTTGACACGAATTCCATCAGAAGCTAACTCATGAGCCAAACTTCTTGCCAAAGAGAAAACAAAGCCTTTACTACCCGCATAGGCTGTAAGTTGATGACCAGGGCAAACATGTTGCCATGATTGTGAGCAGATCATGAGGACTGTTCCCTGAATACCATGTTGTTTCATGTTTTTAACTGCATGTTGCACTGCAAAGAATGTTCCTGTGTCCTGCTTTCTCTTAGTATTCTCTAACAACAAGACCCAGAAACGGGATACTTGCATTCACAGCCTGGAGCTTTTGAACGTCTTCCCATGTGTGGTCGAGGAATGGTTTGTCAACGCAAATTCCAGCTGCAGTGACTCTGTTCCGAAATAGTATGTTAGATTTACATAGTCTTTTATTGGAGAATATCTTAGCCTCACATTCCATGAATCTGGTGCACTTTCTCCAAAATCTTGCCGAATGTATTTTCGACTTCCGTCTTTTTGGTAAGGTCACAGCTTTGCAAATCAGCTCTATGATCCATTCTTCTCTTGTGCGATTATACAGAGTTAGATACCGGAAATACAAGAGCTTCTCTGGAGCAGTTCTTTTCCACTGCAGAAGCATTGGATCTGGTTCGGGTAGAACATCAGTAATCAATACAGTAGCACCGGCATCCAAGCACGTCTTAGTTAGCGCCATGCCAATGCCGCGACCACCACCTATAACAAAGTCAGAATTGTCACAGACAGCATTTTTTTTCATTGGGATTGTTCACCAGTGACTAGGATGACCCGCCCCTTTAGGCTTAGGCGATTCCCCAAAGAGGATGGCAGGTGTTCTCGATCTGGCATGATTTCTGTCAAATTCTAGTATTATCAAAGTGGCAACGAAGGGGAAACAAGCGTAATGAACTGTACACTGGGGTTATGGTAGGTCCTGTTTATATCTCAGGTTTTCCTGTATTAGGTCATATTAGTACGGGGTAACTGACCTAACGATCATTGAATATGCATAGGTACGTTGACTGGGAAGACCATGCCAAGAGCATCTGAGTGGGCCTCAATCCGGCTATACGAAGCCCTCGTGTGAATCTCGTACATGTCCCCACTCAAAGGACCCTCCGGTCTAATCACCCTCAAGGAACTAAGTGATTTAGTCACCTATGGGTAGAGTGATCAATTCATGGAAAGATATTCGAAGGCCGTACCCAAGGACATAAAATTGAGCCACGGTTTTCTTACGAGTGGGTTCAACTGTCTTTTCTCGGTGCGTATGACACCGTTAAATAATGATACACCTGCTTCGCATATGTCCCAGAGCCAGGATTATAACATGCGAAAGTGTTGTTTGGCAAAAAAGGATACACAGGATCAATGAAGATTTCCTGTATTGCTCGAACGAGGAATCTAGTTGACTGTTTTACCAGAAAATACACATTTTAAACCACCAATTTCAATTATTTTGAATTATTTCTGAGACTCCGGCAAATATTATTGACGTAAAGCATCAGAAAACTTCACATTTGTCAGATCATGTTGATTGTCCAGTGGAGATTACAATTTGAAAGGGTGTCCATTTCCCGAAGTGGTCAAATGAGTACGAAAAATGCCCGGCTATATGGACATGTTTATGGTTGTTTCTTTGAAATATTTCTAGCGATAGAAGAAGTCATCTTTTAATACAAAATTATGGCAGTAGAAGTGCGATTGGCCACAGTAGAGGAGATGGTAAACACCAACCGGAAGGAGGACAAATGCTAGTTGTATGTGTGGAGTACGATTTCATGTCCGATGTAAAGTTTGTAGTGTGTTTGTTTCGGTAGCCTTTCCTGGGCTGAAAGTTATTTGTATACTTGGTGAATTAGTCCGGATTCACATGTAATCTCTACCCCACGATATTAGTCATGTTTTGATACTTTATTTCATTGTTCTATTCTGTTGCCTTCTTCCATCTGCTGTCATTTGCTATCACGGCGTGGCGCGCCATTCCCAGGAAGGATCTCTGTAGGACGCTGGTGGGCTGCGTCAAAGAACATGGGTATGTTTTGAATGGAGCACATATCTTACGGTTTAGAATAAATTTCTCTATGAAAGACGGCTGTAGGTTTTCCCCTAATGACATAGCTGGAAAATGACGCAGGCGTGATGTCGTCGGTTATATTATTGTATAACCGGCCACTTAGTCAACCCCCGGATCGCCTAAATGTCTGAAGAGATGTATATTTGTGGCTTTGATCAATATCAAAGAACCATGGGATATATCTATCCAAACTTGGACAAGCAGTATTCATTTGACTGTGGCATTTCTAGTTGGATAAAACCGAGGAAAATGAATCGTGGTTTCCCCATGGGGCTTGAAAATGTAGCAGCGATTAATTGTTAGAGGTAAAACAAACGTTCGTGCTTATATTGGACATTCTTTTCTTTCTTGGAAGTAGACTTGAGGTTGAATCATGAGGAACCTACTGCATAATAAAGTCATTATTGTGACAGAAAGCTCATCAGACATTGGCAGAGCAATTGCGAGCCGGTGTGCACAGCAAGCGGCTATTGTGGTCCTTCATCATTCGGAAGCTCCACGAGATGAGATGGAATCCTTGGCGGTATACAATGAGCTTTGAATGGCATCATATCTGAATGGAATGCCCATGCCTCATTTCATATGCGGGATTGACCTCAACGCCGAGGGCGCGGCGCACATTCTAATCGATGAGGTTATCTCCACTTTCGGTCACATTGATATACTTGTTAATACAATCACAATCTGCAGATTTCCATCAGAGGAAATTATGGAGCAAGAGCAGGGCTTGGGCGAAAAAGGACTGAGCTTTACATCCGCATATCTTCTGAGTCAGATGGCAGCTTCTCAAATGACCCTTCAGGGTCAAGGAGGTAGTATCATCTCAATATCGCCAACCGCAGCGGCAAGTGGGTTCTTAAGCCTCAAGCATGATACGACGACCAGAAATGCACTGCTAGCAATTTCAGAGAAATTAGCTATCGAATTTGGCAAACACGGCATTCGACACAACTGCATCATACCGGCGGCCACCGAGTCAAGTATGATGACACATGGTCCAGCAACGAACGGGAGAAAGGAGTTTACGGAGAGTAGAGTACCACTGGGGAGGCTTGGACGGCCGGAGGATATAGCCAATGCAGTGCTCTTTCTTGCTAGAAATATGTCCGATTACATTACTGGACAACAAATTGTAGTTGACGGTTGTGTCTCGGTCAAGTACAACTTATGTATTGAGGTCGAATGAAAATCATCAGGATTATCAAACTATGTCAAATTTCGTACTTCGATCACTGGGTATTAATTTTTCTCCTGGCCTCTTGTACAAATAATTTTATTGACGGTATTTGCACATCCTAATGACCTTTTCTGAAGACATATCATCCCTACGGGTTTTGAGATAAATGTGGACCCCGTTGTGAAAGAGATCGGACTCTCCCCTTTTCACAATGCGCAACGTGATCGCAGCCGTTGCTAGTACTACATGATTGATACCTCGTTCTTTTCTTGTGCCCAAAGCTCATTATTAGCTACTTCCGAACTGTGAGCAGTACGGGAAGTAGAAAATAAGCACATGCGAGATGTAAAACTGGGTGTGTACTTTTGAGTCGTAGCTTGGTTAGAAATTACAACCAAAAAAGGCTAGAAATCGCAAATGATCCTATGATGGGCAGATCGTCAGTAGGAAGAAACATCACTGCATGATTAGTATTGCACACAGACATAAGGTTCTCGGTATCAATATAACCGCTGATCTAGCTTTTTCGAGACGTGGTTATTTCGTATTGGGCACGGCCGAGTCAATGAGAGCTGATTAGAAATCAACCAGAAGGTCAACGAGCGTAAGAATCCTTCGAAAGTGTGATTTAAGAAGCGAGTCTGCCTAGTGAAACTCGCGTTGCTGTCAGCAGAATCACCCGTCATGAATGGTAATCTCATGTCGTGCTTTCCCAATTCTCGTTGCAAAGCCCGTAATGCATGGATCAAAACTTGCGATGAAGACTCAGAACCAGTCCGAATCGCATACATTGACTGCGAGCCGGAGCCCCATGTACTTTCAAAAGGCGTCTTACTTTTGATTCACGGTTTCCCACAAACCTCTTACCAGTTTCGCCATGTCATACAGCCTTTTGCTGATGAGGGCTTCCGAGTGATTGCTCCGGACTACCGTGGAGCAGGACAGTCATCCCACCCGTCTCGAGATTTCCGGAAGTCAACGATGGCCCGTGATCTTTTTCTTCTCGTTCATGACAATCTTCTGCTGCATTCAAAAGTTCATTTGGTTGGTCATGACATCGGTGGCATGATAGCACATGCGTATGCCTCGCAGTACCCGGAGTACGTGGCAAGTATTGTCTGGGGGGAATGCCCGCTTCCAGGAACTTCCACCTACGATGAAAACTTGAAAATGCCAGAGCAGTTCCATTTCATGTTTCACCGTGCACCCGATGACCTAGCTCTTTATCTGGTCAGTGGAAAAGAGAGGGCCTACATCAAATATTTCCTTTCAAAACAAACTTGCAACGCCCAGGCTATATTACCTGCCGATCTAGAGTATTATACTTTGCAGTATTCGAAGCCTGGGGCTCTGCGATGTGCCTTTGAAGTCTATCAAGCTTTTGAAGAAGATTCCAGGGAGAATAAAGAGAACTTGCGAATTCAAGGCAAGTCTATGCTGCCTGTACTTGTTCTAAGTGGCGCAGAGAGCCGGCATGCTCTTGAAGCCAGCAGTATGGTGAATCAGGTATATGGAGGTTATATCCAGACAGAAAATATTGCATCCTCTGGTCACTATATTGCGGAGGAAAACCCAGAGGAGTTTTTACGAGCAGTGCTATGCTTTGTGAATAAGTACTCATTGCAGTAACGAATACCACTCGTCTAAATCTTCTAATTTGAAAGTCAATATACTATAGTGGTATTGCTCCTATAGTATAGCCTATGTATGAAAAGGGTTAGCTTTTTTAAAAGCGACAAAATCTTTCCTTAAAGTGAATTCACGACATATTCATGTCTGATATGTCGCATTAAAAAGGTATTGTCTGGAAAGTAAGCACTCGCTATATCTTGCTCTTCATTCATGTTAATGGGAGATTGTTTAGATTGACCTTAAGTCCATAGCTTGTTGATTACTCTAGCTTCATCACGATACGGAAGCATCTACTGTCTGTTCTAACCCTGTACAGCTATTCTATTCAGCAAATTGTGCTCCACAATAGGTGTAATCGGTGGTTACTAACGAATCATTAACTATGATGACGTCTTCTTACTCTGTAAATAATCTAAATCAATTGACAGAAGTGTGTCCGTTTGACTAAACAATACGGCCCGCATGCATTCCACCAGTTATCAGCATCTCAGCTCCCGTCATATAAGCACTTGCTTCACTCAAAAGGAAAACTGCAGCAGTCATTAGATCCGTACAGTCTCCCATCCTTTTCATCGGCGGCTGCTCGTTGAATGGTGTGCGCAAGGCCGGTCGGGCTTTCAGTAGAACGTCTGTAAGGTTCGTGCGCATGTAGCTAGGGATGATTTCATTAATGTAATTATCCACACTGGTTATTAGCGGAGATTCTTACCCAGGAGAAAGACAATTGACGCGCACATGGTGTTCTGCTAATTCGACACCGAGCTGCTTCGTCAACGACAGAACGGCACCTTTGCTCATACAGTAGTCACTGGTGAATTGGTCTTTGCTTGCTTGATGCGCAGCTATCGATGCAATCATTATAATTGAGCCCTTGGAGGATCTGCCTTCACCCTCTTTGCTGGGGTTTCGAATCATATGCTCGACGGCTAATTGCGCAGAGTAGTAGGTCCCAAGAGAATTTATCTCGAGGCATTTCTTAACCCCCTCGGGGCTTCTATCGAGAAAGCGTTGGTCAGGGCAGATCCCAGCGGCGGTGATTCTGATCTCATGATTAGCTCGAGATTCTATGAAAGAAGTAGAGTTAATCGAAGAGTTCTTACAGTCCATCAATCTGGCCAAAGTCTTTGACTATTGATTCAAAGGTTATCTTCAGTCTTTCATGATCCGTCACGTCCGATCTTTCAAATGAAAAAAAAAAAGGATATCAGCTTCAATGCTTTGCTTACTTACAAAAGAACATTCCACGCAAAATCAGGATCAACTTACTGGTAAAACTCAACGCGTGCGCATTTTTCTTTCAAGAGGGCATAATGCTCATGGGGATTCGGTGAAGCATCAACCAATGCCACACGACCCCCTGCCTCAGCAATCGCAAATGCCAATGCGAGGCCGATCCCACGGGCACCTCCAGTAATCACAACTACTTGCCCTCGCAGTGACAGACGCTCAAATATGCTTGTTGTGAGATAGGCATTCTCACCCATACTGCTTTTCTTAGAAGAACCCATGCTATTGATTTGCGGTCGATATTTCTTTGAACGGCTTGCTGAAGCGATGTTATAATTTTATATTTGTTGTTATTCCCGAGCAAATGGCTTTGTACATGCTCTCATATAGACGACTAGCTTAGGAAAATGAAATGGCATATAGCCGCATTTCTATCTTATCCCCGCTTTAGTGGCTATAAGATGAATAGCATAGCCGCTGGGCTTCATCTCCCTCTCCTCTTACTAGGTAGTAAGAGGAGAGATAGTATGAGGTCTGCCAGGGATTGGCAACATGTTCTTAGTGTTTATTGGTGAATCTTGAATAATGGCAAATTTCGAATGCCTGTTTACTGCTCCATAGTTATGTGATAGCATAGCAGCGTCTAATTGAAATCTACTGCGACGTTATGATACATTTCACCAAGTCTGCTGGGCGCGAACATAGCATGTCGAAGGCGGCTTTGGCTTCTGCGAGTGAGAAAGTATGTGAAATAAGCGGCCCGAGGTTCAAATTGCCGGATACCAGTAGATCGATCGCCGTCTGAAAGGTATTGGCGTACCGCCACACATTGATAATGTCAACCTCACGAACAGCCGCAAGACCCACATTCAGTACTTGGTGAGGAGCACCCATCCCTACAATCACTACCTTGCCTCGTGGAGCCATAGAATGAATGCTCAAGTTGGCACACACATCCACACCTGTACATTCGAAGGCGACATTAGCTGGTTTAAACAAAGGGTGTCGGCCCAAATTATCCTTAGCGATGCGAGTGGCAAAGTCTGTTTTCGTCTCGCCCTCCTTGGGAGATGTGGGTACGTCCACAATATAGTCCGCATAGCCGTGACGAATTGCGAACTCCAACCGGCTATGTTGCACATCCACCATTCCAATTGTAGATGCCCCCGAAATGCGTGCTATGATGGCACACAGCAGGCCAATCGGTCCAGCGCCCACGACAAGCACTGACTGACCCGCATGTAGACCCGCACGCCGAACTGCATGCAATGACACCGAAAGTGGTTCAATTAAGGCTGCTTCCTGATAGCTGATTGAATCGGGAAGATGGAACACAAAATTGGCCGGATGTTGGTATACAGACTGCAGAGAACCTTGGACGGGAGGATTTGCACTTGCGGATCCAGTAAATTTCAGTTTCGGGCAGAGGTTGTAAGTGCCATGTCGACATTCCTGACATGATCCACAGGGCCGCTGAGGCTCAAAGACCACACGATCTCCTGGTTTGAAAGATGTGACCGAGGATCCTACCTCTAGAATCTCGCCGGCTGCTTCATGGCCGAGAACAAGAGGTTGATCAACTACAAACATGCCATTCTTTCCATTCTCGTAGTAATGCATGTCAGTACCGCAGAGGCCTGTAGCACGCGGCGCTATGGAGACTTCATCCGGTTGTAAAGTAGGCGTTCTGATATGCTCGATACGGAGATCGCGGGCCCCATGCAGGACAGCAGCTGTATGGGTCGTGGTGGACGACATATTTGGAAAGAAATGAAGAGCCACACGGAAGATGCTTTGATTAAAGGTATTGTGGAGGAGAGGTAAGAGCAGAGGGTTCTTTGTTCTTTATAGATCTGATTTGTTCCCCAGCATAACCATCATCTCGACGCCCAGATTCTTCCTCCCGACAATGTGGCAGCTATAGCCTTTATGATAGCGAAAAAGGGAGGAATATTGAGTAAGACTATGTCATTCACAAAGCCGGTCATCTACATGGCCTATACACCAAATATGTAGTTTGTAAACTATCAAAGGAACTAGGAGTTTCTCCTGGGCAACTTCGTGGATAGGATACATTGACGAAATTTGAATCAGACTAACGCACAAGAAATTTGCAAACTCTTAGTATATCATAGGGAAGCAGAGTAAGGTACCGCAAAGATTTACTGTTGAGCAAATGCTTTGGGAACGAAATTAGCCCATGGCGCTGCGTAAGCCATCGCCACAGCGACACCTCCCATGAAGCAGGCCTTCACCACGCGAATAGCCGGATGATCAGGCAGGGTTCCAGTACCACCTAGTAGATCAAAGTCCTTCCAAACCGGCCAGTAAAGTTGTCGCCAGAACTTCCATGTGTTGTCGTGATAGTTGGTGGTGTTGCGACCCGAGCCATCGAGATTCCAGTTCGTGCAGCCAGAGCTCCACACCATGCTCTTGAGCTTTGACTGAGTAAAGCTTGCATCGCGATTTTCGGCTGATTCTTTGACCTCAAGAACGTCAAAATGGTGGTTCACCACCGGGTTAATCAAGGATTTGATGATATACTCCGCTTGGGTTTCGTTGGCGTAGATGACTGAGTTGTGTGCCGGGAACGCGTTGGGACCAAAAACAATGCCAAAATTGGGGAAGCCAGAGACAAATGTAGCCTTGTACGCCTGGGCACCGCGGGTTTGTTTCCAGTGTTCGTTGATCGTCTGGCCGTTGGTACCACGAACCACAATCGGCGAAAGAAACTCTTGGATTTTGAAACCAGTGCTTAAAACGACTGCGTCGACGTCAATTTCACGTTTGTCCGTGCGTAGGCCATGCTCGTGGAACTCAAGCACTTTCTCTGCGGAGAGTTCGACATGAGGCGCATGCAGTGATTCCAGATAGCCTGGGTCAAAAATACGGCGCTTACATCCCAATGGAAAACTGGGGATGAGAATGTCATGGTATTTGGCAGGTGCCGTACTTTTCATATATTGTCGGGCTTGTTCAGTGGCCTCAGCACGGGCTCGTTCAGCCCGTGACGAGTTTGTAGTATAGAGATAGTGCAGGCTATCAGTGGACTTCCATAGAGAGAAGCGATACAGACGGCCCCAGAAAGGCACATGACGGAAACACCACTTTTGGAAAGCAGTGAACTCCTTGTTAGGACGCTCGTTAATCCATTGTGCCGATCGTTGGAATTGGTATACTTTGGCAGCATTCTCGACCACGTATGGCATCAGCTGGGCAGCAGAGCAACCGTTACCAACAACAGCCACGTTCTTTCCCTTCATGTTGTATCGATGATCCCATCTGGCAGAGTGGAAAATATTTCCGTCGAAGTTTTCAAGCCCAGGAATATCGCAATCCTTTGGGATAGACATTGTTCCGACACAGGAAACCAGCATCTCCGCCTCTTTGTCGAAGGTGAGGCCGGTGTCGAGATCATGGAGAGTTACGCGCCACACGCGTTTGGCCGTATCCCAAACGGCCTCGACAACCTCGACACGAAGCTGGACATGGGGGCGCACTCCAAACTTGTCCACAGTATCATTGAGGTATTGTAAGATCTCCTCCTGTTCCGCAAATCTCTTAGACCAATCCGGATTCAGGTTGAAAGAAAAAGAATACAGATGGGAATCAACGTCACAGCCCACGCCTGGGTAGGTATTCAGATACCACGTTCCGCCAATCTCTTTTTCACGTTCGTAGATAGTAAAATTCTCGAATCCCCATTCAGAGCGAAGTTTGGAAGCAAGAGCGATTCCTCCGGTGCCGCATCCAATAATGATCAACCGCGGGTCCTGCTTGGGAGACATATTGCAAACACGGGGTTATGTTTCTGCAATTTTTGAGGAGTGAGGAGTATGATATTGAAGAGAAGAGATAATCATTGATCGTAATTTCAAGGAAATCGAAGACTCGTCAGTGGAAGGCTGGGAGCTTTAAGTTGACTACATGGTATAGTCACGGAGCGTAGTACAGCCTCCGCGAGCCAGCAATGTGTAAATAGACCGGCTATATGATATTCCCCACAGGGCATATAACCGGCAAACGCACTTGCCCAGTTGGGTGGCATCATGGAACTATATGAATCACTTGAACAGTGCTTCGCAGGTCTCCCTAGGCGACATCATTCTGCTGAAACAACTTTCCCTGAAACGAAGTAGCAGAAGGCAAATACATTATTTCATAAACACAGAAGTAAAAGAAGCTGAAAACGGCAATATCTATGTCTCTATAGATATATCCCTAACACGCCACCCCCGAAAGTGAAATGCTCTCAGCCATTCCAATTTCACAAGCTACCACCATGCGTGACGACGAAAGTGCAGTGCGCGACATTCGCAAACTTGTTATCGACTGTTGCCGGCAGAATGGTGGTGGTCATGGAGGATCAGCCATTGGCATGGCCCCTTTGGGAGTTGCTTTGTGGAAGCACGAGATGCGATACAACCCCCATAATCCTAACTGGTTTGACCGGGATCGTTTCGTCCTTTCAAACGGCCACGCAGCTATCTTCCTGTACACAATGCTTCACGTCAGTGGCTATCCGCATATGACTTTGGATGAATTGAAATTGTACGCCAGCGCCAAAAAAGTGGATCTCGCAACCGGAAAATGGCAGGAGACTATCTGCCACGGTCATCCTGAAATCGAGATTCCTGGCGTTGAAGTAACTACCGGTCCTCTGGGACAAGGAATCGCAAATGCTGTCGGTTTGGCATTTGCTTCTAAAAGCCTCGCAGGGCAGTTCAATCGCCCAGGTCATGAAATCATTCAATCGCGCATCTACTGCTCCACTGGAGATGGCTGTCTTCAGGAAGGCATAGCCCAAGAGGCCATGGCTATTGCAGGCCATTTGCAATTGGATAATCTAGTTCTTTGCTATGACAACAATGGAGTTACGTGTGACGGTCCCCTTGACTGGATCGTTTCTGAAAAGATAAACGACAAAATGACCGCTTTGGGCTGGCATGTCATCGATGTCTTTACGGGAGACACTTCAGTCTCCGATATTGTTGCTGCCCTGCAGCTCGCAAAGGCTGGAATTAAGAAACCAGTCTTTCTGAATATCCGCACCACTATCGGCTACGGCACATCGACAGCAGGTACGGCCAAATCGCATCATGGTACGTATTCGGATGCGGATGCGCAACTATATTCGTGGAGTGAGCAGCAGCCTTCGCATCAACTTTCCGACGGCGTGAAAAAATACATGGGAACCAGCGCCGCAAACGGGCAGCTGCAGGAGGATGACTGGCATGCAAGACTGGAAATATATTGTAAGGGGTTCCCTCATGAAGGCAAGCTGCTTCTTGACCGTATCTCTGGCACGACACATGTATCTCAAGTGCTTGAGGATTTGCAGCTACCGAAGGAGCCCAAACCAACCCGAGAATTGAATGGCCTGGTATTCAACCATTTACTGGACAACCTTCCCCAGATAATGGCTGGTGGTGCAGATCTGTGGAACTCGAACCAGCTTGGGGATCAATCTCACCGCATCTACGATTCAAAGCACCCCCAGGGGCAAGTCGTTCGCTATGGTATCCGTGAACATGCCATGGCCGCAATTTCCAATGGGCTTGCTGCATATTCGCCGCGAGCTTTCATCCCTATCACCGCCACCTTCTTCATGTTCTACCTTTATGCCGCACCAGCTGTTCGTATGGGTGCGTTGAGCCACCTTCCGGTCATTCATATCGCAACGCACGATAGCATCGGTGAAGGTCAGAACGGACCAACCCATCAGCCAGTTGAAGTTGACTCACTCTACCGCGCAATGCCCAACCTATTCTATATTCGTCCGTGCGATGCTGTGGAGGTACTAGGAGCCTGGAAGATTGCCCTTTCTTCGACCACAAGGCCAACGATCATTTCCCTGGCCCGAGACAAGCCAGAATATGTGGTCCGGAATACCAGTCGCGAGAGTATCTTACGGGGAGGGTATACTGTTGTTGAGCATACAGATGCTGAAGTCACGCTGATTTCTTGTGGCTCAGAACTCCAATTTGCAGTCGCTGCTGCGGATCAATTGACAGAAGAAGGGGTCCCGACTCGCGTTGTTAGCATGCCGTGCATGGAGCTCTTTGAAGAACAGAGCGCTAGCTATAAACTTTCGGTTCTGTCCGCCAGCCAGCATATAATCTCTGTCGAGGCGTATGTTTCCACGATGTGGGCTCGTTATTGCACTGCCTCAATTGCCATGGACTCTTTTGGATACTCTGGACTTGGACGGGAGAATTTCATCCGTTTCGGCCTCGACCCAGCTGGTATCGTACGTAAGGTCTACGCGCATGTTGCAGCAAGAAAGGCATCCGGCGATAGACTTCTTCGTTGGGAGTTATTGAAATAGGTTGCGCTGGTCTGAAGCCCGGTGCATCTCCTTCGTTTTGGAAGAAAGAGGGTTATGATATGCGATGGGATGGAAGATATGAGAGATGAGAGATGACGGACATGGAGGATCACTTGAAGATAGAAGAAGGCCTTCTTCTAGATTGAGCAGAGATAACTGCGGCGCAGTGCAAACTTATGTTAAATATTTTCCTTGTCCTGTTCTCTCAAGCTCAATCCCTTCTTGAGTTCGAATTGAGTGTCAATTGTTAAGTTCCACTATTCAATAGTGTATTACACCAATACGTAGTGTATGTATGACAGAAGAGATCCTATTAGAAATCCAAAATCACCGTCAATTTGAAACCAGGTCCATAGATACATTCCGTGTCGAAAGATTTTCACTACTTCGACACCAGAATCCGCAAGGACAGATAGCTCTACAAATATATATTACTTATAGCGCATAATTTGATTGTGTAGTACCTTTTATTGAATAGTACATTACAAGTATTGCACTTGCACAAAGTATTTCTTTGATTTGAATATTACTTCACGGGCCATTCGAAACGATAATACCACTCTGAATCATATCTGGAAATATGTATATTTCGTACCCCTATGCGCGGTATGTACCGCGCATAACCACCACCTGGTGATCAATCTAAGGTTGGGCAACCTTACATTCAGAGTGGTATTTATCGTTTCGAATGGCCCGTGAAGTAATATTCAATTCGAAGAAATACTGTGGTATAAATCATGGATACGCGCGGTAGTATTTACGTGATTTAGTAATTTCTCCCTCATTATTGAGTTGACAAAAGACTTCCAAGCTGTATTCATGGGAGCGAGACTGACGAATTTGATTTTGCTTACTAGCGTAGGGCTATTGTGCGTCTAGTCCGAGAACTTTCATATGCAAGTTCGACCAAATGAATAGCCCGTCGACCATCTTCACCGCTAACTGGAACCTCCCCATTGCCACTTAGAGCGTGAACAAACCTTCGGTAGAACTCAGTGTAGGTCGGAGGATCCACGGTCGGAATAGTCTTCTTAGTGAAGGTAGTAGGATCAAATCCCTGAACGCTCGTTAAAGTAGCTTGGATATACGTTATCAGATTTATCTTCACCAAATGGAATCGGGAACGGATCATGAAGTTACCGTATCGCTCACTAGGCTCATGACCGAAAGTGCTCTCAGAGGGCATAATACCAGTCTTCAACTGGTCTTCTTGGATATCCAAGTGAAACTAGCGGGCGCGTGAGCTTGTGACATTCGACTCTCCAATTGGTTGAGGAGGCTTACCTTCTTGAAGCTGCCAGTGGTACCACGCACCCAGAAACGTAACTACTCATCTTCCGGACTAACAACAGTTCCTTTGGCAGTGACTTTCATGCCGTTGGTGTAGTGTAGCAGGACCGTGAAGGAGTCTTCAAATCCAGAAGTGTTCGGTTCTCGATCTGAACCAATGAAGCCGGTGACTTCACTAGGCAGGCCGAAGAGCTGGATCGCTTGATCTAGAAGATGAACCCCAAGATCATATACGCCAGACGCACCAGTCATTGCTTTGCCCCTCCATTTGTGAGCATCCGGAGCCGGTGGATTGGGAAAATGGTAATCAAAATGCGTTTCAAATTCAGTTATTCGTCCCAGCGAGCCATTCTCAATGAGTTTTGCCAGAGTCACAAAATCGGCATCCCAGCGTCGGTCTGTAATGGAGACTTGTATCAGACCAGCTGGTTTCTGGGGACGGGGTCAATTATGATCATACTGTGATATACTGAAAGAAGTGTTTTGTGTTCCTTTGCCAATGCAATCAAAACGTCTGCCTCCAGGCTTGTAGGAGTGAATGGCTTCTCACACACAACTATACACAATGAGAATTCTTTTTGATCATAAGCACATAAATGTACTTACCATGCTTTCCAGCTTGTATGGCCAGTTTTGACAGTGCGAAATGCGAGTCAGGTGCGGTAGTAATGATCACAACTTCGACCGCAGGGTCCTTCATCATATCCCCAGCGGTTCGGTATGACTTGACGCCCGGGTGGCCGACCTCAGCGTCATCGTCGGGCCTTGGAGTACGTTGCACGATCGCGTATAGCTTCAGTTCAGGGACCTGAGTAATGAATGGGATATGGAATATCTTCGCACTGAAGCCGTAGCCAACAATTCCAACATTCCAACAGTTGGGCGGCATGGTCTGTAGAAATATAAGCTGACGTGGGGATTGCAGCAAGGTCGGAGATACTGTAATTTATGCGAAAGAACGGTTCAGACCTTGGAGCTTTTTGACAGTTGGAGGTTTGCGTGGGAGACAGGCTCGGAGGAGAATAAGATGGACTTTGGCTGCAGATTGGCGAAATTACCACGCTGAGGTGTACTTCAGACTGCCTCAATCGTTTTATGTTAGCATGTTCAAGATAGGATCTCGGCAATATGAAAATATAAGCATAATCGAACACATTATGTACAAGACATTTACTTAATTTAAAGTCCTTTTAACTGGTTACTGCGCCCGCCTTGAAACCTTGAAAGCACCCGGCTTCCGTATTAAATAGGACTATTCCAGCAGTCCTTGAATAACAGAACGATGAATCAGGCGTTGATAGTGCCTGCTTCATCTCTACTTTCCGGGGCAATCGACAGGTCCGCGCAAGATTTTGGATGCGCTGGTGCAAAGGCGAATGCGGTTGTCACAATGTAAACTTCAGTGATATTTTGCTAAACATCCGATCAGTAAAATTCATAAAACAGAACCAAGCTATGATCCTCTATTGTCTTAACATTTAATACATCGATCATTCTTCGTCAGTCTACCATTAATTATACACGGGTCTCATTATTTAGACATCTGCAGAACCCATTCTGGGTTGAAGGACCTGATCCAAAACCCAACCAGTTCCCGGGGGTGGGGGACGAGCATATAACCGGGACACCATTGACGTGACTTCAATGATCGTATAACCGTGGAAGAGATTCGCCGGAAAATGTTCTCCTTGCCCAATTCATTCGCAGGGGTGGGTCAAGGCACCCCACTATCCTTCGTAAAGTATTGTAATCTTGTCTACACCTGGATCAAGCTTTCTGTTATTGAGGCAGTTGAAGTTCAGATTCAAAGGATTGATTATGGCATAGGATATACAAATATTTGGCCTAGGAGCATGATTAAAATAGAGCAGAATATCTTGTAGGTCGCCTTCCGAGTGATTCACTCGCCTGCCTCCAACAGTAGACTAAGTTACCCCATAATTGATCAAGATAATTAAGCAGTCAGGTAGAACAATGACTAACCTTCAGCTTATCAAAAATTTCCCTATGGCTGATTGACGGAGTGAGGCTCCGGTTATGCAAATCCGTCCCCCAATCTCCCTCACTCTGTCCCACGTGAAAGTGCAATAGCTTCTATCGCGACTCATTTCAACCAGAATGAAAAACGACTGTGTCTAATTTTCAATAGTATATGTTAATCTTGGTTATTGTGGCTAGCTAGCCACCAGAGAGCTCCGATGCCAGATAACGGCGGCAACACAAAACAGCCGACTCGGCCACGTATCCGAGCGGGAAAGGCATGTAAACGGTGTAACCAGAAACGCATCAGGTGCGATGCCATGAATTGGATGCCATGTACAAACTGCGTACAAGATGGGATCGCCGAATGCACTCTTCGTGAGTCGAAACGTGGGACATACACCCGCAAATTCCGTGAACAGGATCCTTCAGAATGCGAGCTAGAGGGTGGACATGCCGGAAATAACTACAGGGATACCGGGCTTTCAAATACGTTTCAAAGTGCAAACACCGTCAGGCCACCATTGCTCTCAAATGGCGGGGCCGAAATAGGGATCGATGCCATTTCTGGTATTGCAGGTTCTCAATCAAATCCTATCCTCCGTCAGACCACAGAGACTCAACTACCTGCCCACAACTCGTTAAGCACGGATCCTGTCGGTTACGACGACAACAACATCCCACGACATGATGATCTTTCGCCAGACGCACAACCAGCCGATCGTTCAAATACGAATAGAGCACGGTGTGCAGAGCGAGGCCTTATGGCAAACGACTCGCCGTCGAATGAGTACGAGTCGCCATCGGATCAGCGAACCCACGAGAATGCCGATATCGCATCATCATATCAGGACCTGTCCTGGTCGACCATGTTTGACTACTTCCTACATAACCGAAGAAATGGTCGAGAGTTCATTGACAAGTGCTCAATCACATACCTAGGAGAATCTTTCCCCTTGGCAATTGTTTTGGGGGATGTTAATGAGAGTGGTCGGCAGAAGTTACATCACCCAGGACCCCCTCTCCCAGAAACCGAAGGAGGCAAAGGTGGTAATATGTCTCATTTCCACCCGTCACATCTGATGCCTGAAGACTTTGAGCATTTGCAGGCCAAGGGAGTCTTTGATTTCCTGGAGAAATCACATCTTGACGCTTTGGTTTCAGTCTTTTTGGAACACGTTTATCCCTCGTATCCAATTGTGAGCCGACAGGAACTGATCCATCAGCACAATAACGGGGAGGTTCCGTTGATTCTTCTACACTCTATCTGTTTCATTGCGGTGACATTTTGCCCACCATCGGTTCTACATCTCGTTGGATTATTCTCCCGTCGTAATGCTCGAGCCCACTTTTACAAAAAGGTCAAAGCTTTGTTCGATTCAGGTTATGAAATGAACAAGATTGTGATTCTTCAAAGCGCCATCCTGATGTCTTTTTGGGGTGGAGGTCCAAATAACTATTGGAACTTTTATTCTTGGGTAAGCACTGCAGTTACCATTGCGGAAGCTATTGGCATACACCGGTCCATAGCGACAACAAACATGCAGTCCCAGGACAAGAGTTTACTTCGGAGATTGTGGTGGGTACTGGTTGTCCGGGACAGCGTCTGTAGCGCGTTAGTTGGACGCCCATTTCGAATCGATATGGACCAGTCCGACACGGAAATGTTAACTATTGAAGATTTCGCTGATGACACGGTGCCTCTGGGATTTGTTGAAAATCTTTACCATCAGCGATATGCCCTCTACCAGATCAATATCGCGAAACTTTCACTTATTCTGCGTGACATTGTTATGAGCCGGTTCTATCCAGGGAAACCGGCCATTCCATCTGAAGAGCTGCATGATAAGCTTAGCCACTGGAAACAGGCAGTTCCCTCCGCATTAGATTGGACGGGAGAGACAGCGGACTATCAGAATCCATTCTCCGTGTCTCTCCTTGTACAATACAATCATCACCTCATCTTGATTTATATAGGCCACTTACCCGATGACAACATTTGTTCGCCCAAAGAGCGTGAACGAGAAGAAATAGCTAGCACTGCCGCACAGAACATCTCCGCAGCTGCTTGTACAATTGTCACCAAATCATCCTTTTTATCGGTACCCCACGAGGTATTTCATGGTGTCTTCATGGCCCAGGCCGTTTTCTACACGAAACTCAAAAGTCCGAATCCGTTAGTGGCACAGCTTGGTCGATCTGCCTTGAATAATTGCCAAATGGTGCTCCATGCAATATGTGAGTGCTGGGATCCAGCGCCATGGATCATGCAATTATTCGAGGGCCTATCTGCCAGATGTCAAGATAGACAGACAAGCAGTCGGGAGCAGCGTAGCCACGCCGCAATGGCTGCGGATTCAACGTGGTTCAGTGGGATTCTGGGATCAACCCCCGAGGCAGGAGTTTTTAACAGCCTGCTCAGAGATGATGCATGGAAGAGTAATCCAATGCTATCGTCACTTTTTGAAATGCCTCCAGATTTATTTCTGTCGGAATAATCATTACTTGAATGTCCAAATTATGTTCTGCGAATTGTAAATGGTGGATGAAGGTAATCGAGTGAAAGAACTCATACATATGCACGGCGTGTATATGAGTTCTCTCTTCATGCTTTCACTCTATTTACTCCATTTTGCCTGAGCCTGATACCTTCATGGTTGCCTATGACACGCAATTTATATCGGCACTGAGCAGAGAGGCTCTTAGGCGACAAGCTGTCATCTAAAAGCCTGGTTGATATGCATACTACTCCAAGGTCTATGGCATACTAGCGCTAGAAAGACGAGATTATTCAACCTACAATTTTCTAGAAGTAATCATAGCGACATCCTATACTGTTTTTTGTTTTTGGAAGCTTGAATGATCAGTCACTGGATCTTAATAATTCCCTCGTTAACATCGTGTACACATGTCAAGTATTAATGATGCGCCGACTTGGAAATGTCACAGGGCCTTGCTGCCGATGGTAACAAATTTGACAGTAGCTCTAGGAGGGGGGCTATTGGGATTCAAATTCCGCACCGCCCCCTCCCTCCCTTAGGGCTACCCTCCTCATGAAAGTACATAACTACCATGTGGAAAAAATCTTAAATTCGTAATGTTTCAGTGCCGATACAAATTACGGGTATTTGTCATCTACATATAGCCGGATCACATGCACATACCCGATTCACAGCATCAATGTTCTTCTGCGGGTTTACTCATCATTGAGATACGTCATCGGCCGTTATCATCTATAAGAAGCCGGACGTCTTGGCCATCTCGAAGCTAACGAAAGTTAAGTCTGATCATTCTATCATCCATATTCGCGACAGCAATTGAACTTTCTCTGCTTCTCAAAATGGCCGTCAAGGTATTTCTCACGGGAGTCACCGGCTACATCGGCGGCGATGTCTTTCACCACGTCCAGCATAATCATCCTGAATTTGAATTTGCACTTCTTGTTCGATCGGAGGAGAAGGCAAATGCAGTACTTGCCAAATATCCAAATGTCCGCATTGTCATCGGAGGACTTGATGATGCTGCGACGCTGGAACGCGAAGCGTCATGGGCTGATATTGTTATCCGTAAGTTGGTCCATTTTAAATCAGTGTCTTGGGGTAATCTAACTAGCCAACAGATACTGCTGATTCTTCGGATCATGTAGGTAGCGCAAATGCTATCGCTAGGGGGCTAGTGGAAGGCCATACCGCTGAACGGCCAGGGTTCTGGCTTCACACCGGAGGGGCCGGCATTCTGACATATTTTGACTCCGAGGTGAAAAAGGTGTTCGGCGAGCTGGACACTAAGGTTTTCGACGATTATGATGGTGTTGATGAGCTGGTGAATTTGCCGCCTGCGGCTTTCCATCGTAACATTGATGAAATTGTTCTCAAGACCGGCACCAAACACGCAGACTCGGTCAAGACTGTCATTATCTCCCCGCCAACCATCTATGGTGAAGGCCGTGGACCAGTATCAGGTCGTGGGCGACAGGTCTACGAGTTGGCTTCTTTCATACTCAAGGAGAAATACTGTCCCCAAATTGGAAAAGGCCTTTCTCGTTGGAATAACGTCCACGTCCACGATCTGAGCGAAGTATTTGAACTTCTGGTGAAAGCCGCGCTGGATCCCTCGCGGAAGAACGACACGGAGATCTGGGGCGCTCATGGATATTTGCTCACTGAGAATGGTGAACATGCCTGGGGAACGCTCTCTGAAATCATCGGAAAAGAGGCCCACAAGCAAGGCCTCCTCAAGGGAGACACCCCAGAAGTCAGGGACTGGTCTATCGACGAGGCTGTTAAGTCCTCTGCCGGGTTCGAAGCTGCAAGCTGGGGCATGAACTCGCGTGGTACGGCCACACGTGCCCGAAAGGTTCTGGGATGGAAACCAAATAAGCCCAGCTTGGATGAGGAGATTCCAATTATCGTTCGCTCCGAGGGTGCCAGAATGGGACTTTGATCTTATGACGACCACACTCCACGAATTAAAAGTGAATATAGAAATATGATCCAAACCATGCCGTATTAAGAGAAACCAAACTAAATCAGACCCTTTGAGAATTATGAGTACTATATTCGATATAGTACAAGCCCGAGCCTTGCAAAGATTTCCAAGACTCGGGCTTGTCGTTTGACAAAACCGTAACTTAGGAGAATGTCAAATTGGATTTGAAATTCAATCCGACTTCTTCGTGAACTAATGAAGAGATTCTAGAGTACCTTGTATATTTTCTTTGGCACTTATGTATCTATTGAGCCACTCACTCTTCTAAATGCTCAAGAGAAGGTTCCAGGACTAAGTCTGTACGAACACTTGTATCAAGATCTATAGTTCTATAAAACACCGAGCATGGGCTTGCTATATTTGAACATAGTGGTTTATCTAGATCTAGGCCAGACTTTCTGCCTGCGATAATAGTAATCTAGCTTGCTTGACTAAGGCTTCCAGTCAAAGTCCATGGCCTATCACTTTTAAATCCTCGACCGATCGAACAACGGCCAGACGGGAAAGCAGCCTTGAAGGGATCAACAAGCCGAGCAAAAGGAACATATTCTCAGAAGATACCGTCGGTGAAATCAATCACTTGCGCCCTCTCAACGAGCCCCCCCAAGCTTCGGACAAATTCTTGGTGCACAGGATCGTCCTTCACATAATAGTCACGATCAGCAGCATTCGCGAAATTAATAACGAAAGCATGCGTAATGCCTCCCTGTGCGACCAAGATCCAATTCATTAGCTGACATTTTCTCAATATTGGTGGTATGTTTCGATCAATTTCTTGAACAAAGAAACACTATTTCCAAGCTTACCTGCGCTCCTTCCGGGGAGTTATCTTTTCCACCAGAGGCCGATGTAATATATGGCTTCTGCGAGGACGGGTGAAGACATCTATCTTTCAGGGCGGCCATTCGCTCGCAGGCCTATCGGGTCAATCGTTAGCCGTTGGGATTCTCAGTGGGACGCGCAGAAAATAGCTTGCTGTGTCACTGGTGGAAACCTACATCGCGAACAGACCTTGGCTCTGTATCTGACTTGAATTGGAATAGTACAAGATGAGTGATAGACATGGTTGGAGGATGATGTCCGAAGGCTTTCGTGGAGTATCGACTAGAGGGGGGAACGTGCAGGTGAAATTGAAAGAGAGAAATGGATGAGCTGGCTAATCTATTTGAAGTCACGGCACTAGGGGAAACTGGCCGCGGCGATTTATTTACTAAACGAGTTGAATGCACAACTTCCATGATGTCAGGAAGTTGAGTTCCGATATTGCCCCAGTTGAAGGGCATTAGTCAGGCATATAGCCGAGCCCAGTCTGAGGAAGAGTAGACGGCCGAATTTCCTATAGCGAGTAGCAGCCGGGTGTTTGGAGTTGATTTTCAGGAGGTTTTTCTCATCCACTTTCATTACCGAGCAATCTTTCTCAATTTTTTTTTTATTTTCACTTTTTTCCAGGCAAGGTGAGAGTCTGCAGTATTAGTCAGGGTCCACATAAAAGACTGTTTTCTACCATGAAGTATCGCCATCTTCCTGACTCAGTCAATCAACCCCAAACAAGGTCAATTATTTCTCTTCGTTTTGGCCATCAAAATGAGCAAAAAGCTTAATGTTGGCGTGGTTGGTCTTGGAAGGATAGGCCAACGTCATGCCAGCAATTTGTTGCATAGGGTACCCAGGGCACGTCTCTTTAGCGTGTGCTCACCTGCACCGGCAGAAGTCGAATGGGCGCAGACGACGCTCGAGCCAGAGGGTGTGAAAGTCGTCTCGGAATTTAATGAAATGATTGACCTTCCCGGGTTAGAGGCTGTGATTATTGCCTCGCCTACCCATTTACATATGGAACACACATTGGCTGCATTACAGCTTGGCATACACGTTCTTTGTGAGAAACCTATCACCACTGATCTCGCCTCGGTATGTATACAATTTCATTCTCTTTTGGGTTTATGCTGATTATTTCGAAGCTTCGGAACTTGATTGAAGTTACCCAAGGAGCCCCACACATGAAGGTGATGACTGGATTTATGCGTCGTTTCGATTCAGATTACCAAAGGGCTATTCAGGCAATCCAATCGGGATCGATCGGTACTCCTATTGTCCTCCGCTCTCAGGGAGCAGAGAAATTGGACGAGAGTTCAGCCTATCTTGATTATTTATGCCACAGTGGGGGCATTTTTGTCGACGCGGTTATTCACGACATTGATCTCACTCTCGCGCTGTTGGGTGAAAGACTGGTGCCAAAGGCTCTCTGGGCAACAGGCGTTATCTCGCACCATCATAAAATCGGGGTTTCCGGTGATGTTGATAATTCAATCGGAGTCGTTGAGTTCTGGGGTGGGAAGGTAGCTTACTTTTACCATTCTCGAACAATGGCTCACGGCTACGATAACTGCACGGAAATTGTGGGTACGAAAGGAAAGATATCCATCAACCTTGTACCTAACAGAGACAGACTGCAGCTGTCCAACTCTCTAGGAATATCTCAGGAAGCAATTCCTGGCTGGCCTGATCGCTATTGTGAATCCTTTGTGACGGAGCTCAATGAGTTTACCGCAGTTGTCCTTGATAAGAAAGAAGTTCCATTCAAGCTTGAATCCGCATATACGGGCCTGCAGATAGCACTGGCTCTCCAAGAAAGTTTGCGAACTGGAAACAAAATCAGCTTCGACAAGAACGGGACTCGACTCGCTGTTTCTCAGGAATGAATTTAAGGCCCCGTGGTCAGATTATTCAATGTGATAGTCTCCAGGAAAAAGATAATAGGGCTATCTCGCCGTAGACTTCTGAAGCCATAGGAGATACGTCACTTCTCCTGGGGGCTGGTCATGGTATTCCGAGGAGCCAGTAAGTTAGAGGATGGGCATTTTGCGATAAGAATCTCCAATCTAAAAGGCAAAGATGACCAGGCAGGTATTACGATATGTAGGTTTAGGAGCTCGTGAGCAGCAATAGTGTTAGAGTGTTTTTAGTTTTGATAGGAAGTAGGCGGAGGGGTCAAGTTAGTCCGAAAGTCGTTGCCAGATATGATTTACAGAATCGTTCAAGGGAGCTGAAGAAAATGAGGCTACCACATTGTCTGGAGAAAGTGAAGACACAATCTAAGAACCGTTGGAAAATTGCAGAACCAATCCCAGGCAGTGCTGGACAGAGTGGCAAATGGAAGAATCTGAGACAATTGATGTTAGAAGTCGTTGAAACCGATCGTTGAAAGACATTGTCTACTTCAACAGGTCAACTCCAATGACTTCTTTCAGCAACCCCGTTGAGCAAATTCCGTCCGAAACTCAATTTTTATATTCAAGGACTTCCGACTATTAGATTCTCTCAACGACTTTCAGTGTTCAAATTTTTCAACGTTTTACCGATCTATTTCTTTCAAATCTTTTTAGAAATATTCAATTCCTTCAACGGCTCGCTAAAAGTGAGTATGTACAACTACTTCAAACAAAAACAAAAAAAATTGTTTCCATTAATGCTTCTACAGCGGAGTAAGAAAAGAGAGGGTGGTGAAAAGGGCGTCAGCAGAGCGCAGTCGGAGGTGGTGAATCTCCGTATATACGAGCATTCAGCCTCGAGCTTAGCTAATACCATCCGCATTCGTTAGAACTTGAGTATATCCTAGCAGTCTCAGCAGAGAAAAAGCAAATACTATAATACATACCTATACATATGTATGAGGGGGGGGGGCGCAACATGCTATGGGGTATGCTTGAAGATCGGCTCATCACTAAGGGCAATTGGAAGAGTTGCTAGGCTCAGGACATGATGGCCGAGAATAAGGAAGTCTAGACGGAGCCCCCGAGCTTAACCACTCATTGGAAGATACTGAAAATTCCAATACTTCACTTTTTTTTGATTTGCTGAGACAGTGTGGTTAAGCAACTAGTGCTAAAGAAGGGAAGGGCGTGACATCTCCGGCATGGAGTTGACAAGCCTGGCGCCTTTATCAATGCCAAGCTTTTCCAGGGTCGCGACCACAAGACCAGTTGTATAAGGTTTATAAGTGCAGCTAAGGGTATCAGCACAAAGGCAATTACCAGTCTCATGGCTGACGGCAGGGACTCTACTAGTAACCTTTTACCCGGTCCAGGTGTGAGTGACTACCCACGCTTAGATATATATTGTAATACATGCATGCCTGTTGTGATAAGGGGATTTGTTTCATTGGTTGCCAACAACAGTTACTTTGCCTTTCCTCTTAGAAGAATAGGTTTCTTCTTTTATTTACTATTCAACCCGCTTAGGCAAGGATTGGACAAAGTTAGTGGCCCTTGGGTCGGGTTTTGGCCTTAGAAAATAATGTATGTAATGTAACGTATGCAGAATACAGTACCTTGATGATTACTCATGATAAGCCCCGCATGACGGCGGCAAGTGGCTCGTGTTCTGTGCCTCAGTCCCCGGTGCACTTTTGATAACTCCACCACAGATAACCCCGTACCCCATACCCCAAGAACTGCTAACAAGCTTAGTTTAGCTTAGCTTGTACGACATCCTTTCAAGCCTACCCCGTTAGATTACGCAAGGAAGGTGCAGTGGTGGAAGTGGACGGGAAAATTGAGAAAGGATCTCAGCCCGACCTGAGCTCCTCTCTTCACGGGTAATAACCAGCGTCACAGCGTCAATACCTTCCAGTATCTATTGGTGTCTGATAAAACCATGGCCTCATTGCTAAACCAAGGACGGCGCCGTCAGCGCAAGACCTCGCAAGAAGAGCGCATCTGCTCCGTTTGCTCTCAGTCCTTTAAAAAGGCTGAACATTTGGCTCGCCATCTTAGGTCCCACACCAAGGAAAGGCCCTTCTTGTGTCAGGTGTGTGGCAAGCTGTATGCCAGACAGTACGTCTCCTATTCCAGCTTTAATCTCTTATAGTCCTAATGCAAACAGCGATACTCTCTTGCGCCATGCTCGCTCACAACACGTGGGTACGCAGCCACATGAACAACGAATCCATAGGAATAGGGCCCCAATAAGTTCCCCAATAAGCGATTTAAGCTCGGATTTAATAGCCCTGGAGAGATCCGCTGTGGATCAAGCCTCTGCCAGCGTAGATTCGATAATCCTAGCCACCGAACTTGGTCGACCTGAGCCGCAATGTCCATCGCTCGACCACGATTCAAACACGGCTACTACCACTTCACTTAGACTCTCTCCTCAGCATGCGGATGCGGGGGCTACTGCTGTGTGCAATATTTCGGAAAATAACAGCAACTTAGTACCCGCATTTTTCCCAGCTGAAATGGGCTGCTCCAGGCCCTGGCCAGCCATATGGAACAGCCAATGGGACGAAGATTGTACTTCGGTATTTGCGTGGGATAACTTTGATCTAGATGCCGTCAACCAGACCTTGTTAGAATCCATGGACTACGGGCTGCAGAATACCCTTCCAGGCCCTGCAGACGGTTCCGTCCCTTCCGACCCGAATCTCAACTTTCCTCATGGTCCTACACTTGTACAAAAGAAATGGCACACCTTTTCCGAGGCAACAATTCCATCGGGCGACACGACCCCCGAGTGCCCAAGGATCAACAATACAATCAACACCCGTGCTGATGATCGTTATCGTCAGAAGCTAGTTGAAAGCCTCCAGCAGAGAGTGCAGCCTGGTATTCTTCCATCTACTAAGTTCCTGGTAAGCATGCATTGATATATTAACAACCCTTGGCTGATGGTGTCGAAGGACCTTTGTCTCCAAGCATATTTTACACATTTCCAAACTATCTTCCCCCTTATTCATGCACCCACTTTTCAGCCGTCAAAGGGAAACGCGGTTCTCCTGCTGTCAATGTGCACGATCGGCAGCCTGTTTCTGGGTTCATCGAAGGCCTTGACACATGGAATAAGCATGTTCGAAAGACTCAACAAAGCTATACTTGCTTCAGTATGTTTCATTGCCTAGCCTTTGGACAAAGTCATTCAGAACTTAACCCAGTTGCTGATGCTAGATGTAGTGGGATACATACATGCAAGCAACCGGGTCGGCTTCTATTCAAGCACTTCAAGCTTCTCTAATAGGGCAAACATTCGGGTTGTTGTTGGGAGTACGCAAACCAACTTTGTTCCCTCCTTCAGCTTACATCTCCGCTAACCAGTGATTAGCGACCGAAAGATCTGGACTGTACAGAGGCCTTTCATGGCTGTATAGTAGCTGTAAGTGTTATCCCTCGCCAGCGCGACAAACTTTGGGAATAATACAACTAATTCATTGCAGTGGGCTCGCAAGCTGAAGCTGTTTCATTCTGACGAGACCCCTATAGGGCACATGGAGACCCTAGAAGACGATAGCGAAGCACTCAATGCTACATGGAAGAGCTGGGCTCGCTTGGAGGAGAAAAAGCGGTATGGCTAAGGAGACTTGCGTATCGAAACCTTGGTGGAGACTGACAATGAACACTTTAATAGCATCACGCTCGCAATTCACATTCATGACGCTGAGCTGGCTAAGCTTCACCACCACGAGCCAATGCTTAGACATGCCCCCGAGAAACTGGTCCAGATTTCTGCTCCAGAGCTATTTGCCGCCCCCAACTCCAAGTCTTGGAAAGCTTTGTTCACCAGGACTCAACCACCTACCCGAGACATATCTCTTTCGCCTGAAAGCGGCTCGTTTCCGTGCCTAAGGACTCTGGAAAATGATTTTCAATCCTATGCTACGCTTGACTCTATTGGTGCGCTAGCATATGAGGACAGGGACTTCGAACCCTCGTGGCATGCAACCATGCAGAAGTGTCAGGGACTATTAATAGATTGGTACCAGAAGTATGTTACATCCTCAGAGGTGAGCCATAAGCCTGACCATTTCTGCCTGATAATCCTTTGGCACTCTATCTTCATGCACCTCTACACTCGATTTGATGACCTGGAGTGTGCCTGTGGAAGAGACGGCGAAGGTCCTGCCCAGAAACAGCGAGCATATGCGACCTCCTGGGCAGCTTCTGAGAACGCAGCACGCACTCTCCTCCATGCCATTTTGATCCAACAACATTTTCAGCTGTTACCTGTCGGTGCGGAGCCCGCAATTCATGTGCCAATGGCGCTATATTATTGTGGAATTGCATGGACTTCCTTCACGCGCTTTGGCTCTAAACTTAACGAGCGATCTGTCGACACTACTGAGCTCTTTAACTTTCCGGAAATGAGGTCCGTTGGGATCAGTCAGACAAAGCTTTTCCAGGATTCCACAAGTAGTGTGCAGTGGGGAAACCCCGAATCGGCTCCATTCTTCAGGATCATTGATCTGCTAGGGAAGATCAGCCACTGGAAGGTGTCTGGAAGTTTCGTGACGACCTTATTATCACTTGTGGAGGACACGCAGGATCTATTCTAATAACCCTACAACGTCCCCTTTTTGCATTATGATGATTTTAAAGCGTATCTGCTGTTATCATGGACGTGGTACTATATATGTTACCCGTAGAGTGTGAAGTTGCTCAGTCAATATTGATCAATTAGCGATTTGAATATATGGACAATCTTCTTGGCTGGACTATCTGGATGAATCACGTCTTGTTACAGTCAGTACGCGATTTCAGTCGACAGATCAAACCGTATTGTTTGGCAAACCAGAACGTCTCAACCCTCCATTCCGGGCAATCAGAGGCCCATTCAATATCGAAATGCCGAAGAAGTTGGGGAATTAGTTTGCCCATTTCCATGATTGAGATATTCTTACCAATACACGTGCGCGATCCGTAACCAAACTGAGTTATTTACGAGGTCAGCTATATGGAAAACGAGACTTTCTTTCCTAGGGAAAGAAGAGGCACATACCGTCATAAGGTGACGATCCATCATCTTGACTTGTACTTGATCAGAGTCTGTCCATCGTTCAGGACGGAATTCAGCAGCATCATTTCCAAAGATGGATTGGTCAAGGTGCATCACTGCTGGGTTGACGCCAACAATGGTTCCGGCATCCAGATGCACGTCACACAATTTGATCCCAGCCGCTGGGACGACTCTTTCTAGCGGGTACGAGACTCCGGGATGACATCTCATCGCTTCTTTCATCACGGCTTGCCTGGTGGTGGAAACGATATGTAAGAGAGAGTACCATCTAGGTCTCGCGGAGACACTCGAAGATAGGGCGTGCGCTGGCTAGGTAGGCTACTTACAAGTATGGCAGCTCCAGGCACTCTGTATACGTCACGTAGTGCGATAGTCTCCCAGCACGGTCTGCCTCATCAATTTCATTTTGGAGTTTCTGATAGACTGATGGGTTTTTCACGAGAAAGTAAACAATCGCCCGCAGCGATATTGCGGTGGTGTCACTACCGGCCAGCCTGCGCGTAATCCCTCGGGTCAGCTATGTTATTTAGAGATAGAATCGGTCTTCGACAAACAAGTTGTTACTCAAGTGATTGACCAAATCTCGATGCGACATTGGCTTGCCTTTTGCCTCCTCGCCCCGCAACCATGAGAGAAAATCTGGTCGGTCGCCATGCTCTGATACAGGTTGACGGTCATACTCGTCCATACATTCTTGTGTATACTGCGCATACGCATGATACATTAGATAATCGTTTAATGGAGAGTAAAATGAAATACCTTTACGATCGTCCGCAGCGGATCTGGGATATCCAGGAACGGCTGCGCTGCCAAAAGTTTCGACACCCAGCGATTTCCCATCAGCCATTGATGAACACCGGGTGTTTGACCGGCAAGGGCCGCATATCGTAGGGCGGAGTCGATGGATTTGATCATGCCTAGAATATCCTCGCGTTTCTCCATAAAGCCGAATGTCCGCTGGAAGGTAATAGCACCAATTACATCGAACGCGTACCACTGCAGCCATGAGCCCAGATCGACTGACTGGCCTTCAAGGCTTCTCATGGCATTCAGAAAGATGTCAGTGCAGTCGTCCGCGAATGGCTCCATTGCGCGGATGGAGGACATGGAAAACTTCTTTGCAACTGGCCGTCGGAGTGCTTGATGCTGGCTTGGGTCGCGCTCGGAGAACATACTCGCCATCACAGTCTCTTCATGAAATGGACTGAACGTGTCATAGAACGCCGACTGTTGAATGTAAGTGTTGCCCGCGTACCCCTTCATCCTACTCCGTGAACGCGAAGAGATTGAATCATTAGCGCGTAGCTTACCTTCAAAAACTTGCTGTTTATGCCATATACCACAGATACCGCGGCCGGGTCAGAAATATCAACCGTCTTTGGCCCAGTCCGTACAATCTTTCCGTAACGCTCGTGGAGCTCACGGTACAATTTAGGAGCGTCGCCACCAGCTAGCTTCCATGGCCGATAGAGTGAGGAATATTTTGCCACGGTAGGCCCAGGAATTGACCTCAGCCCTGGTTTAAACGCCGTCACAATTGATTGTATGGTATGGTAGATGAACCACAACAAGAAACACACGGCAGACGCCCGGAACGGGTGCGACAGGAAATAGTGAGGAAGACTCCCAGCACTGATCGTGTGGACATCTGACTCCGACATATTGTGTGTGATCGAGGTACGGACATTGAGTGGACATTGTGGTAGGCATACTCGACTAGGACATCGCTGTTATATCTCACAATCACTTCAGTTGACTATGACTTTCCCCACAACCCCCGCAAGATCTGCATGCTTCGCATCCATCGCAGTCTCAAGTCTCAACCGTCATTTCGATCCGTGGACCACATTTTGTGGGACCTATGGACCTGACGGTCCCACCGGCAACCGATGGGAGTTGTCACAGAACCGTCGAGGGAGTAATGTGGGGTAAGCCTGGATAAGGACCGCGTGCATGCCCTGGATCAACAGTATGACTAGGTGTGTTTCCGTCTGGAAGTAGTTTGCCTCGAGTGTCTGGCCTGGCGGAGCGGGCTTGACAAGAGCCTACAGCTCCATATGTGTCACACCCATGGCCTTAACGGTTACAGAGTGCAATGGAGGATGTAAGAGGTCCCATATAACGGATATCTGAAAATACATTGTCTGAGCTATGTTTCTAAATAAGGCCTCCGAGACATGTCTTCATCCGATTGCTAGTACATAGCGAGGGCAACTGTCCCCATAGTATACGTGTCTCAATTCTCAGACCACCCTATCCTAGAGATATTTCATCTGACTTCGGACAGTCGCTACCCCCTCCAACTCAATCTCCACAATATCCCCATCTTGCAACGGCTCCTTCCGGAAATAGCCCACGCCTGACGGTGTTCCAGTCATGATAACGCTACCCTTTCTTAACGTAGTACCCCGCGACAAATGACTAATAATCTTCCTCACCCCGAATATCATATCCCCCGTGCTAGTCTCTTGCTTGACTACTCCGTTGACCCGTGTGCGTAACCACAGAGCTTGCGGATCCGGGATCTGCTCCGCAGAAACAATGGTATGTCCGATCGGACCAAACTTATCAAACGATTTAGCATAGCAATATTGGCCTCCTGATGCTTCTGGAACTTGGAAATTCCGAGCGGAGACATCGTTGCCGGCTGTGTAGCCCAGGACATAGTCCAGTGCTGATTCCTCGGAGACATTCAGAGCATCTTTTCCAATTACCACAGTCAATTCGCCCTCATAGTCGAGGAAGGACTGAGCATCCGGGTGGATTGGAATACTCTCGAAGGGGCCTGCGAGTGCGTCGGCAGGCTTGGTGAAGACCGCTGGGTAGATCGGGTAGACAAGCTGGTGGTGACGTGGGTTAGTATATGCATTTTGTCCTTTTTGATTGAAGGGGCGTACGTTAGCTTCCTTGGCGTGCTCCTTGTAGTTCAGACCGATGCAGACGATAAGAGGTGTACTCTCGATCGGTTGTAATAGCTAGAAGACGAGTGTTGGCATGCACAGATGCAGTCAGAGGGTATGAAAAAGTGGACGTACAGTATCTACTGTGTAGTACTCCTCTGTCGGGGCCAGCTTATCGTATGGACAACCATCTAGTCGCTGGACGACATACTTATTGTCCTTGGTCTCAAGCAGCTCGCCGTAGTATGCTCTGCCATTCGTTTGAAAGCGAGTCAACCGTTTGAAACCAGCCATTGCGATGATGCAGTTCGAAGTGATTTCAGCTAGATCATAATTGATGCAATAATGCAGTAGACAACCATTAAATAGAAAGGGGCGTAACAGGGGTTATTCTGCGGAGATTACCTTCCTTTGGCTCACTATCCACTATGTGGCAACAATGGATAGTCCCACATACAAGCCGGACATAAGAAACAGCGCCGGCTAAAGTCCCCACGACAAAATTAAAATACAGCATATCACCTCGTATTTTCTATAGTAATTCGGTATCTATTATCTTACGCAATCACTATACAAGATGGCTGAACCTATGCCAAAACCTAACCGTGGCATGACGCTCGCCGACACCGTGGCCATGGGCATCAACCAGGAGTCCCAGGCGAGTTGGCTGGCAAAGCGGCGTATCAGCGTGGAGAGTCGCATCAAGTTAACAAGGCTATCCCACATGCGATACCAACACCCTGATCTTGATGCGATTCACCAATTCCTGATGGATTTCGGACTCCAGGTTGCGCTTCGAACAGACAATGAGGTTTGGTATAAGGGTTACGGGCCGGACCAGTACGTTTACTATGCCAAAAAGGGGCCGCGAAAATTCCTAGGCGGTGTTTTCGAGGCGGCTAGTTGGGATGATTTTGAACGGTAAGCAGTGTCATTTGTCTTCTAGTTGATGGTCAGTGCTGAGATGAATGATCCGAAAGAGTATCCAAATTGCCTCGTGCAGAGCCAATCGAGGAGCTTCAGGTTGCGCCAGGCGGTGGTTTTCTTGTCACGGTTACCGACCCGGAAGGGTTTCCTGTTAATGTGATCTATGGACAACAGTTGGTAGCCGACAAACCGACGTACTCACCTGAGAAAGTGGTCCTCAACTTCCCAGAGGAGAAGCCTCGATTCAGACAGTTCAACCGCTTTGAACCTGGTCCAGCTGCCATTTACAAGGTAGAGTTTGCATTACTTATTCCATCATCGTTTTGTATACTAACATGTGATAAAGTTGGGCCATTTCGGGCTTTGTACACAAAAGTTCGAAGAGCAGCTCGAGTTCTATACTTCAAACTTCAACATAGTTCCTACCGACTTCGTCTACGTAGAAAAAGAAAGGCACCGAGTCCTGGTAACAACATTCATGCATCTCGATTTAGACTCGGAGCCTGTTGACCACCACTCGTTCTTCCTTAGCGCCAACCCCAAGGCAGCGCATGTACATCACAGTTCATATGAGGTGTATGACTTCGACGCCCAGCATCTTGGACACGAGTGGCTTGTGGCGAAGGGGTACCGTCCAACTTGGGGTGTCGGCCGTCATGTACTTGGGTCGCAGATATTTGATTACTGGTGGGACATTTCTGGTAATATGGTTGAACATTACGCGGATGGTAACTTGGTCAACAATGAGACCCCGGTCGGATACGTGCCTGCTGGGGAAGACACATTGGCTGTTTGGGGTCCGAAAGTCCCTAGGGAGTTTATGGAATAGGTTAATAGCTATTGCCTTCTTTAGATGACTTATATACAAGATGACAGACGAAAAATCATTTCCTTCGACTGCCTAACGATGTCCCGTCACCAGAAGCGTCTTTCAATGGTAATTCATAGTGAACTCTCAGGTTGATACAAGATTATATATTTCTGGCGATTAACATGTGGAAAGCATGACAACGCCTTTTTTTTTTTTTTTTTTTTTTTTTAAGTTGTCTTGATAAAAAGAAACTATATTGTCTCGGTCATTCGAGAAGCTCCCGAGGAATGACATGAATAACATATGCAGCATAGGCCCCTCAGTGGGATTAAAACATGCGAAGTGGATGACCGTCGGTATAACGCTTCCGGTGGGAACTATCCATCTTAGTATTGTCCCCCACTTGGTACGGGTAAGGCAATTAATTGCCCACTCCCATTATTGACAAAGTCCATACCATTTTTCTCGGTCCTTCAATCATATCGATATATAACTAGCTCCCTCCTTCGAAGCAAGGGAGAAGAAAAGGTGAGTTCAAGTATAACTCGAAAGGCCGTATTCCTGTACTTTGTTGTCCGTTACCCAATGGTCAGCTACGAGCAAACCGACGTCCTAATTTGCGGCTGCGGCCCAACAGGCGCAATGGTGTCTGGATATCTTGGAAGAATAGGTATCCGGAACATTGTCCTAGATAAGGAGGCCGATATAACAACTGATCCGCGGGGTATCGCTCTCGACGACGACGGCATTCGAGCTTTGCAGGGGTTGGGGCTCTATGAGCACATTTTCACGGATATTGGATCACGTTGGTATGCACAGCCTACCAGAGGCTTCATGATATTCTAATATGTTCCTGTTTACAGCAATTCCGTGGATGCGATTTGTAGGGGGTGTTCATCATGATCTGCACAGAAAGCCGTTTCTCTCATTTGATACCGCTTCGGTAAGTACTTTGTCAAGAACAATGCTCATCGTGAGGTCTGATGTCAATGATGTTGAAGTCGGAGGGCAACACAGGACATGTAGGAGCGATGCGTCACAAACAGCCTGTCTTGGAGAGACACCTTCGCTCCGTTATTGATTCGTCGAAATATTCTGAGCTTAGGTCCAGCTGTACCTTGACATCGATCCATGAAGACGACAACTGGGTTTATGCTACCTACAGCGACTCTACTGGAAAGAAAAATGCAATTCAAGCTAAATTTATGGTTGGGGCTGACGGAAAGACTGGATACACACGGAAGCTATATTTGGAGCCAAAGGGAATTCGACTAGAATGGGCAGAAAAGTAAGCGGCTGACGGTCTGGTGAATTTCATGGTATCATATTACTGACTGGGTGGATATCAAGGACAAGGTACAACGAAACATGGGTTGCTCTCAATTGGAAAATACACCTTCCAACGCCAGCTACTCATCCCCAGTTTCCACTGTGGAAGATAGGTTATTCTCCAGAAATGGTGTACGATCTATTCTTTCCCGAGGACTTCCGCTTCCTCTGCAATGCTCGTCGGCCAGCTGTCTGCGGCCGGTTTGGGCTTCCAAGTGACCGACTATGGCGTTTCGAGTTTGTTGTCGCTCCTGGTGAAGACGGAACTGAGATGGCCCAAAGGAATAAAATTAGAGAGGTGGTTGTTCCTTATATTACACACTCGGGAAGTCGCTACGGGCAAGTTCATCCAGCCTTTTGTCCCATGTTCAGGGACTTCTAACATGACAGATATTAGTCTGACCGAGGATGTTGAATACCCAGAGGACTGTATTGAAGTCCTTCGTTCACGACCGTTTCGCTTCTCTGCTCGAAGCTGCAACAAATGGGCTCTTGGTCGAACAATCCTCTGTGGTGATGCAGCGCATGTTTTCCCCCCGTGTACGTCAATATCTCCGAATCCCAACCCAAATTTAACAAGATAGGGTAAATTAACCAAATTTGAAAACATTAATTTTAGTCGGCGGGCAAGGAATCGCATCTGGGTTCAGGGACGCAATTGGTCTTGCCTGGCGTTTAGCAATTTTGTGCTCCTCAAAACACCCACTTGATCATCAGGCTATCCTCGCTGCCTGGTACAATGAACGGAAGCAACAGCTCGACAAATCTCTCGCGGCTACAGTGCGGAACGGAGATATGGTCAATACTAAGAACTTGCTCGAGGGATTTATTCGGGACTGGTCCCTATGGTCAATCCAACTAATCCCTCAATGGAAGCACTGGCTTGAGCGAGGACCCAGAGCTGAAGGCCCGATTGAGTACTCTCACAGGCCAGGCCTTCCATTTCTCCCCGATCTAAATGGCGGAGTTAGCTTTTCCCAGACCTACTGCGTGGCTATTTCCGACACTCAGGAAATTGTTCGATTTACGGACGACGCTATCTTTGCTTCGAGCAAGACGAAACTGTTTCAGATTGTGGTTCTGTTGCCAAATCTCCGGGCGCTAAAGCCGGCTCTAGAAGACCTTGGTGGAATGGACCAGGACGGCATGAGTCTCCTGTCTTCCAATGAAGCCACAATCTTTGTCCCTCGCATCTCAGTAGCGGAATTCGTGGATGGCCAAGCCCCTGAGACTGTCACCGACAGGTTATACCGCTCAGCCTCCGCGGAGGAGTTCAGTCGAAGCACATTATGTCAAGGCCGTCCCACACCGCGAGGATACAGTGAAGAACTGATGTGGCAGAGTGTGTCTGGAACGCGATACATTATCCTACGGCCGGACCGGTTTGTTTTCGCGGCATGTAATACAACGGCAGAATTGGATCTGGCTGCAAAACAGCTGGAGAAGATGTTTTCTTGAGTCGTGAAGCTTGCTGTATAGTCTTAATACTATCCCTGTTCCCCTATCGCATGATCCCACCTAGTGCATAATTTCCATATGGACTAATTATGAGGTGATCGCCCAGACCAGTATTCGCATAAGGTCCGGTAAATGCAAGGTTCTATAGCACGCATAGTCCCCGCACGGTATTCTTCGGTAATCGGGAAAATAGTACCTGATATGCCGCCTGTAATTCGACCAGCGCGAGGCAATACACACCAATAGTTGGCTATTGTAGGAATAAAAACAGCGTACTATCATATCTGCAATCTCAAGTGATTCCACGATAGCTCTGGGAGCATCCCGATCTGGAGTGGACTATCATGGGTGAATTCCGCTGAGCATTGGATAGAAACTAGGGCAAATCTTTTCAGGGATGACAATGTAGCGGTCCTTCTACCTGGCCTGACTATTCAGCCGAGAATTCCCCTTTCAGACGTTTCATGACCTCTTCGATTTCTCAAACATCCATCTAGCATCGTTCTGTGACTTCTACTGGTAATATTTCGTCATCACTTAGAGATATGTTTCTGTGTATAATGGAGTACCGGTAAAGGTTCCACATCATAGTCCCCATGTGGGACCTATGACCGGAGTTTTCGGAAACCAGTCAGCAATAGTAACTTAAAAGATAAAACATATTGCTGGAACCTCTCGATATGTAAAATACGAAGAAAAGCTCAACAGCTGGCAATGGAACGAATTGACACCCACTGCCACATTGTTCCAAGCGGATGGAGGAAGTGGTGTGACAAGCATGGTTGGGATAAACCGGACGGAATGCCCGGAATTCCTGTAAGAGACTGGTCACTACCATCGCAGATTGCAATACGGGCTAAATTCAGTGCACCCTACAGGAATGGTCTCCCCAGGCTCATATTGCGCTGATGGATAAGCTAAATATCAAGCGGTCCATACTAAGCATTACATCGCCAGGAACGCATCTGAAGGTAGGGGATTTTCATCTCGCGAGACAGGTGACCAGAGAGACGAACAATGAAATTGCAGAGGCGCATCGCAGATTTCCAGATAAATTCAGCTTCTTCGCATCTCTTCCCCTCCCAGATGTGGATGGCTCTGTCCAGGAAATTGATCGAGTGCGTGATATGGAGGGCTGTTGCGGGTTTACCATGATGACGAACGCAGAGGGATACTACCTCGGTGACGAGATATACAGGCCTGTATTCGAGAAGCTGAACGAGAGACCTACTGTCATCTTCATACACCCAACTCAATGTTGCTCTAAGGACCTTACTGCCGCCGACAAGCCATTGGCGCAATACCCCACGCCTATGATCGAATATTACTTCGACACTACTCGTGCGGTTGTCAATCTTCTCTTAACACAAACGGTTCCTAAATATCCAAACCTGACCTTCCTCGTCTCTCATTGCGGTGCTACCCTGCCACCCCTGGTGGAACGGGTCGCGGCATTCTCGACTGGCTTTCTGGAAGGGGATACCAAGCTTTCCAGCACAGACATCAAGGAACTTCTCAGGACACGTTTTTACTTTGACCTGGCTGGCTTTCCGTTCCCGGATCTCATTCATGGGTATCTCCGAATCGGAGATGCAAGCCGATTGCTATACGGCAGTGACTATCCATACACGCCAGGAACGGTAGTAGAAAGTCTCAGTAAGGTGATGGATAAGAATGTCGCGGAGCTGTTCAAGCAGGATACTGTCGAATCTATATATTCCGGCAACGCAAAGCGACTTTTTGGTTTCTAAATTAGGCGCTAGATCACAGAGCACTTTAAATGCATATTTTTGGAAGTCCGGCTGGGGACTTTACTGCAGTTACCAGCAGAAAGGAAGAGAATTTCCCAATGGATTTGATTAGACACGCTGTGGAAATGCAAAAATGAAACAATCTGGTCTTATCAAATTTGTGATCTCAGTCATACAAAGGGCTGTTTCCCACACAACAGAATAAACTAGAACACCTATTGATACTATGCTCCATTTCTTCTGTATCGCCAGATGACCTGGAAATATATTTTTCAATATCCAAACATAACTTGGAGCCTCGTAGGTTGCATTATACATTATTCTTCTGAAACTAGAACGCTAAGAACTCAAAAGGGAGTACCTCTTCGCAGCAAAGAAAGCGCCGATGCCCACCGCCAAACTAACACCAGCGAACTGCAGGATGGTGCGAATTCCATTGTTCATCTCACGATCCATATGTGCCTGGAATGCTTCAGTGGGGTATGCTCTAGGCCATGGCTCATCGGGGACTGGCACATCCAGGAACTGACAGATCTTATCCCAGCTATCCTTGCCAGTCTCGAATTCTATTAGCCTGTCCTGTGGAATCGCCTGTCGAATTCGTTCGTTATGGTCGAGGTACGCCTGTTTCAGGACGGCATCATCGTAATTGTTGTTACAAAAGATCTTCCAAACCATCTCGGATTTGCGAAAGAGCGGCCCCAGAACAGTCGAGTCCATGTGGTGCCAGAAGCGGAAAAAGGGTGTTTGCATAAACTTGAAGACCGTCGCATTGGCTGATTTCAGCCAAGAATCAGCATCCCGGGTCGTGAGAATCACTTTTGCGTCTGGGTAGGCCTCCACTAAATCCTCCCAGAAGAGGCATGTGGGAACATCAAGACAAGCGTCATATGAGCCCATTAAACGATCGAATTCCTCGCGGCCGTACCGTTGCTTTTGTTTTGTGTTGAAAAAGTTGCACTCCATCGCTTCGATCCAGAGATTGAAGTCCCGAGGGGGGTTCTTGAAACATTCGGAGCCATGGTACGGGTTGAAGCCCAGTTTGCGGAGAGCGAGGACCATGGCTGGTCGAGGATCGATTTTAGCTTTGTTGGACAAATATAATTATCCTGTCCTCTTCGACTCACAGTTTGTCCCTGTCCTGGCCATTCCCATACACAAAATCTTCATGGGTTTTACCCTTGTGTTGGGTTCATTGTCGATCAGTCGCGCCATGATAAGAAACTAAAGCCACTTGCGTACAAGAAAATCCTCAAGTTTGATTGCTCGCAGAAGCTGATACAATGGATGAAAGTGTCAAATTATCAAGATTGATTGAGCGGGAAATGCAAATAATATACCGGCAGCTCAGCTCAGCTCAGCTCGGTTATTAAATTGGCCTAGTTCAACTGAACCGAAGTCTATTACCCACTATAGACTACGTAACCCGCCCAGCTGGTTATTGTAGTGAATCTAGTGATCTACTGAACTTACCGATTCTGGGTTAGCCGTGTGATTGATCATATCCTTTATAGATCAAGGTTTTAATTGAAGGGTTTAAGCTTTGACATCCCTAGTCACCTGATAGCCGGTCCCGGTCAACGGAAAAAATGGTGTGTTGCCGTGGATTTTGCCTCTACGAAGTACTATACTGGTCGTGATTGGAGAATTCCTACTTCCTCAGATTACTCGTGACCAAATGGCAACATAATAAACTCGCCATCTTTCTCCGTGACCCGTGTTGTAGCAATTCTTTAAGATCATATAATCTAGCAGCCTCCTTCACCGGTTGATGGCTAAGTAGCCTCCCAAATAGGTCTAGCCTCAAGCATGATGCCAGCCACATGGCTCAATACAAGAAGGGGGCCACTAGATCTGACCCAACAGACCAACCAACCAGCTCCCGAAATGCCAGCGGGGAATCTAGCCATTTCATTCCTTATAGTCGGCACTATGGACTTAAATCAAAGCTTCGGTCGCAAAGTTTCCGTTTCTGACTTGAGAGATGCCACGATACATCGAGATGCTTGTTGACCCTGCTCGATTGCTCCATCAACGAAACCCCTCCACCCGTCTGCCCAGTCGGCACTGGCAAAGATAACCCTCCCATGTGGCTTCTGGAGTTCTTGGAGGTAGGCCGACGCACATCCAGGCTCCCAACAAGCCCAACCTCCTTTCGCGTAAGGATCACTCACCCAGTCGTGAGTCACGTAAGCTTCGACGTCACCGGATGGATAAATATCCTTGCGGAAGCGATTGATAATATGATGGCAGTTCTCCTTATCATCCAAGCGTCTATTGTATCCGAACCCAATGCACCAAGTACAGGATGGGTCTGATCGCTGGGTGCCGTTGTGGTCGGAGAACGCAAAAACATAGGCAGAGTCGGTAGAATCGGCCGTTGCGAACCAGCCTGGATCCGCTGCTTTGAGCTTGAAGTGGATCTTTGCGCCCTTATTGATATGTCCCTTTGTCATCGCAGACTGTCGCAGGGAAGATACTGGAGGGTCGAATTTCACATCCGCTAAACAGTTTCTGCTGAACATTAGCTTTAAGTCACTTTAAGCGAGAAAGGCCCATGAAAGAGTTGTCGTACAGAGGAATAGTAGAAACCACGTATTTTCCTTTGATGTTTTGTCCAAGACTAGTGGTGATCATGACTCCCAACTGGTTCTGTGTGACTTCCTTCACAGTGGCCCTAAAAAGCATATGCCCAGTGTAGTCTGCTAAGACTGCTCGCGCAAACGAAGTCATGCCCCCATTCCCAATCTTGTAGACTCCAGCCAGCTCGAAAACCCCCGCCATGCTGTGTCCACCTAAGGCGTACCACCGGAGTGCTTCGGTAAATGCAATATCTTTCCCAGGTGCACTACCGAAAGTGTTCGTGTTTGATTCGAACAAATCTTTCTCCCAATCTGAGAACCCATGAAGACTATCTAATCGGTCTTTCACCGACCAATGATCATATCTCATCCACAGTGCAGGTCGCCTGAGTGGATCGTGAGGGTATGGCATGAGTTCACGACTGCTGCGCCCTTCGACAGTGAAGAAGAATTGGGCTATGCGCTCCAGGATATCACCGGCATCGTCCGTAGATATTTCCCCGGGGGGTGCCGTTCCCTGTTTGAACATCTGCTTGGTTGGTGCAGCAGTGCCTGCGGAGGTCTTTAAATTGACATGTAGTCCGTACCGGCGAAGCTCACTATAGAGGTGAGGTTGAGCCCAATGAACCCAAGTGCCTCCCATCTCTAGCTCTTCGCCTAGCGCTCGTGCCGTCCATGTACGTCCACCGATACGATCCCTTGCCTCTAATAATAACACCTTCAAATTGTGTCTCTGACTCAATTCTCGTGCTGCAATGAGACCAGTGAACCCGGCCCCTATTACCACCACGTCATAGCTGTCACCGATAACTGGCGAGCTTTCTTGTACAGCGTCAGTCTCGAGGCCATATGTAGTCCCCTTTGGAGTCCATAGAAACCCTTCCTCTGAAGATGGCCCCATTTTGGGAGAACGTTAATTTGAATTGAACTTGCAATAAAACTGGGGCGATGTACCAATTATCAGGAATGCTGGCGCCACCTTGCACATTTATAGTATAAAAGTTGCTAGTCAAAAGTCCCCACTGGATTTAAGTGTAGTGTACTAGTCATGCGCTTGGGGAGTACATGAAATAGGAAATTTAGTGCGTTTGGTGCCGGGCGATGTGTACCGACCAATCGCGCTTCGCCCTCGTACTACACTATCAAATCGGGAAATTGACTAAACACACGTCCGACCTCACTGCACCTCAATCCAGCTTCCAGCTCTCCCAGCCGTGTTTCAAGTATTAGATTCGTGACTAGAGGTATCAAAGTCTGCTCATTGGCCTCCCCCCGCATTTCCATGCAACCCCATAGGTGTTGGAGGAAAAGGTGATCGTGCTGCCTCGTGGGATCATGAAAGTATCGCCACGTCGAACGGTTTCTGTGTGGCCAGTTGCATCTTTCAATGTGATTTCACCTACGCCCATGTGAATATCGTGTGGATTTTTTTTTCCCTGTAAATCTCACCTTCTATCACCAATCCAATCTCATCATAATCATACTTCGGGGGGGTTGCTCCCGGTCCCTTTTCTATCCGAAACCAAGATCCGCTAATAGGGTTGGTTGCCTTCTCACTTTCAGTTCCCAGGTAGTCGGCTTTGACAATTGTGATCAGACCATTGAATTGCAGTCCTTTCTTGGGGGCTGGCTTACCGAAGAAAACATGGGGCAATCCGCCAAAGTTGGGTACCTTGAAGACATCTGTCCTGCTTCTGACTCGGAATGCCATTCTTTAGTCGGCGAACAATCTCAAAACTTTGCAACTTGTTCATTGAATCCAGCTTGTTGGTTTTGGTGCGTGCTCCATTAATCTCTACTTATATTACAAACAAAGATCCTAAACCAATCGCTATCAAAATGGAACTCGGCTCCACCTTTGATGGTTAGAAGGCCAATCGCGTTTCTGCGTGTTTTTCCTCCCAGTTGGGTAAAGTGTGCGTATTTCCTGCCGAACCACCACCGCGAACATGGCTCTCCACAACCAGCTGGACAACCGTGGAAAAGTGAAAGAAAAATCTATATATTAATGGGACGCACCAGATCGTCACATAAGCTTTGACCAATGAAGGCCATACTGGCCTATCCGAGACTCGATGTTTTTCAGTTGCAATAACTATTATAGAGAAATCCACGCCCCGATTCGTTTCTATTTAGCTGTTTGGTCGGGGTATTCTGTAAATTCCGTGCAAGGGATTTATAGAATCTCATATTACCCGGAAGAATGATGGCGTGGTCGTGCACCATGCTTTACACAAAGACCCCAGCAGCTGTCGATCTTCAATTCCCAAGGAAGCTAAGATCGGCAAGTCTCATCAGTCCAACAGTAGTGGCGATTTGGAAGGTCAGGCATCGCCCGTCACACATCGTAGCAGAAATGAGTAGAGTTGCTGGAAATGGTACCTGAGGTTGGTCTCGTAAACTATTATTGGTACGGCAGCGCTTGTAACGGGCGCAATTCCGGATCTAATGCTCATCTTCTTCCCCGCACGGAAGATAAGCAGACCCACATAACTGCAGACGTTGGGGAATCTCGGTTTCCCTACTCGAAATACACCAACGGAACCTAGGAAGTGACAACCCATCAGGACGGCATGGAAATGTCCACACAGACGAGCAGGACAGGCCCCGTGCCGCCAAAAAGGCGGTCCAAGTCACGTTGTAAGCTGTTTCCTGTGGAGATCTCGGTTCAAAGCTAACCAGATGAAGCGGGATGTCAGCGTTGCAAGCAGCGGGTAGGTCCTGCGCCCACGGACCGCTAACGGAGGATAGATATGATCTAACAAGTTGTAGCGCATCAAATGCGACGAGCAGGTACCCTTCTGTGGTCCGTGTTTGAAAAGGGGGTTTAGCTGCCCGGGGTACCAACAACCGATGAAATGGCGTCACCTGGATGGATCTGGACAGTCCACGCAGAAGCCTGGCGGGGAGGCGCACCGCAAACATTCTTCAGAGGATGGCACTGATACATGTACTCAAATTGACAGCGTCAAGGGTATTCGAAAACCTCGCGAATCGGCACCGAGTATTGCCCCCACTACCTCTGACACCTCAGTAGATACAAATGAACGACAAAGAGACAACGGCCATGATATTACCACGGAGTCACATGAGCTCGGCCACATTGCTGATCATGGTTACAGCAGCTCCAGCTGCCTTTTCACCCAGAACTTCTTGAATGATCTGGCTACAGAAGACATCTGGAACGTGGGCAACGACGTCATGGAGTCATTGCCAGCTAACAGTATATTGGATGCAGAACGTCTGTGCCCTCTGTTCAAGCCACTGGATGACAAGACCATTATCCTTTCAACCCATTACTTTTCCAATGTGTGCCCAATAAATTCCTGTTTTGATTCACACTTGAACCCTCTTCGCTCTGTCATCGCAGACTTGATGAATTCCTCCCAGTTGGTCTTCCACGTTGTCATGATGACATCGGCCTCTCATCTCTGTCACCAGCAAAAGGAGATGATTTCTGTGGCACGACAGCACCGACGAGATGTCATCTCATATCTGATAGAAAACAGACACGTAACTGAAAAGGGGAGATTTGAAGCTATACTGGGTAGTGTGCTATTGGGCATGACATCTGCTTGGCAAGATTCAAGTGCGCTCGGGATATCTCATATTCACACTGCTCGTGCACTTTTTCAACAGTCAACAACCGGGCCCAAACCATCGAACGATCCTCAGTCCACATCTTTTTTGGCCGGGATCATGGCTTATTGGGAAGCTATGGTATCAATTATTACCCCACAGTGTCCACGTTCTCTTGACTACCTTGCGCCATTCTGCGAGCAAGAAAATCACGATACGCTGGTTTACCCGAATCCATGGACTGGTGCCTCGACTACCATATTTATTTACGCCGCCCAAGTGAACGCTCTTTGTCACCAAAACCGCCTTACAAAGTACCTCTCTACCTCGATACATTCTACCGACGTTCGTGAAAGTATCTCTCATGAGCAGTCCACAAAGGCAGGTGAGCTGGAGGAAAAGGTCTTGCATTATTCTCCACCCATATCCAGTCGCATTGGAGATGCAGACGATCGGTTTACGCCCGTGTCGCACTTTCAATGTCTGGCACAAATCTATCGATTCTCTGTGCTAGTTCAGTTATATCTCACGTTTCCAAATCTTTTGGACAAGTCAAACACAACAATGTCAACCCTCGATACGGAACCATCATATGGGACGATCCAACGATCGCCCAATGAGACTGTGGTAGGGTTGGCTGTCAACATCCTGAATCTTATATCATCAGTTCCGGAATCATCCGGTATCAAAGTTCTCTTAACGGTACCACTTATAATTGCCGGGAGTGCTTTACAGAAAGTCCAAGGTCATAATAAAGACATCGGTATTCCACATCATACGACTACTTTCAGTATCGAACAAGAGATTCTGTCTTTGCACTGCTCGGATTCCATGATCCTTCACTGGCGGTCTCTTGTGCGACACAAATTGAAAGTGCTACATGAATGTATTGGTCTTGATCCAATCCTCCGAGCTTCGCAGATCCTTGAAGCAGTTTGGATCAGATCAGACCTAACTGTTTCAAACAGAACGAATGCTTCTACCCAAGTATTAATCCATTGGTTGGATGTCATGGTTGAGGAGCGACTAGAATCAATCTTTGGCTAGTCTACCACTTACCAGCTGTGTAATACTATATCGCGTGTACAAGGTATGACCTGGGTTACCTTCTAAAAAATCTAATATATGTAAAGCTTCATCTACTCAGGAACGTATCGGAATAAAATCCACAAGGGAGGCTACCAAGCCCACTCGGCCTTACCACATCCCTCGAGCTTGGCACAGAAGTCAATCTCATCATCCAAAGACGTTGACTTCATCGCCTTTCTCATACTTGGCCATATCTCTCTACACTTGGACTCTTCCCCCTTGCGATGGGAAACCAGATAATATTTGACAATTCTTGAAAGTGAAGAACGCCCTAGGAAGGGGCAATTAGCCTATCGCCCGAAGTCGACATTCGTCTCTGAGATTTACCTTCTCGTTGCACGGCCGTAACACACCGTTAACGTAAGCCCCTGCATTCAAATTTTTCTATTCCTCGTTACAAATATTCTTGTCTTCGTTTTCAACTTGTTTAAATTACGTTGCGTATCAATATTATTATTTATACTGTCTACGATCTCGTATTTGGACCTCTTGCAAATGTGGTTCGTGGGGAAATGCTTTCCGCTCGCCTGTTGTTTAAATGGTTACTATGTCTATACTCTGATTCATAATTTCAAAGGATGAGAAGCCAGATACATAACACAATAAAGTTCACCAATTACCTTTTCCCAATGCCCTTTATAATATATACGCCGGTTCATCACAAGCATGATAAATATTGGTCGAGTTGATGTTTGGCAATACGATCTGGACTGTCAATCGAGTATATCTATTCCTCTGCAATGTGGTACTTTAATCTGCGGTAATGCAAGTTTGTGGATTAATATCTACACTTGGACGAGAGAATCTCACAAGATGCATCAAATCGGTAAGGTTCAAGCCCAGACTATCTGCCAGAATTCAACAACAAAGTCACCACCTTCCCCTGAAAGCTCTTGGAACGACTCAGTTTCACCAATCTGGCCAATTGAAGAGATAATAAACATTGCAACCAGGGTCCTCAATTCATTCCGGCCAGTGACAAGACGAGGTGTGTGACCGTATGTGAACCGAACAAGCTCAATAATGTCTAGGACATTTGCTGCGGGCATCTTGAAGTCCGCTTCAGTTTATCGAGTATCAGTTGATTAAGTGGCTCAATAGCATATTTATCAGCCAGGAAATATAAACTTGCATGTACTAAAAAGACAGGATTCAAATCCTCATTTAACTCGGCATCTCCCCTCGGGAAAATATCATTTTTGCCCCTATTCCATGTGCATACAGGCTGGAATTGACAGTCGAAATCCTCCCGCGAAGGTGTCGGCTTCATATACCTTTCTCCCAATATGGCAGTTCATGACCGCCAAGTGCAGGCTCCTTGACAGGATCTGCCGAACCGGACTTTTGCCCACCGACTTGTTGTTGATTCTCCACCCTACAACAACCTCAAGAAATGCACCAATGGATACCTAGATGAACTTCTGGTGATGGTGGTGGGTCATCATCTCGCAGCTGCTAGCCATAACCTGGTGGTTGGGTACATGCTAACCCCATCAACCTAAACTGACCTAGTCATACACCGGTCTATTTTCCGCCCATTTGAACCAAACTGTTATAGTCAAGCTGAAAAGTATCGCAACCCATCCAATCATCCAGAGAACAGAGCTTAGTGAAGTTGGGACACCTAGTCCGTAACGGTTGGTGAGCCATCCTAATAGGCCAATGCTACACATGGCACATAAAAGAAGAATATAGAAAAGAAGTCGGTGGACATGAAACGATTCTTCAAACTCGAGTCCCCACGCTTCTAGGTGAGTATTACCAATACCCCGGAGTTTCTGTTCAATTTTGGGGGCGCTGCGAACTGTCCGATTGGCCCGAAGCTGGCGCGTGGGTTGTTCAATATCAGTTGGGTGGAGAGAATATAGGAGGTTGTCTGAAGGTAAAATCGTGGATGGGTCCACACTGTCATCATCAAGATCTCTCAGATCACCTATTTCTGCTATATGGTGCCGTAGGTTCTGCAAAGCCAGATGTGGTGCTGCTCGAAGCTGATCAATGAAACGAGTTCGCCAGGGTGCTCTTCTGTTGAACTCCGCATACGAAGCTGCATCTGCGTGGTGCGCATCCCGCCATAAGTTCATCAGATATCTGTTCCCAACGAGGGGTACATTCTGAACGGCAGGATACGGTTCATACAGCCAGATCCGAGGGTCATGCTCTGGCGGCCAGACATCCTTCTGCACGACATCACCACGCTTCTCATCTGCAATGATGAACTAGGCAGACTTAGCCAAGTATTGTCCAGACATCTGGGACAGCTCACCTTAACAAATCGTATTTTAGAGACCTCCCGCAGCTGAGTAAATCGTTTCCAACAGCTCGAAACGAGATAGTACTTTTCTTTTAACCCGGTAAATAAAGTAAAATCAGTTGCTCGCCTCCTTACATTGAGATGGACATAAATTTCTTCTTCATCCTGGTTTGTGAAAAGCGACAGAATCCATAGTTGATTTCTCGGGAGCTCCAGGCCACGCCGTCTTCCAGCGCCCCCCGAGTCAGAAGGAGATGAGGAAATACTGCTAGACCCTGAACGAGAATTAGGACTGCTCCTATTAGATTCTGCTGTTTTGCTTGTTCCTTCACTTAAATCAACCCCTTTGGTGGTCCGCATTTCCTGTGATTCTATCTTCGCCTGCTCTCTAGTTTCAAATGGTAAATCGTCAATTGATGCATTGCTTCCTAGAGCTTCACCTGCTGGATCACCGTCGGACGCTGATCCAGTAACGAACTCGGAGCTTCTCAAATTCCCTAAAGCCTTTAGCGTTGAATACAGACTTCAATGTTTTCTGTAAAGGAGATACACACCTTGGCATGAGATGATAAGTATAAAGACCAGGACGACGCAGACGGATATGGCGAGAATAACGCAACATAATATCAGGGAAATAAGCGAGGTTACGCTAGCTTTCATGGGAGAAAATGCTACTAAGCAGGGTAGAAATGTAGATATAGTAAGACAAATGGCCCAAAAATGTCCCTTTCCTTGTTCAGATGATGTTATTGAAGGTTTTTGGGTAGACTCGCGGTGAAGGGCCTTCTGTATCAATGTGACCGTGCCTGGCTTTAACTCGTAGAAGTCGTCATAGAATTGCCGGCCGCAGACCTAAAAACATTAGTCAGATTGTATTTCAAATGAGCCAGAATCTAATCATACGCAAGTCCAACGAACTCGTTTCATTCCTTCTTCAAGTGGTCTCTCTCCACCCGGGATCAATTTGAGGATTGTTTTGAAAATTCTCGTTTTGGTGCGCATGTACCCTGGTGTATAAGGTGGATCCGGTCTTGTCGAAGGTATTGGCGGCACTATCACAGGTGGGTGCACTATGGCGGCCAAACCGGCCAACAATGCTTGGAAGGGAGGACTACTTGTAAGCCAGTATTTTATTCTCTCCAAATTGACGTATATATCTCGTTCTGGCTCTCCTTTTACCGAATCGCTGTGAGTGAGAGGGGTTTCCAATTTTCGATGGTTAATAGACTGGTCAACTCCTTCTTTTGGATCAGTCGAAGTTGTTCGCTCAGTTTTTAGTTTCTCGTCTTCGGATTTCGAGATTGTTCGAGTTCCCGCTTCATCCATTTGACGAAGAAACCGATTAACCATTTGAGCTCTACCTTCTTGCTCCTCTCTGGGACCCACCTTTTTGAGGACCTTGGAACTCTCCAAGTAGTTAGACATCAAAACCACTTGGCGTGCGATTTCACTTGCTTTCTCCCCAACCATTATTGAGGCGACTTGTTCAGCCGCGGAAGAAGCTATGTCTTTGAGGCCGTGGGAATAGTCACGAAGAAGACTGGCAAAAGACGCTTCAAATCCATCTTGGCCTCGCTTTTCAAGGATTTCATGAATGAGAGGATTAGCAGCTTCATGGTTAATGAACAGTCTGGAGAATTGCTCCACCACGGTTTCTAACTGAGAGAGGATTGAAGTGATGCTGGTCTGAGATGATACTTCGATGTCCGTTGTAAAGATGCTCGATGGGTACGTTACAATGGAGGACATCTCATCAAGATCTGCTATGGAAGTGGTGCATTCCTCGGTCTCTTCAGAACCAGCAGACTGATCACTAACTTCAACCATTGGAATAACATGGACCGTGGTCGTCAGCATATCATTCAAGGCTTTGGCTTTTGCCTCGCTGAGTACTCCATTTGACCTTAACCAGTCCCTGACACTATTGTGAACAAGTTGGACCGTATCATTGGCTATATTGCCAATGAAACCATTAGGTTCAACACTCCATTCCTCTCTCGGTTCATTAGTTGTACTAAAAATGAAATCATTCACGATGTTCTGAATCTGAATTGTGTTTAATGGCTGCGGAGACAACGCTACTAGTGAGACAGCGACTTTTGTCCCTTCATTGAGGTATTTCCACATGATCCCATAATGATCGGCAAGTTCGTCCGGTAAATGTTCGATTGCCAATCTCATTTTCTTCAAGGATTTTGACCGAAGTATTTCATCAAGCACCAATGTCGCCCATAAGAAACTACACCAATAGTTAGAAGATGGGTAGTAAGCTCAACACGTCGGTAACTCACTTTCCTGAAGCCTTCTGTGTAATCTTGCTGGTGAGATCATGTAGATTGCGAGGGTTGCTTCTTAGACTGAGGCTTCTATCTAAGCGTGAGCGGACCAACAAGAGGATATCTCCGTGGTTCTGGTCGTCGATAGCATATGTTCGCTGCTTCTTCGGGAGGTCTAGCCCAGCACATGGACGAGAGAACAGAATCCACTTCAAGTTGTGATTTTGAGCCTCGGAAAGGAACTTCAGGATATCAGTCCTATCGGCAAGTTCCATCTCATCCAGTGCATCAATAGCAACAATGCCTTCAGGAAAAGCTGAGAGCGCTTGCCAAAATGCGCTAACTAAGTCTCGGTCGTCCAAAGGAGGGGACAACCGTGACTCAAATGCATCCCATAAATGTTTTGGGATACTAGACATCCGTTCTAA